CGCTGAAGATCCCAATCGTCTGGGGTGGCTGGGACAGTACCCGGTCTGCTTGGGTCACCCAACACCCTAATGACTGTAACTCACACCGGGTGGTAGGACCCCAGGGAGCAAGCGTCGGTCTCAGACTTGCTGGACCTCAGAAGCTGATGGGACAATTCAAGGGAAAGGAGAGATGGGGTCGCGCGTGAGGGGAAGCCTGTGAGCCAGGGCTGGGGGGAGTGGGCAGGGGGCGGGAGAAGCCCTCTCCTGCTCTGGTTCCACCTCCATCTGCTTCTGTCCTCCTTCTGTCCCCCAGCTGCCACTGCCCGGTCTCCCGCCCAGTTCCCCTTCCTGTCCCTAAGCCAAGCACCCCAATCCTCACCTGTCTCCCACTTACCCTTGGAGTGAACTCAAGCCCACCTCTCCCTTCCAGCCAATCCCCAGACCCCCCTCCTCTTGGTGGTCTCCACTAGAATGGCCCACAGCCCCCTGAAATACAACTTGTCATCCCGCTGCAAGGACAGCAGGACATTTCCCGTGGGATTTCGGTGAGGGTGGGGGAGGAACTTTATCTCAGAAGCTCAGCTAGCCTGTCACACGTCATAGGAGCCCCCCAAAGCGGGGACCCACTCCCCCGTCTCAGCTGATGAATGATGTCCCCTCCCATCCACCTCCCAATATGGAAATCCCAGCACCTCTGACACCCGACTCTTCACCACGTCTAGCTGATTACCATCCACGTGGATTCCACCCTTGAAACCCCCCTCACATGCTGCCTCCCTTCCATTCCCATGGTCCTGCTTTAGTCCAGACCTACTCCATCTATTGCCTAGACCAGCACATCTCAAATTGTAACACACATAGGAACCACCTAGGGACCTTCCGAGAGGGTGAGAGGTCTGGGTGGGACCTGGGATCCTGCATTCCTAACCAGCTCCCAGGTGAAGCCCATGCTCCAGGACCATCCTGGGGCAGCAAAGGCTACATCACCCCCCGATTCCCTCCCCATCTTAACAGTGGCTCCTGATGGCTTCCAGTCACTCGAAACTTCCATGGTGGTTCATTGCTCAGAGCCAAGGTTTTCAGCTTCAGTCTATGTAAAACCCATCACTGCCCATATATTTGGATTTCCAACAACTGGAATCTGGAGTTAGGCCCAGGAATTGGCATCTTTGTTTAATGCCCCCAGTGGTTCTAATAATGTAGGTTTTCGGCGGGGGTTGTTTTGGTTTTGGGGGGGTTTATTTATTTATTTTTGGCTGTACCTCCAGGCTTGTGGGATCTTAGTTCCCCAACCACGGACTGAACCTGGGCCCCAACATTGAAAGCACCGAGTCCTAAACACTGTACTGTGAGGGGGCTCTGATAGTCTAGGTTGTTGATGGAAAATGAGCCTTTAATACCAAACCAAACACTTTACCATGGCACTCAAGGGCCTTCTCAACTCAGCCCCATCTTTCTGCCTCGCTCATCCCTGCTATACCTTCACGTACCAGAAGTCCAGCAGAACAAACCGTCCGCTGTCTGGACAGTAGGTCGAGCTGTCGTCTCCCTCAAGCCCCTGTCCGCCCCCTCTGTGTCCTGGAGGGACCGCTTAGCCCTCCACCCCTGGGGAGCCTCGGTGACCTCCCAGGTGAATCACCGCCTCCATCTTCCTTTCTTGGTGCTGTGGCCTCACGTCTCCAGAGCGTGAGAGTGGGTGTCTTAGGGGTAGCTGTTTCCCACTCGTCCTTCCAGCTCAGGAGGGCTGCTTTAGGGCAGGGACAGGTCTGTATTCATCTTTGCATCTCCAGGACCAAGCGGGCTGCCTGCCCCAGAGCCATTTCCTAAAGAATAGTATTGAAAAGGCATCAAATGGGGTTTAGAAAAAGACAATTTTAATCAAATGTGTAGCTGGCTGACTTTTGAAGGGTGTAAAAATAAAGTCTGCTTTGTTGGAAATCATCTGTTTTGATCATCTCAGTTTTGGAGAGCAATGTGCTTTATGCCCCACAGTACTTCACATTTGGTGAGCACACAAGCACTGATTAAATACAAATCACTCAAAGTCAGTATAGATTTAATTACTGTTTGAAGCATTATTTTTGTACTGATTCGTGCCTGTGTTTATCGGGTAGCTTGTGCAAACCCTTTGAAGGTGAATGGCCAGGGACTGGCAAGCTGTCATTGGCCTCTTAAGTGCTATGATTAAGGGACTCTAGGTGGTGGGCTGGGTTTGAATTCTGCAACGTTTAGTGCCCTCTGCTGGTCACACCAGGCAAATCACCTGCTGCTCCAGGAGGCCCTTGCAGAGCTCATGGTGTCTGATTCCTGATAAGCTGGTCTTGTCTGGCCTCTCTTTAGATCGTTGAACATTTGGAAAGGAGGGTTTTTAAATTAATGCATGGAAGAGAAAAATGTTCCACCTAGGAATTCTGCCTCTCTGGGTTGTATTAAACCAATTAATACCTTCTAATCAATTACACTACAATTTACTCAAATATATTTTTTTAGTGATCTCATTTCCTTTTCTCATTTTTATTGAAGTATAGTTAATTTCCAATATTGTGTTAGTTTCAAGTGTACAGCAAAGTTCAGTAAAGTGATTCAGTTATATATATATATATTCTTATATATATGAGATTCAGTTTTATGTATATTATATTTTTATATTTATATATTTTACATACACTTTTTTCAGATCCTTTTCCATTATAGGATATTACAAGATATTGGGTAGAGTTCCCTGTGCTCTACAGTAGGTCCTTGTTGTTTACCTATTTTACATATAGTGGTGTGTATCTGCTAATCCCAAATTCCTAATTTATCCCTCCCCACCTCCACTATCCCCTTTGGTAACCACGAGTTTTTTTTTTTATGTCTGTGAGTCTGTTTCTCTTTTGTAATAAGTCCGTTTGTATCATTTTGTTAGGTGCCGCATATAAGTGACGTCATGTGGTGTTTGTCTTTCTCTGTCTGACTTACTTCACTTAATGTGATAATCTCTAGGTCCATCCATGTTTCTGCAAATGGCCTTATTTCGTTCTAGGAAGGAGTAATATTCCATTGTATATACGTACTACATCTTCTTTATCCATATATTAAGAGTATCATAACAGTGCTCAATAACAACTTTTTAATGCAGCGTATGCAGAGTGCCTGTCAGGGGTTGAGGGCTTTTGTCTCCAGCGGCCCAGGATTGGAATAGCGGCTCCTGAGTTTCCTCTGGACTGGATATGGACCAGCTCCCCCGTGGGGCCTCAGTTGCTCCGTCCTGGAGGGATTTCTGTGAGGGTGATACCCATAGAAAGGGTGTAGCACACAATAGGTGCTCACAGAGCGGGAGCTATTTTGCATGTATGGCTCACTTAGTAAATCTCAAATACATTTTGGAAACAAAAAAGAAGAAGGAACTAAAAGTGTTGATCGTGACTGTGGTAGTTGTTCTGGGATAATTGTCATAATGTGCTCAGCGTGGTTTCATTTTAATAGTGGCGATTGCTAGAAAATGATTGGGTTTTTTGCGTTCATTCAGAGCCTTCTCTAATTACAAGTGTTTCTTGGCTTTGGTCCATTCGTATACCCGAGGGAGGCTTCTTGCAGGAAAGTGCCATCTGTAGGGCCGGGCGCCCAGGCTGACTGTGGACAGGGCTCGTGGATGGAAACGGAGGAGGGCGTCCAGGAGGGAGGACACGCCTGCATCATTAGCACCAGATCCCACCCGGCAGGTGCCACTGCCCACCTTCAGCTGCAGGGAGCCCTCGGGAGGGGTTTCTATACCACCAATCACTATCATGATTCCCAAGGATTTGTGGTGTCTTTGCCAAAACGGAGCGCTGAGTAGGGGGTCCCAGGTGACTGCCTGCAGGTCTCCTGGGCGAAAGAGCCTTTTTCTCTGTCGAGCCGCGTTGCAGTCTGGGTTTGCCCAGCACGTCTGCCCATCCACCCAATAAATACTTTCCCCCATCCCCGAGGTGCCCAAGTGGGTCTGTCAGAGATGAGCTGACCATGACCCCTCCTCCAGGAGGGGGCTTCCCTCTGCTTCCCCTGAGAGCTCAGACCGGAGCAGAGTCCAGATGCAAGGCCTGATATCAGCCCTGAGTCGTGAAGATTACACGGGATGATCTAGGAAAGCTGCCGGCAAAGTGCTTGGCTCAGAAGAGCAGTGACATGACGCCAGCTCTTCATCCCCAAGTCACTGTTCACACCTCATGAGGCAGGGGACTGAGCTGAGCTTCACGACAGTTAATCAGGCTCCGGAGTGTGGGACAGGTGGACGGCCAGGGGCTAGAGTTTTTCGGGGACCTTTTCCTGTAGCTCTGGTAGGAGGTACTCAAGGCCGGCACCCGGAATAAGGGCCGGGGTGTAGTTGTGGTTGTGGCTGAGGGACAGCAAAGGGGGACCCTGTGCAGGTGGCTGGACCCCCCTTCCAGCCCCCAGCCCTGTGACCACAGGCTACGTAACCGAGGGCGCTGATGCATCTCTGGGCTGCTGTGATGCAACACGGAAATACTCCACCGTGTCAGCACGGGCACAGCGAAATGTTCCTACACGTTCAACAAGTTACTGTCGTTGGCAATTCTCAAGCCAAGGTGACCGGGCCTCTTGCAGGGTCTGTGAAGCTGCCTCTCAGAATCCCAGACCTCGTGATGTTTTAAGAGTTTGTTCTCCCCGGCACCTCCACGTCCTTGGCCTCTTCTCTCCCTCCCGAAACAGACAAACAAACGAAAAAGGAAAGTAACCTGAACAGCAGGAGCTTTTATAACCTGCTAGGGTAGTTATGGCGCTACTAACCTGGCTTGTTCTAAGGTGGGGCTACTTCCCAAGTGCAGGTAGAAATCGTGCCAGTACAAGACCTCCCCCCCTACCGCAGACTGACAAAGCCACGCTCCCAAAGGGTCCCCACTGTCACCCCGATCCCCGGCCCACTGTTTTTCTTCCCGAGTCCTCTGTGTCTTCCCTGAGTTTCCCGCCTCGGTGGAGGCTGGCCATCCCCAGGTGGGTGGTGGGCGAGCCCTCTGAGCCCGTTCTGCCTCTTCCAGGGTTGCCATGGAGCCCTTCTGTCCGCTCCTGCTGGCCGGTGTTAGCCTGCCCCTCGCCAAGGCTTTCAAGGGCAACGAGACCACCACCGCGCAGAGCAACTGGACCTCCACGACCGCAGGTAAGGGCCCCCCCCCGCCTCTTCCTCCCTGCCCTCCTGCCCGTACTGCCCACTGCCCCGCCTCCTGATGGCCTTGTGGGGTGATGGGCAGGTGAGTGGGAAGTGTGCTTCTGACCCTGCACGTCTGTAGGGCAGGCTGGCTAGGAGAGCAGTTGCTCCGTATTTGACTGGAGCAAAGCTGAGCACTCGGGAGGCAGCGGACATAAGCTCCCACCCCTGCCCTGGGCTGAGAGTCCGTGTCAGCTTGGTGGGACGGAGGGCAGGATGGCCTCCGTTGTGCTGAACCCAACTCAAACCAGCCCTGAACAAACATGGATGAGTCAGTGGGGGATATTTAAACGCTGCTGTGATAGTTGATGCCATTCATTAAGAAATTCATACTGTGGGGCGAGATATTGGTATAGCAGTCAGGTTTATTTTAAAAAATGAGTCCGTACCTTTTAGAGACGCATACTTGAATGTTGACAGCTGAAACGACAAGATATCTAGGAGTGACTTGGAAAAGAATACGTAGCGGGGCCGGCCACAGACGCACACAGTTGATCCAAGAATGTCAGGGGGCAGATACGCGGGGGTTCATTACTCTAGTCTCTCACTATTTTTATACTTTGAAAGTTAAAAAGGAGAAAAGGAAAAGGAATGCCTGATACATGAGACAATATGGGTAGATCTCAGAAACATGCGAGGTGACCAGACGGGCTCCCCACTCCTGGGTTCACCTAAAAATAAAATGCTTGGCTGATAACTGGCTGTGGCTGTCAGGTGTCCTTACAGGAAGCGGGACGGTTGTGTGACCTGGTGCCCACCAGAACGAATGTGGAAGTCACCTGTTGCAGCCTCTGCAGGCTTGGCAGTGGCTTCTGGTCACTTCCAAGAGGGAAATCATCTGGCTCAGAGCCCCTGTTATGTGAGTAGACGGGCTCCTGTGGCCTAGAATTCCGGAGGACACCTGACCGACCCTGTGAGGTGCCCTTTGAAACTTCATCTGTTCCCCAAAAGAAGGATGAAGCATCATTTGGGATGATCACAGCGCTTTGCCAGTGTGTTCCAAAATAACCGGAAATCATTTCATTTGCTCACTGAACAAAATGTATTAAATGGTCATCAGGAGACATTATTTTACACACGTGGTTGGAGGTAAATATCTACAAATTGTAGAGCAGAATGTTATTGTCCGGATTATATGAAGATTCCTAAACATTAACAAGAAACAAAAAAAGACAGTAGGAAAACGGTAAAAAATTTGACCGGGCAAAATATGAATATCTAATTAAGTATGTTTGTGAATCATGAAAAGGCGCCTAACCGTCTAGAAATTAGGGAAATGCAAATTTAACTAGTATTATTTTACTTATCAGATTGACAGAAATTCAAAGAATTACTAATATCTGGGAGAGATAGGCTCCATCGTACACTCCAGGTGAGTGTAGAAGGTGGAAACATTGGCAACTTGCAGTTTCGATTACAGTTTAACGTGTGTGGACAGAATACAAAGGGTCCACTTCCAGGAGCTCGCCTACAGAAACCCTTGTGAGATACACAAAGGTATCGACATGAGCTGCAGAATTGTAGGTAATAGCCAAAAAGTTGGCAACAACCTAAGTGTCCATCCCAATCTTGGTTTATCCAAAAAGTGGAAATTCAAGGGGCAGTTAAACAAAATGAAGAGGCTCCTGTGTGTTGACACTGAAACTCTCCAAGACAGACGACCCAAGAAAGGCAAGTCGCAGAGCTGCCAGATACCGTATTTCATCTGGTTTTTTTTTTTCCCCACATTTCACATCACTGAAGTGTGCCTTAATATCTTTTTTCCTTTCTTAGTGGTTCATAAAGTAATAGCACATCTTACGATCCGTGGAGTCTTAGATGTGATGAGAGAGTCGTTAGGACTCCAGTTATCAGCGAACCTGTAGGTTTATGAATGTAAACGTGTAGGGAAAATGTCAGGGCAGATACACCCCGTGGGTTTAACAGCGTGTAACTCTGGGAACAAGAAGGGATGGCTCTTGCCCGTGACTGTTCTGTGTTTGGTCTGAACATTTTGCAGCAGGCCTGGATCCCTGTGTTGCTCCTATCGACCAGAACCCAGCAAAACGCACGAGGTACAGGGTGGGAGCAGACTTTTAAAGTGCCCTCTGCTGGTAAACAGCGGGTCCTGCAGGGACCTTGCCCACCCCCCCGCCCCCCAACCAGAACACAGCTGCTCTGCCACCTTCTTCCCCTCCCTCCTCTTCTCTCCCACCCCTGCCCCAACTCTTCCCTCCCCCAGGGACCCCCAAGGCAGGGCAGATCCGCACTGGAGGAACATCATCCAGTACCCCCCCTTACTACAAGAGGGGACCCCAGAAGGGGGGGTCCCTTCGTCAAGGCCTTACACAGAACTCTTTAGGGCTGAGGGGGGAACCAAGGGGCCTCCCCACCCCCTGCTGCCCACCCTCACCTCACAGGGCCGTCCAGCACAGCGGGCGAGCTGCACAAGTTTAAGCGTGCAGGTGCATGACTGAGGTCAGGACTCACATGGCAGCCCCCGCCTTTCAAATTCCAGGACCAGATTCCATGTAAGCCGACACACACGTGTGCACACTTCTCAGGCGTGCATGGGCATAAATTTGCACGAACATCCATGCACACCTGACTTGGAGCATTGGCTGCATAGAATTGGAGGAGATTTGGGGAGAAGGCTGCTCCGAGTGGACCACCGGGGTACTTACCTCCAGGAGAGCCCCGCTCTGCTCCCCAACCGTGACCCTCAGCCCCACCCAGTCTGAGTCACATCACCGTGAAATGAAAACAGAAAGAGACTTGAATTTCCTCTTAGTCATCACCCTGACTTCCCGTCGGGAGCCCATTGGTGCCCAAGAACACAGCCCAGCCTGCAGAGGGTTTTTCTGACCCACATTGGTTTTCAAAATTGTATTTGGGTTGAATTGCTTACCGATATTTAAAAATCAGATATTTTTTACGTAAAAATATAGATTTCTTCCTTCGGTAAATTGGAAGAACTGAGCATGCCACGTGCACCTCTCCTTGGCCCCCGTGAGTTGGGGCTAAGACGCGGCCAGCCCTGCAGACAGGGCATGGACACCCCGCCAGTTCCCGGAGCCCCACGGGGCCTGCTCATCCTTGACTGTTCCCGCCTGACCTCCATCTTCCATAACAGACGCGGCTGCTGACAACTGACAGAGACCTCGAGCAGGGGAACCCATTTGTCCCTGTGGCCCATCGCTTCTGTCCGGGTACACGGCCCCTTTCTGGGGGCCTTGGGTCATTCCGCCTTGCTCCTTGAGGGTGTGCCGTGGAATTGCCCACGTCTGTAACTGCAGCCTTGACTCCGGGCAGCATGAAAGCGGAGGCTGGACCCTGGAGCCCCTGACGGCCCCAGGGGTGGGCTATCTGTGATCCCGGTGCCCACCTGAAGCTCCCGGCAGGCCTGCACGCTCAGCTAGGCCCATCCAGCCCTCGGACCTACGAGCTGGCCCGTCAGTCACTGCCATGGTTAAGCTGAGCAAATGCAGAAGTGGGGAGTTCGACAGGAGGGATGCCCCAGGAGAGCAGATGGGCACATGTCAGGCTCTGCGGCTGCATCTGGACGGGCAGGGATGGAGCTGAGTGGCCTCTCTGGGGCTGGGCCCAGCTCTGCCCCTTGGTAGCAGGCGTCTCCCCAATCAGTCTGGGCTTGAGTTGCTCCAAGGCCCTGGCAGGGTTCGGGGGTGCTCCAAGGAGCTGCAGGCAGGGAGGCCACAGGCAGGTCGGCTCCTAGGGTCAGGGAGGAGCCTCTGTAGCGGAGGGGCTCCCAGGGAGGGACTGAGCAGAGATCTCAGCCTGGCATCCCCAGCCTCCCAGCACAGCTGCGGTGGTCCCTGAACATCACTAGCTCAGGTGGCAGAGGCGTGGGGCAGCCTGGAGCGGGGGCATGTCGTAGGTTGGCCAGGTTTACGGTGGCTGAGGTCACCTCCTCACCGCTGTCCTCAGGTTTTAATACTTCCACGTCTAGCAGTCACTCAGGTCTGTAAGAGTCCTTCGTTCATTAGGAGTATAGCACTGACCACCCACAGGGTGCCGGCGTCAGCGCAGGGCCCCAGCGGCAGAGCTCCCGGCCCAGGGGTGAGATACCCATTACACCTTTGGGATACGTGGGGAGGGGTACGAGATGGGGGGCTGCGGGGCTGTGGAGCCCCCGCTGGGCTCAGGGGCCCTGTTGGCGCTTCTGTGACTCAGAGCGATGACGGTCCAGTCATGCCTTCTAGGGGCTTCCACTGAAACAGGGGTGAAGGCGGGCCCCCCGGGCCTGTTCCCCCCAGGAGAATAGGCTATGTGCTAAAGGCACACAGAGCCCCTCTGGGATCCACTGGAGGGGAGCTGCGTGGGCTTCGTGGACGAGGGGCCTTTGAGGTGCTCCTTGGCGAGCGAGGACGCTTTGGAGAGGAGGGCGCCGCAGGGCAGTCTGAGGGCACAGAAGCTGAGTCAGAACACTGGGTGAGGGGTGGGCTCTGAGGGTGGCAGCCGGGCCACCAGAGCCCCCTGGAATTCGGGCTTGCAGGCCAGGCCCTGGGCAGCCACGTTGGGTCCAGGGACGTGGCACCTTCTGGTCCAGGAAAGACAGATGAAAGGGGAGCGCGGGTGGTGCCTGGTCAGCAGCTTTCCTCTGGGCGGGTGAGGTCGGCAGCTCACGGCTCCGGGAGGCCGGGTCACCATGCGACCACGGGCCACTGTCCTGGGACAGAGCAGCAAGGCATCTACACTCCCACCCTCCTCCACCTCCCGTTAGGGGGAGGGACAGGTGCCCTGGGACCTGGGGAAACAGGTCACACGGGGGTCTGGGCCTTCACTACCCAGCAGCAGGGGGCCTTGGACACGTCAGGTCATCACATCCTCAGCTCAGCTTCTTCTTGGTGTCAACGCTGCTCATCTAAGTAGAGGGGCCTTTGTGGACCCAATGGACCAGGATGGTGAACTGAGTTGCAAACTGTAAAGTGGGGTCCGGGAAGAAGGGCAGATGAAGGAGGGAGTTTGCAAACTGTAAAGTGGGGTTCTCGTGTCAGGGAAAAAGGGTTGAGAGGGAGTGACTACTTGGCAAACTGTGAAGTGAGGTTTTGGTGTCCAGGAGGAAGGACTGTTGACGAAGGGAGTTTGTAAACTGTAAAGGAGGGTTCTGGTGTCCTGGGCCGCTGGGATGGGGGGGACGAATTGGTGACCTCTAAAGTGGGGTCTGGCATCAGGGAAGGGGGGCTGGTGGGAGGGCCACTTTGCAAACTGCGAGGTCTGGTGTTGGGAACCTTTCCTTGCCCAGAGCCCGCTTCCCCTTGTGCCTCGGGTCCTGACGGGGACCTGCTTCTGCCCCCAGGCGCTCCGGCCCCCGGCCCTCCGGCCCCCGGCGCGCCCCAGCCCCTGCTGGCCTGGCTGCTGCTCCCCTTGCTGCTGTTCCTGTTCCTTGCAGCCTACTTCTTCAGGTAGGAGTGCCCGGGCACTGGCTCACCCACACCTGCTAGGGAGGAAATGATGCAGACGAGCAGGCGGGGGCTGGCCGGGTGGCAGAGGGCAGAGCAGGGGCGGGGCCGAGGGGCCAGGGCAGTGGCTCAGCCATGAACAGCAGGAACAGCTTCTCTCGGCTCACCTGGTGGGTATCCCTGGGGTTCACCTGGTGGCTATCCCCGGGGCTCACCTGGTGGCTATCCCCGGGGCTCTGGACTCTCAGCAAGCTCCCTGTGCTGACACCTCACGCGTCTGTGTCTCTAAGGTTCAGGAAGCAGAGGAAGGCAGTGGTCAGCTCCAACGACAAGAAGATGCCTAACGGAATCCTAGAAGAGCAAGGTAGGGGGCCGGACTGGGCCGGGCCTGGGGGGGCCGTGCCTTTCTAACACCTTAACACTTAAATGATGGACTCCTCCGGCTTTGCGACTTTCATCTGGCTTTACCTGGTATCATGCCGTCCTTTATAACCGGAGTTTCCCCGTTTCAAAACTACTGTCATTTTCTGTCCGGTGTGAAACAGACGTTTGAGGCATTTCAGTTTGTGGCTTTGGGGGAGACACTGTTCATATCCTGTCGTTTTTCCAGGATTTCAACATATAAAATTTATCAGGAAGTCTTCGATCGTCCTAAGCTGAGACAGGTGGGCTCATAATGTACAGTTCTCGAAAGGGCCACCCTGGAATCCGCAGTTTTCCGATCAGCTAAAAGAAGGGAATTGATGTACCAAAGTGCTTAGCAGGGAGGCTCAGAGTAGCTCAGGGGGAATTTCCTGCCTTTCTTTGAGGTTCCAAATTCAGCTACTGACTTGTAAATTCTGCTTACAAAGGCACATTGGTTTTCTTCCCACGCGTTGAGATGTCCAAGAAAGGTATGTGAGGCAGAGGCTTTTAAAAATATTGTTCACACCAGTGACTACAACTTCCTCAGTCAGCTTGCTGCCTGGTTGTCCCGTGGTTTGGGGGAGCAGAGGTGCCATCAGACTTCAGATGAATTACAAAACCGACCCGGCACACGACAAAGAGTATCGGCAGCAAAGGACCTCAGCCAGACCCAGGAGGGCAGTTCTGTCGTGCTGGGAGACCCGTGACCCTGGTTTCATGATGACACGTGGCCTCCGGGCGCCACCTTCCTGCCCCCTTCTCCCTGCCCTGCACGTCCCAACAGCCCGGATGGGAGGAGGAAGTTGGGGCTGGTTAGGCCGCCTGCTCATGCTAGAGTGACTGTCTCAGGAGGAATGAGCCCTGGAGGGAGTTCTTGGCTGGCCTTCAGAACAGCTCTGCAGGTGGGGACAGGCCCTTTTGCAAGTGACAGCAAAATAGAGTTGACCTTGTTGAGAACAGCAGCTCGGTTCCCTAGGAAGAGAAGCACATGCCAGGGTGTCACTTGCAGTCTCACTCTGAATTTGTGAAAGCAGCTTGTCCGGGGACACCCTTGAAGTCTGGTCCTTCTCCTTTTCAGTGCCGCCAGCCCCTCCCCCCCCCCAAAAAAGAAAAAAAAAGCAATGGTTTCTCTTATTTCTCTTGGAGCTTATGGGGCTTGAGTAACCAGGACTAGTTGTTACAAAGAAGACAAGGCTGCGGGAGACTCATACCGGAACTGATTCCCAGCCTGTTACCAATTTGCGCCCAGAAACCTATTGTTATTCTGCTCCATTTCAAACCTGGACAGTTGAGCTGGAGTGTGAAGCCACCTGAATCCCTTGAGGAAGGAGAGGTGGCTGATGGGCGAGTGAGCTGGGAAGATGAGGCGTGTCTGGTTGGTAAGAGCAGGGGACGCCAGCCAGAGGGGCGTCCGTCTGTCACTATGAGTGATCAGGGTGTGTTAAAAGAGACAGACCTTGCGTTCAGCTGCTCATGATCTGAGCGACTGTCCCCCTCCAGCTGTGTCATTTCCTCAGGAACGTTGTCCGTCTGTCTGGCTAATGTCACCCATCTGGGAATATGGCTTAATAAGCCCTGTATTTCTGTTGATCCCACAGAGCAGCAAAGGGTGATGCTTCTCAGCAGGTCCCCCTCGGGGCCCAAGAAGTACTTTCCCATCCCCGTGGGGCACCTGGAGGAGGAGATCCGGGTCCGGTCGGCGGATGACTGCAAGAGGTTTCGGGAGGAGTTCAATGTGAGTTTGGGGCCCCTCTTTCTTGTCACGTGGAAGGGCGCTGGGACATGGGATGTCGTGTTTCAGGATAAATTAGCCCAAAGGCTCAGAATGCTGGCATCCATCGAGACACTGTCCCAAAAATGGGGTTCCAGGGAAACCTGGTTTCTGCCGTGATGACCCTCCGCTAACCCTCATTCCCATTTATGAGATGGTTGAGAAAGAGGTTCAGAACCTCCTTGCAGCTCAGACACCCTGGGTGCCGTGTTCTAAAGTCAAGTGTGACGGAAACACCGTTATCTCGATAATGTGCAAGACCGGGGCCTGAGTGGACCACAGGATAACAATTTCACGCTGAGAGCAAAGGAGCCCCCAAACCGTCCTGCACAACATCAATTAAACAGTCGAGGGGCTGCCTTGAGGGGACACTAGCTCTGCCTGGACAGCCCTTTGATTCTGCCCAAGTCAGTGTGTTCATCCTGCTACCGCTGTTCTGGGTGAACTTAATGATGGAAACAGCTAAGATGAATTTGACGAACTGGTCCAGCCCGATGGTAGCAAACCGATCCTACTGTCAACAAAAATGCAAATGTACATTAATGACACCTCCCCTTGTGTTGCTAATTTTTTAATTTAATGTTCCATGAATTGTGAATCTGCTAGATAGATAGATAGATAGACAGACAGTTATAGATGCTTGGATGCGCAGGCAGGCAGACAAGACGCACTGGGAAGTGTGGTCTCAGATTTGGCTGTCCAGTGTTTATCCCTGATCGTGTTTTGAGTTTTCTTTTATGCATCTTCCTCATATCGTATATAGCCGTGCGCTGGTGTTGAGCTTGAAAGAGGACGGGTTTCCAGCAGGGGGACCACCTGGTCCTGGCCCTGCCTGTGGCACCGCAGCCCCGCCCGGCCCATCAGTTATTCTCCTGGAAGCCACAGCTTCCGTCATCTGTGAAGGGGCAGGGGTGGGAGGATGCCTTAATGACCTCACAGGTCAAATATGAGGCTCTGACTTGGTAAACAGCAAAGAGTTGTACCATTGTGACATCTAAAGACAGCATGACTCCTGCTGCAGACAAGTGACTTTTTATCCAGAAGCAACCCACGAGGGCACGGCAGGGTGATGGCGCATTTAGACCCGTGCTTTTGTTTATTTTTTAACACAAGCCTCACCTGCCTTTATCTTGCTTCCTTTTAATTGTTTCCAAATGTATCCCCTTTTCTGAGCTATTAGGTCATAGTGAAAGACAGCTCCAAGCAGTATTGTTTTGCAGTCTCTCAGCCTGACAAGAGAAGTTAATTCTCCATTTTCAAAATGACTATCCAAGTTGGCAGCTACAGGACCATTTCCCCCACGTCCATTCTTGTCCTGTTTCCTCTTGTACTTGTATTTCTCCACGTGGAGGCTGGTGACTGCCCTTGCCGAGGGAGGGCTGAGTCAGAACTCGCTGGCTGTGCCACCATCTCAAAAGCGAGGGCCCGGGAAGAGGGTCGGGCAGGTAAGGCACTTGTCCCAGGTGCAAAATTTAAGGGGGCACCAAAACACTCTGTCATCTGGATAAATTCTATTTTCATGCAGCTTTTAAAAATCATCAAAATTAATGCAAGCAATCCATGATGAACAAAACAGCGCAACTGTAAATAAAGACAGGCTCACTCTGGTGTTTCCTGTTGCCCCAGGCTCCGACATGGCTTATCACCACGCTGTTGCTGATCCTGACGGTATTTAAAAGTTTGATATTTTGGTTATCATGGATTTTTTTTGCGTTTAGATTTTTTATTTCTTTTTTATTTTTTTTTTGGCGGTACGCGGGCCTCTCACTGCTGTGGCCTCTCCCGTTGTGGAGCACAGGCTTCGGACGCGCAGGCTCAGCGGCCATGGCTCACGGGCCCAGCCGCTCCGCGGCATGTGGGATCCTCCCGGACCGGGGCACGAACCCGCGTCCCCTGCATCGGCAGGCGGACTCTCAACCACTGTGCCACCAGGGAAGCCCTTGCGTTTAGATTTTTTTAGATGTTGCATTTGAATGGGATTTTTCTTGATTCCTGGGTTTTGGGGTACCAACCAAAGCAAGTGACTTGCTCTGCTCGCCCCACCCCTGCCACTGAGCAGCCTTCCCAGCTGCCCTCCTGCCCACGGCCTCCACTCAGGGAAGGGCCGGGAGACAGGGTCGAGGGGTCGAGTCCAGCAGCATGGAGCCTGGTCCTGGCTCCAGGGGACCCAGGGCAGCTGCACGTCCCCCTCTGGACCCCAGTTTGCTCCTCTCTCAGGCGAAGGGCAGGCTCTACTGAGCGCATCACAGCTGCCGTGACCAGCCCGCTCTTGCCTCCACTGGTGGGCACGCTTGAGCTGGGCCCTCGACGCTCGTCCTCTTCTTTGCTCACCCTCTGTCCTGAGCTCCTCTCCCAGGAACTGTGCAGGGAGACGGACGAGCCCCAAAGTAGTCGATCCGAATGAGTTGGCACTTGTGTGTACGGCCAGTGGAAGCTGCCGTGAACTTGACGAAGTAAAAGAGGGCCTGGCACTGGGATCCGTTCAGTGGGGTGATCAAGGCGTGGACGCTGGAGACGGGCTGCCTGGGCGCCTGCCCCAGATTTGCTTCTTACCAGCCTGGAGGGCTCGGGCGACATCCTTAACCTTTGCCTCAGTGGCCTCGTGTATGAAACGAGGCCCCCCCCAGCACCCATGGGAGTGTCTTAACACGTGAAAGAGGTAAGGTGTGTGCCCAGCTTAGCCTGGCTCCTGCATGAGGGGAGTCTGAGCTGCCGTCCTTCTCAGGACGACTTCTCTGAATGTCCGGTCTGCCGTCTCCACCCGCAATGGTAGAACGCTGACCTAGCAGAGTCTGTTCCAGGCCCCCGGTTAAGTCCCTGCAGGTGAGGAAAAGGCCCCCTCCAGACAGCTTCTTCCACGAGCCTCTGTCCCAGCAGGTTATTTTAAGCCCAGTGCCTAAAAATGTCACCTCAAACAAACCAGCAAACCCTCTTTAGCCAATTTACGTAACCGGACAATCCATCACAAGGTAGTTATCAGCCAACTGCTAGCTGCACGGCTCACTCGGGGCGCTGCAGGGGTTACCCAGCTATGGCAGACCACACCCGGCCCGCCCCAGAGCTCTCTTATGAGCCCTGTGCCTTTGGAGCAGCTCAGACATGACTGACGGCAGGAGAAAGTGCTGGCCTGCTCTGTGTGGGCGGTCATTCTGTGTGCTTGGAAATGGAGTAGAAATTCGGGGAGCAGAGTGCTTTGCCTCCACTGTGAACTTCTGTGCTGCCGCCCACAGAGTCAGGATCATCACCCCATCTCCGTGTTCTGCTCTCCGGTCACTGCCGGGGCCACACGGCTGTGGGTGGCAGAGCCGGGTCCATCCTTACCGCTCAGACCCCTCCAGCCACTCCAACCTTCAGAGGAAGAGGGAGGCTTCTTGGTTTTGTTTTGTTCTGTTAATTTATTAATTTTAATAGAGTATGTTTTAGAGCAGATTTCGGTTTACAGAAAAATTGTGCAGAAAGTACCAAGTTCCCCTATACCCCATCTTTCCCTGCACAGTTTCCGCAACGATTAACGTCTCGTCTGAGTGTGTTACACTTGTCACAACTGATGAGCCAACGTTGACTCGTTGTTACAAACTAAAGTCCGGGTCAGGGGTCCAGCGCCGCACATTCTGTGGGTTTTGACAAACGCACAGCGTCATGCGTCCCCCGCGATGGTCTCAGGCCTCATTTTTGTTTTCAGTGCTGGGGTCAAAAAAGCTTCGGGGTGAAAAAGAGAAGGCTCTAGAATGTTGCTACAAATTTCACGTTGAGGTTTGGTCAAGAAACTCAGTGTTAAGACAGCTCGATGCAGAGCTCCCGGTGGAGGAGGTGCTGGTCTGGCGGAGAACTGCCCACCAGCCTTGCCCACGTGCCCGCCGGGCGGGCCTCCACACTGGCCCTGGCAGAGCCTCTGCCTGTGGCCACTGGGTGTGGTGGGGAAAGAGGCCATGGGCTGGCCGGGGCTGGGTCTGTGATGGAGAAACCCCCGACCCGGGAGAAGGGGGCTCTGGGCCCCCGTGGGCTGCACACCCGACTCGGGGCCTTGGCTTTGATCCCAGGCTGTGCCTCAGTCTCCTGGGCACTTATAGCCAGACGCAGGGAAGCCCTCGCTTGTCCCTACACTTAAGGAAGCGAGTCCCCTTCTCGTGGTCCAGGTGCCAGCTCCACGTGCCCTCCCACTGCCTGCTACGTGCTAGGCAGGCGACTCTGGACAATTCTGCAGCCACCCTGGGGTTCTCTTTCCTCACCTGCAAAACAGGAGTGATCCTGGTGTCACCTGATAATAGGTAAGTTGTGAAGGCAGGTGACCCAGCTCCTCCCTCAGTGCCTGGCACTTCGTAAACACTCGATAGATTTTAACACCAGTGACCCCTGGTTCCTCTGACGGTCAGGCTGAATGTTGAAGGATGTGATTTGGGGGTTCAGAAGGCTCTCTCCCACTGTGCACTTCGAGAAGCCCCCCTGAGCATGGAGCCCCCCCCAGCAGCGAGCAAACAGGAAGACAGTTGGTGCTAACAAGAGCCGAGGGCCTCTGAGTCGTGGAAAGAACTAGAAGTCAGGACGCTGGGCTGACACCTGCTGTGCCACACGTCAGCTTTAGGGGCCTAGCTGAGCCCCTATACTCATTTTCCTCCTCTAAGACAAAGGGAGGGTTAGGGCGGTGCGTGCAGGTCCCCTGGGGAAGTGGGTAGCTGCTGTGCGGGCCTGGGGTGGCCTGAGATCTGCATTTTCAAGGAGCCCCCCAGCTGTGCCTGTCCCACTGGTCCTCAGAGCACACCAAGTCCTCAGCAGGTGAGGGCTCGAGGACGGTCCTTCGCCATCACTCTGCTCGTCCTTCAGCCCAGCATCTGGGTCCTTGCTCCCGGATCAGAGCTCTGCCGTGGCCAGTTCCTACGTACTTGTGCAGGGCCTGCTCTGGACCAGGACTGTGAGTCCTGGGGGTTTGGTGGCAATGCACGGGCCAGCCCCTGCCTTAATGCACTTCGGGGTCCAGCTATGGGTCATCAGGTTATCTGCACCTCCGCTGGCCCCACTAGACAGCGGGCCCAAGGGGAGGGGGGCCTGTGTCTCCATCACATCTCTGCCCGGTGCCGGCCCAGCGCCTGAGGCAGAAACTTCCACAGGCAGGAGTAGAGAGATGGGCCCAGCACTGGAGGTGCTCAGAGACCAGATTTCTGGATTCGTGCGCTCAGTCGGGAGGTGACGTAAACACAGTGTTGGATTCCTCACGTTTAGTGCTGACCCTGTGCTTTCTTCTAGTCACTGCCGTCTGGACACGTACCGGGAACTTTTGAGCTGGCCAATAAAGAAGAAAACAGAGAGAAAAACAGATATCCCAACATCCTTCCCAGTAAGCTTTTACTTTTTTTGCGCGATGGGTGGCATTTTGACTAAACTCAGCCTTGCCTTGCAGCTACTGGTGACCCTGCCTGTCCCGACAGCAGATGCGCGGGGGCTTGGAGGTCAGGGCCTGGGTCAGTGCAGCGGCTCAGCCTTCGCAGCTGGGAGTCTAGGTGTCTGTCTCCCGCCCAGGACTTGTGTAGCCTGTGTTGCTCTGGGTCTGGCTGCCAAGCCTGTGCTCGCTGTTGAGACCTGCGCTGCCTCGTCTATCTGCCCAAGAGGGGTGCCCCCCGCACCGGCTGGCAGGGCTCCTCCTATGGACCCAAATCGTGCCTGGGTCTCGGGCAGCTGGTGGCCCTGGGCATCTCCCGTCTTGGACGCAGTGCTCCTGCCACCAGCAACAAGGCTCCTGTACCAAGGACAGAAGTGGCAGAATAAGAGAGCTGTCTGACATTGGCAGCTTGGTGGGAAGGCTTAGAAGTAACTGGATCTTTACCACCACAGCTAAAGGTGGCCATGGGCTGGGGAGGGCGGCCTCCAGGGGGTGAGGGGCCGGGGAGCAGACACATCTGTCCAGGGGCGTTGCTGGATGGGCTGCGCCTTGGCCTCGGTGCCAAGACAGACCCCCAGAGTTCCAAGCTGCCTTTGTGGAAGCTGGCCCGGGAGGTTTGCGACGTCCTTCCTCCATCCTGGACCCTCCTGTTGGCTTTGCCATCGGACTAACAGAAGGGCAGCCTCAAAAAACTCCAGGGAGTTCACATTTGAACCCCAAACCAAGGCCTCGCCGAGTCCCAGGGAACACCTCCCTCCTGAGGCAGTGCTTCCGTGGGGTGGAGCAAGCTGGCCTGTGCTGGCCCTCGGCATGTCCGCTCCTGGTTGCACTTTTAGGGTTAGAATTGAGCCCGGCTGCTCTGTAGGTAGGAGAAGCTGTGGTCCGCCTCATCTGTGTGGTGTCTGGATTATCGGCACTTGATAGAAACAATTCTTTCCCATCTTACGTGCGTAGGATTTATTTGCGGTTTTGTTTGGGTTTTTTTTTGTTTTTTTGTGGGTGTTTTCTGCAGGGCCCACCACGAGCCTGGGTCAACTAAAACCAGAGAAGTTAACTAAGTAGTCTGCCATCCAACACATACTTGTAGAGGCAGCCAAGGGGGCACCAGGGAGACGGGTCAGGAGGCCACTGTGGTCACACAGCCGAGCTGAGAGGGTGGCTTGGACCAGGGTCAGGTTCTGCACACACTGCAATGATCACGTTGAGAGGACTTGCTGTTAGATTGGGTGAGGCTTATCGGAGGCAAGTTTCGCGGCTTGAATAGCTCAAGGGAAAGGAAAACCATGCAGGAGGTTGGGGGTCTTTGGAATGTTGTTGGTCGAATAAAAATCGGGATATTTGGAAGTTAGCATCTAGTATTAGTTGAATTAATTACTTGATGCGTTGCCTGCAGAACGTACACGTGGAGGACCCACTCAGCGCCAAAGCCCTTTGCCAGGTTCCTCACCTGCATTCCTGTCCTTATCACTCACTGAACACTGTATCTTTTAAAGCTAACGATTACATTGCCGATTAAGAGTCGTTTGGGTGGGAGCTCAACCGGGCGGAATTAGCAGCCAGGTGTAGGAATTACCTGCACCCACCACTGCTCCCAGATGTGATGGCTGGGGGAGTGGGCACCGCCTCCCCAGAGGATCACCAGCGGGGACCAGCAGGACCTGGTCCGGCACAGCATCTCTAAGCCGTGTCCTCCAGCTCGTACCGTGGAAGTGAGTTGGCCTTTCCTGCAGGTAGGAAAATGTGGGTCCTGCCTCAGCCCCTCCTGGCCCAGGAGCGCCACGTCAGAGGTAACGGAGGGCGCTGGCCATCCACAAGGGCCCACGGGACCTCTGCCAGAATGTGAGTGTTTCACGTTGGTGGGAGGATGCGTTTACGGAGCAGTGGCCTGGAGATACTCGGGGTGGGCCCTGGAGACGGCCAGCTGGGTGGCATCTGGCGTTTGGCACCAGCCAGACATAGGAGGAGCGTATCTGATTAAACTGAGCAATTGGCCAGAGATGCCCTGGGGCAGCTGGATCACGGGGATATCGTGCAGGGGGCTCCCAGACCTGCTTTCCCCACCCCAAGGCTGGGAGACCCTTCTCTTACTCAGGTTGAGGTCAGGGTCAACGGGCAGGGAGAGGGGCGGGGGCCCAAGGCCCTCAGTCCGGTACACCTTCCCTGCGCCTCGCCCTCTTCCCCAAGCAGAGATTGGCTGTAACTGTATCAGATTTATGAGGCGCCCCTGGGGCAGGAGCCCAGTCCTGGATGTGGCTCTAGGGAGCTCTGAGGACAGAGGTCAAGGTGCCGGGCGTGCTGAGAGGCTGCATGTTCCAAGGGCTCCACGGCCGGTAGCAAGAGAGCATCCTCTCTTCTGGAAAAAAAACACCAACACCTGGTAATGTTAGGAAATAGTGTTTTGAAAGAGTAGTGCAACTTTTTAGAGTAAAAAGACAGGAAGCTCTTAGAACTGCAAGATGCTAAATCTAACCAGAACGCTATTTTTTACCCCCTGCTTTCTATAGCTGTCCTCAAAAGGGTAAATTGGTCCAAATTATGTTCAACTAGCTTTATACATGTTCAGCCAGAGCTATTTCTGCCTCAGGGCTGTCAGCCCCTGAGCAGAAGGGTCTCATGGCCGAGCCTTTGTGGGCTGTGAGTTTGAGGTTGGGCACCCTGACAGCCCAGTGTGGGCCGTGACTGACCCTGAGAGCTGCACTGGCTGTGCTCGCTAGCAGCAGTGGTACAGTGTCCAGACAGCTCGCAGTCAACCCAGCTTCCTTCCATGTAAATGGGAGACGTACAGCCTGTGACTAGGAGGGAACAAAGCAGGGGCCAGGACGTGGAACTATTCAATAATTAATGCAGTAAATACATACGAAGTACCCACCATGTGCTGTGCCCAGCGCAGCATAATAAACGCGGAAGCAGCTTGATCCCCGGGCCCCGGGCCGAGTCTGGGCATCCTTCATATTTCTACTCCTGGGAGCGGCCGGCCGCTTACACACCAGTGGGGAGACCCAGGGCCGGGGCCACACCACCTGTAGGGACCCATAAAACCATCTAATTTCTTTGTGAATCTGAAGAAAATATATACCTAATCCAGCCTGGTTCACACTCATCTTTTTTTTTTTTTTTAATAAATGTATTTATTTATTTTATTTATTTTTGGCTGCATTGGGTGTTTGTTGCTGCGCGCGGGTTTTCTCTAGTTGCGGCGAGCGGGGGCTACTCTTCGTTGCGGTGTGTGGGCTTCTCATTGCGGTGGCTTCTCTTGTTGTGGAGCACGGTCTCTAGGCGCGCGGGCTTCAGTAGTTGTGGCACGCAGGCTCAGTAGTTGTGGCTAGCGGGCTCTAGAGCACAGGCTCAGTAGTTGTGGAGCACGGGCTTAGTTTCTCCACGGCATGTGGGATCTTCCTGGACCAGGGCTCGAACCCGTGTCCTCTGCATTGGCAGGCGGATTCTTAACCACTGTGCCACCAGGGAAGCCCCTCACACTCATCTTTATACCAACTTCTAATACAGTTGTAAAGTAAAATGTGTAATTTTTTTCTTTTGGAGAAAGGGGCCCATGAAGGCAGAAGTGACCTGGACCCATGTAGGTCACATAGGGCCCTGGTTGAAAGCTCTTCCACATGTGTGTACACACAAATACATACCACAAGCATACTCATACACACCACAAACACATATATACACCACACTCACATAAATACAACACACATTACACACACTGTATACAAGACACACCACTATACACCCCACAAGTACACACCACACACACACACACACACACACACACACTACACACACAGCCCTCCCTGCTCAGCCCTCCCACACTGGAAAACCACTTGTACCACAGACCAGAATCCTCCAGGCAGTGGCCCATCCTGCCCAGGCAGTCCGTGTGAGTGTGGCTTACCTTTCTGCTCTGGGGCAGACCTGAACATGAGGACTGGGGTCTGGAGTCCCAAACCCCAGAGCCTTGTGTCCGTGTGTCCAGAGGCAGAGTTGTGCTCCTCCTGGAAAGCCTGGGAGACTGGACCCCGGAAGTGGTCCTGAGGGTACCCTCACTGGTCAGTACTGGGGCCTGGTTTGGGGTTCAGAGGATATTGCCATCACACTGTAGGGGTCCCGCACGTTCTGCTGTGTCTGCGTGATGGTTCAGCAGACCGACTCCTGGACCCTGAAATTCTTACCTGTCATCATCCCACAGGTTGTATTGAGCTCCTGTTTGGGGCCTGGCTTGTCCTCAGTGCTGAGGTACAACAGGTGCATCCCCGACCTCAGGGCACTGAGGATCTTGTGGGAATGTTTAAGAAGAATGTCCCTTCTGTCCCGTGATCACCATGGTTATGTCCTTTGTAGTGTTTAATACTGTGCCTGTGATTCCCTTGTCCTAATGTCATGGTTTTTGTGTTGGGTTTTTTTGCAGATGACCATTCCAGGGTAATTTTAAGCCAGGTGGACGGAACCCCATGTTCAGACTACATCAATGCTTCATACATAGATGTAAGTATGCCCAGCCCCCCACCCAGCATGACACTCATGCTTGGACCATTGGGGGTTGAGTGTGAATCATGACCGTTGGACACTTTCTTCTCTGGGGCCACAGATGTAAATTGTCACAACTTTCCTGAGCGCAGTGGCCACACTGGTCACAGCACAGAGCATGAAAGTGCTGGGCCTTTTGAATTAGCACCTGTGTCGGGGATTTGTTCTTAAGATGCAGATAAGCCCTGAGGATGTCCATTACAGCCTTATTTATATCACTGACCAAACAGAACAGAGGGGACCAGTTAAACAAATTGTGGTAAAATCATACACAATGGATTATTAAGAATCCATTTTAGTTGAACCTTAAAAGATCATTTAATAGAAATTTTAAATTATCATAAAAATTCAGTATAAGAGAATGTGTACATATTAACCAATTTAAATATATATATATATACGTGTGTGTCTGTGTTTCTGCTTGTGTGTGTGTCTGGGAAGGTAGTCACAGAAAAAATACTGGAGAGGGATATACAAAAATAGCATGTTATTTCTGGAATTCCTGGTGAGTTTTCTTTGTACTTTTCTGTGTTTTCCAAATTCTTCACGATGGATACGTGTTATTTTAGTAACAACAACAAAATCCTTCCACAACGATAATTTTGAAAAATTATAAATCTGATTTTATTTTTCTAGGGTTATAAAGAGAAGAATAAATTCATCGCAGCTCAAGGTAAGCTTTTTGTTAAGTTACTTTCTGAACATGATTTTGGTAAAATGACATGGAAGGTGATTGCTTCTTTATCCGGTACCAACCATCCTGAGGGTTTATGTCGGCTTTTTGTACGTGTGTGTGCTGCTACATTTACGTAGCTGATCAGAGTCCGTCTAGCCTTTCCCGAAGCACAGAGTTCAAAGCTGTCATGAATCTCACACAGCACTGCCACTCACTGTGTCTGCTTCACTGGCCAGGAGTGTCCCATCCCCTGCGAGCTGGTCAGAAATGCAGCAGCTCAGGCCCCACCCCCAGCCTGCTGCTGTCCCTGAATTTGCATTTTGGCCAGCGTTCCCAGGTCATTCTGCTCAGTAGAGTTTGAGAAGCATTATACTGTGAGGTGATGAAACTCCTCCTAGGAACAGGGTTTCAAAGGAGCAGAAGAGTTGGAACCTCTGAGAGCATATGCCCCCCGTCTGTGGTCAGGGCAGACAGACATGGAGCGTTTGGGGGCGTCTGTCATACAACAGGCATGTTAGATGTGCAGTCACACGATGTGTATGTGCAGAAAGACACACGATCTGTTTCCACACCTGCATGATTTAAACCCAGACACCCAGTGGTCTGGGTTGCCACTTCAGCATGTCGATACTTGCGTTAGAAAACCTTGAATCTCCCTCGGCTGGCTAAGCTCTATGTGGCTTCCAAGTTGTCGGGTTTGGGGATTACTTTCAATCCAGCATCTCCCATCTGCCCAGGGGTTGCATCCCCAGGAGCCAGTACTGGTGCGGTTGGGTGTCATTGGAGCTAAAACTAGGTTTCCTGGACGTCCTGACTCCTCAGCAAGAGTCTTTAGAGCTGTGGGTCCCAAAATTCAGTGTAGATCAACATCTTAAATGCACATTCCCTGAAAAATAGGGAGATACACATACGCCCACCGTCCATCAGGAATAGGCCCAGCTCTAAATGTCAGAAAACCTGACAAACACTAGCTGACACCAACTGAAATGTCTTTTTCGTTCTTGTAAGCAGACCTCCAGGGGAAGCAGCGCAGGGCTGGGGTGGCAGCTCAGGGGAGAGGGGCCTCTTTTATACCTCTCCACCCTCCATGGCGTCATCCTCAGGGTCACAGCATGGCCTTCTGCACCTCAAGGCACTGTGTCCCTAATCAGGCAGGAAAGAGGGCAATGGTCAGAGGACTTTCCTCCAGGGACACTTTATCTTTTGTTCAGATCCCCTCCCCAGGGACTTCAACCCACATCTCACTGGACAGCGTTACTGGCTGTCAGGGCAGCCAGAAGATGAGATGTTTTCAGAGGAATGGGGGTTAGACATGGCACGCGGGTCAGTCAGCCTGCAGTCTCTCTCTCTCTCTCTCTCTGTCACATACACACACACACACACACACTCTCTCTCTCTCTCTCTCTCTCTCTCTCTCTCTCTGCTTCAGCAGTTCTGGATGGAGGGTCATATTCTGAGGCTTTGACAAGCACCCCAGTGGCCACAAACCACTTTGACAGGCAGCTTGAAACCCAGCTCCCATTTGAATAGCCTTTATGGCCCAGGAAGATCATCACCCAACTGGGTCTTACTTAGCTCCTGAGGATTTCCCAGCCCCAGCGGGACATCGAGGGGGGGAGTGGTAGGACAGAATGGGGAGGCTGCCGCCTACTCCGGTTCTGGGACTCTGTAGGGTGTGAAATGGACCAGCAGGCCCAACACCCCCTTCCTCAGGGTGGGTGGGGAAGCCGTTCCCGGGGCCTGAGGGCCAGGGCCACAGGCCTGGGGCTCGCAGCGACCTCTCGGTCTGACTTTGGGACCATCGTCTGCTCACAGGCCCTAAGCAGGAGACAGTGAATGACTTCTGGAGGATGATCTGGGAGCAGAAGTCTGCAACCATCGTCATGTTGACGAACCTGAAAGAAAGGAAAGAGGTAAGCCCAGCCTCTGAGTCACCGGCACCTTCTTCTCAGCTGCTTCGCTGGGGGTATGCTTACCACTTCCTGTTCCTTTCTGTCCCGCCCCCCCGCCACTTATCACTGCAGAAGAGAAAAAACACCCAGTGGCTCACAGCATTTTTATTTTGAAATAAATTCTCTGTGTTCCAAGGATCTCACTGTCTTAGACTATGATGTAAAAATGACGCAGAATTTTCTTCTTTCAGCTGAGGGTCATCCCTGGTGGGCTACTCCATGGTGGGAGCGATGGATTTTAATATAGAGATCTTTAGTATGCCGGACATATAATGTGTGGAGCCTCAGACCATAAAAAAAATGATTTCCTGCGTATTACTCAGACCAGAGAAATGCATTTGAAAAAACAAGGCGTATTGAAGTAATATTGATTTGTCGTGTCAGTGTGTTTAATTAGCTGTTTCTAATTATGCTAATTATGTAATGCATGTACATTATAAGAACTTGAAATCTCTAGGTTAAGCTGGTTCATTTCCTACGGGGACAGGTACACGTTGGCCTCTGTCTCCTGGACAGGGCTGCCCCAGGTGGGGTGCATGTAGTCAGCCGCCCGGCAGACCCTTCAAGCAATTTCTATTCCACTGACGGGGGCTGCCGCCAAACGGAGAGCACGTGAATGTAGATTATGTCAGGAGGTGACAGAAAATATAGAGGAGAATAACGAGGACAGCGGTGGCCCGGGAGGGACGGGCCACCCGGAAGGCAAGGCCAGGCTGAGGGTGCAGAGACGCCGGGGCATTCTCATGCCTGGGAGTCACTCACTTTTTAGCCAAAGGGACGCAGACCCCTGTAGGATAAACCGGAACACAGCATGATTGTGGCTCTGGAGGTATGGAGGAGAGGAGGGGCGGCCCCCCGTGGGTCCTGGGCTAGGACCAGGGCAGGAGGGCTCATTTAGGGGGTGATGGTGTTGCTGGGTCTCAAAGACTGGGCTGGTGCGGGGAGGGACTGCATCGGATGCAGCTGGAGAGAGGCACTGGGGCGGGGAGGCGTGTTCGCAAGGCCGGGAGCAATGTGCTGGGCCCAGAACCAGGACGCCCACACGGGGGACAGAGCGGCTACAAATGCACCAGGGAACTGGGGCTTGGGGCTTGAACGTCGGGCTGAGACGGGTGGGCAGTGGAGGCCCTCGGCGGGTTTCTCGGCAGTAAGCAGGGGCCTGTGCTTTAGGAAGTGAGCTCTCGCTCGCTCTCCAGAAGGAAAGAATTGGGAGCTGGAGGCACGGACGCTGGCGGCAGGGAGACTGTTCTTCTCGCAGATTGCAGCGTGAGGGCCAGCACGAGGGTGGGTGTGAGCAGGCCAAGAGGAAGACCCAGCCTGGCGAGAGACGTCCGTCCTGCTGATCTCTTCCCAGGGTCTGCGTGTCCTGGCACTCGGCCAGGCACGGGCCCAGAGGCACTGATTCCCCCGACCCCGCGCCCTGTGCTCCATCATCACGCACTGGCCTGGGGCTGGCTGGCCTGTCCCCAGCGAAGCCCAGGCAGCTTGGCTGGGGCCTGGGCTGGAGGGCGGGGCTGCCGGTTGAGATGGAAGTGACAGGCCGTGGGGAGCTCAGCTGGGGCAGGGGTGGGGAGGCCAGGCGGCAGGCGGGGCAGCCCTAGCGGCCACCATCATCACTAATTTGTTCCGCCCAAAAAAGCACCGGATTTTTGCATCTATGTTCATCAGTGATATTGGCCTGTAGTTTTCTTTCTTTGTGACATCCTTGTCTGGTTTTGGTATCAGGGCGATGGTGGCCTCGTAGAAAGTGTTTGGGAGTGCTCCTCCCTCTGCTATATTTTGGAAGAGTTTGAGAAGGATAGGTGTTAGCTCTTCTCTAAATGTTTGATAGAATTCGCCTGTGAAGGCATCTGGTCCTGGGCTTTTGTTTGTTGGAAGATTTTTAATCGGTTTCAATTTCAGTGCTTGTGATTGGTCTGTTCATATTTTCTATTTCTTCCTGATTCAGGCTTGGCAGGTTGTGCATACAATGGAATATCACTCAGCCATAAAAAGAAACGAAATTGAGCTATTTGTAATGAGGTGGATAGACCTAGAGTCTGTCATACAGAGTGAAGTAAGTCAGAAAGAGAAAGACAAATACCGTATGCTAACACATATATATGGAATCTAAGGAAAAAAAATGTCATGAAGAACCTAGGGGTAAGACAGGAATAAAGACACAGACCTACTAGAGAATGGACTTGAGGATACGGGGAGGGGGATGGGTAAGCTGTGACAAAGTGAGAGAGTGGCACGGACATATATACACTACCAAACGTAAGGTAGCTGGCTAGTGGGAAGCAGCCGCATAGCACAGGGAGATCAGCTCGGTGCTTTGTGACCATCTAGAGGGGTGGGATAGGGAGGGAGACGCAAGAGGGAAGAGATATGGGAACATATGTGTATGTATAACCGATTCACCTTGTTATTAAGCAGAAACTAACACACCATTGTAAAGCAATTATACTCCAATAAAGATGAAAAAAAAAAAAAAAAGAAAGCACCAGAAGAGGCTCCACACACACTTTCGGGTCGGGGACAGGAGAGGGGTTTTCTTTTGTTTTCCAGGGAGCTGAGACGGGGCTGGGGAGGGCCAGCCTTCTCTGTGTGAATCCTGCCCTGGCCTTCCTCTCTCGCCAGAAAGGGGAGGAAGCAGGGGGTTCCGGGGCAGGGACACGGCCCTGGGGGGAGGGGGGGAGGGTGGCTGCACAGGAGGTGTCCCCAAGCTCTGGGCAGGTGCTGCGGCAGGACCTGGCCCTAGAAGAGGAGGCTGACCTGGAGCCCCGTGTCCCGTGGGACCAGCTGTCCCCTGGGACCAGGCTTCTGGGGGCTCGTTTATAAACATGAGACACAACGAGACCAGTGCAGAAGCGGTGGGACTCAGAAGACACCCCCAGCTCCCCCATCAGTGATCCTGTTGCTACGTTACTTGACATTTTCCCTCCATCTTTCTCTACAGAAAGATCCTACTGCATTTTTCTGTCTCTGTGACTCAGAGCTGGCCTGCTTCTGTGTCTTGATTTTCACCGTTTCAGATGAAATCGTTTCTCAATAGGGTTCCCTTTTTCTTAATCGCTTACACTTCTGTTGTGGTCTCCCTGGCTTCAACATCCTGACTTGATGTTGCGAAATGTAGCTGCTCTGGCGTCTCATGATCTGATGGGAGGGAGGGGACGGCACCCGCCATGTAGACGGGAGCCATGTAGACGGGAGGCCGAGGGCGTGGAAACAGTGCACACACTGAGCCCTCTGGCGGCCTGAGAAATAGCCCTCGGGTCCCCGAGTGAGAGTTTGTCAAGGTGAGAATCTCTGGAGGGTCCCTAGGAGGCCAAGACTGTCCTGAACCAGGACCTTCAGGGCTTGGCTTCTCCTCGGAGTCCCTTCCGAGTCACCCGGGCCCGGGCCGTGGAGGGGAAGTTGTCTGGTGGGTGTCATCACACAAGCTCTGGGCGCTGGTGAATACCAGCTGACTCTTGTTTTATCAGATTATCAGTGACTCGACAGCTGTGCCCTGTGGGCAGTTTCCAGGGTAAACGGCTTGCTGACCCCAGGGCCTCTCCCGTGGCTGTGGAGCCGGTGTCTCCCCCTTAGGCGGGCCTCATGCCTTCAGGTCCTCCTTGTAGGAGGACAACCTGGGATCGGGGGCCGGAGGCCCCATCCCCACCCTCTCGTGTGGCCCTTTGGTAGTTCCGGGGGAGGGAAGGCAAAGGAAGGGCCTCTCCATGACCACGCGCCCGCTCCGCAAATTCCCACATCGGGCTCCTCCTGGCTGGAGAAAAATTAGGAACGTTCAGCTGACCACAGGCTCATGACTCTCCCACAGAGGACGGGCGGGATGCAAATTTAGTTTGTCCTTAGTGCTGGGCAGGAAAAACGACCCGCTGAATGCGACGGGTAGTGTTTGGGGAGCACGTGGTCCTCCGGGGCTTAGGGCGGCCCCTCCCAGGTGAGGCCACTTCTGCTCTGGTCCCCAGCTCTACAGGGAGCAGCTCAGCCAGACGGTTCGGCTGATGTGTGGGGTTAGCGAGTGGATGAGTGAATGAGACATGAACTGGAAATGGTCCGATCCTGGTCTCAGCCCTGCCATTCATCAGCTGTGTGGCCTCAGTTTCCCCATTGATAAGATGGAAACACACTTCCCCAGCTGAGGACTGTTTCACGGGAAGCTGGTGTGTGTGAGGCCTTGTGGCCATGGCCAAGGAGGGGGCAACGAGGTGCTCAAAGGTCCCCACAGACCTATTGTTTCTGTTCAATTGTTCCACGCAGGAGAAGTGCTATCAGTACTGGCCGGACCAGGGCTGCTGGACCTACGGAAGCATCCGGGTGTGTGTGGAGGATTGCGTGGTCCTGGTGGATTACACCATCCGGAAGTTCTGCATTCAGTCCGTAAGCACGTTACATCCTGGACTTTTCTGGAGAAGCAGGGTAGGGAGTAAATACCCGTCTACGTTTATAATAGGAAGCGCTTTGCCCGCGGCTCTCACGAGTGGAGGATGAGGCTGGAGGAAGTGCCGGGCGGGGGTGTGGGATGGTCGTTAGTGGGCCCAGGCAGTGAGTCTACAGGGCAGATGGCAGACAGGTGCACGTGGGCCTTGAGTCAGTGCCGGATGTTCCTGGCTCCCAGGGACCTTTCTGGGTGGAGGAAGTCGAGTCAGTGGGAGGGCCATGGGGGTCCCCACTCAGTGACACAGTGTCATTTCACACGCTGGAATGGTGAGGTGAGGTTTTTTTTAGCAGTTTCAAAATCATATCTGAAACACCTCATTAGTTTTCCCACTGATTTCCTGCTAATCCTTCCTTCCCAGAAGGGATTTAAGGCAGTCTTCAGTAAAGATACCTGTATGCAAGGCAGATGAAGTAGAGGTTTAAGAGATTAAAAACCCCAGAAAAGGCAGAAGGTCGCGTCATCAGGAATCGAAGGTAGAGTGAGGGGTTTAGCTAGATTACAAACTAAGAGTCTGAGGTTCCGAGAAACCACAGCAAAAAAGGAAAGAGGATGAGCTTCATCGTTCTTACTTTCCCCGGCCTGCTTGCCGCCCCAAAACACACACACACACACACACACACACACACACAACTTCCCAATACACCGTATAACTTTCTGTGGCTTTGGGCAGGGAACCAAACCTGGGTTCTGGGTAATAAACTCTGAGAGTGGCTTTGGGGCATGGGGTGGGGGGTCTCCCGAGGGCCAACCACGTCTTTTCCCCGAAAATTAAGACGCTTATGAGAGTGAAAGCTTCTGCCGTTGGTAGTTACACAGGCATAAAAGCTAAGCCCACCAGGATGCAGCCACCCTGCTTCCCAGCGGGGTCCATGAGCCCTAGGGCCATCTGTAGGGATGTATCTGGCTGTCTGGGGCCTGGCCTGGCCTGGTCCTGGGACAGGTGACCGTGGGTCCCGCTCTGCTGCCCCTGCTGCCACGGTGCTGTGTCCAGAGCCGGCAGTAAGAATCAGGGTCTTTCACTCTGGGGTGTCCAGCCTTCACTGATGGGTCCCTCCCTGCACCCATACCCATGGCTGCCCACACCTGGATGGCAGAGGGGGACCCCAAGCAAGCATTCTCAGAGCGTGATGCTGGGGAGGCGTAGGGGCCGCCCCAACTGCTCACACCTCCGTGCATCCCCGCAGCAGCTCCCCGACGGCTGCAAAGCCCCTCGGCTCGTCTGCCAGCTGCACTTCACCAGCTGGCCCGACTTCGGAGTGCCTTTCACCCCCATCGGGATGCTCAAGTTCCTGAAAAAAGTGAGGACACTCAACCCCACGCACGCCGGGCCCATAGTGGTCCACTGTAGGTACGTGCGGAGCAGGGGCCACGGGGCGGGCCCTCCAGGGAGGACTCAGGCCCTCATGGGAAAATCACCAGGGGACGGAGAGCCAGGTGGGCAGAGGGTCAGCAGGGGCAATGTGAAGGCACCTCCCGGATACCGGGTGCAGCTCAGAGAATCCCTCAGGGCAAGAGCTGGAGGGATATTCCCCATCCGGGGCGGCAGAGCCCTTTCCTCAGTGCCACCGGGGGAGAAAGCCTAATGTCGGAACCACACAGAGCCGGGAGGCCCAGGTTGATGGTGGGGATGGAACTCTGCCATTCACCCCCCAGGGACCCTCAGGTCACCTCCAGGAATGGAGATGGAAACCGCACTTCTATAGGGGGTCCACCTGACCTCTCTCAGCAGAGGTCTCCGCGTCTGTAACAGGGAGGACAGCCTCGGAGGGGCTGGGACTCACCTCTGGGAGTGGGCTTCACGTGCTGCTGAGCACCGTTTCCGTGTAAGTTGCTGCGGCTGCGGTTACAGCCGCAGCAGCTAAGGTGATGGAAGAGCAGGTTATGAAGTGATTGCTTCTCCCAGAGCACGTTCCCCTCTGCCTCTGCATACTGGGACGTCCTCTGGTTGTTCTCACGCCGAGCTCTTATTTGCTCTGAGCTCCCCAAGCCATAGCGTCAGGGCTCAAATCCACCCCCTCTGTAGCTCATGACTAAATGCAGTTTGGCTTCGAACACGAAAATCACGGTCGTGAGAAGGCCTTGGACTCCTGGGGGGCGTGTGTTGTTTTTTAAGACAAAGGCACAAAGATGAGAACGTTCCCCAGCCATGCTTCTCACTCTTTGGTGGATGCACGGTCAGAACCCGAAGGTGCTGGCCAGATCCTTTCTCTGCCCCTGCCCAGGGGCTTCTGCTGTGCCCCTCATTGCCTAGGCTGGGAGGTTTGGGGGTCGCTGGGGCGGGGGGGAGCGCCTGGCGTCCTGGCCGGGGATGGAACCCTGGATCTGCGCAACTACACATCAGGTGAGGTGACACCTGTAAGAGTCCCGTTACCTGGCCCTGCACGCTCCTCCCAGCAGCTGCACTGGAGGGGGTGGGACATGGTCGAGCCCCGCTTGGCCCCCTCGAGGCGGCAGCCCCTGTTCTCAGACGCCCTGGAAGCCAGGGTCTGCATGCCATTTCTGCTGAACACCCGTGTGGCAGGTTCGGAGCACCTGTGTCACTAGGTGCAGGTGCCTTTTGCCCCTGGCAGGGCTGTGATGCTCAGAACGACCCTGTCTTTAACAGCTGGAAACCCAGTGTCCAGTCAGCGTGACACCCAGTGAGCAGGCCCCTTCCTCCTCAGGCCTGGACAGCCGGGCCACAGGCCTGGGTTCCTGCACGGGGATTTCTGAGAAACCCCGCAGAGATGCGGGGCCGCATAGCCGAGTCAGTGGGGTCGACGCCGGCGGCTTGTCATCGGGCGGAGAGTTTGAAGGGCCCTCTGCGGGAGAAGCGGCTGGCAGGGAGCTATGTGCTCAGTTCCTGTCAGCTGCAGGAGGCCACCGGCCGTGCTCTGGAGGGCAGGGGATGAAGAAGCAGCCTCTGTGTGGCATCAGGGGCGGCTGCGGGCAGCTGTTCAGTGCTGTTCTCTTCTGGTGCCTCTGGATCCACCGTGCGTGTGAAAACTCAGTATGCGGCCCTGCCGTGCTCCCCTCTCCCTCACCACAGGTGCCCTGGGCAGGTGCATTTGCCCTTCATCTTGGTTTCCGTCCTTGGTTCCCCTGTGGCTGTGAATCTCAGCCTTTGCCATTGAACACAGAAGGAGTCTCTCGGGGTAATGCTTTATTTCCGTGCCGCCAGTGCAGGTCCTGGCCCTCCCTGCTGCTCTGTGCTCTGCCCTGCCCCCGCGTTTTTGTGTGTGTGGAAGGGAAGCCCTTCTCTCGGGGTCTGCTTCCCCGCAGAGCTGAGTTCCCCTGCAGGCAGTTGGGTGGTCTGGGCGCTGCCTGCAGGGGGTCACGTGGTGACAGCAGTTCCCACCAGGAGTTCAGGCCAGCCAGAGTCCCCCCTGGAACAGGGAAGAGGCTCCCGTGGGCTGGCAGCCTCCGGTCTCGGGGGGAGCAGACCAGACCTCCTCATTCCTCCACATTCATCTTCTCACGGGGTCTCCTGGGGCTCCAGAATGTGCATCGCCTGGGGGTGGGAGGTTTCTCGATTTCCTTCTTTCTCCCACACTCACCCTCAACGTCTCCCCCTTAATCCCTTAAAAAGAACCCACTGCCTGCCTGCGGTCCCTGTACAAACAGCAGGGAGGGTCTCTAGCTAGGGCTGTGAGCTCTGCACCAGCATCCAGGGCCCAGGAGGGAAAGAGCGCCGGGCCGGGGCCTTTGCTCTTGGAACCGTCGCTTTCCCCGCTCCCAGGTGCTCCGCTACGCTCTGGCCCGCGCACCTGGGCATTTCCTGGTCCTTACACTGACCTGTTGGGGCGCCTTTAACTGGCTCTGCACCTGATGCTTTTCTCTTACTCTGCGTCTGTAAAGAACCAGGGCTCCCGAAGGGGCCTCTCCTGTCTCGCCTGCTGCCCCTCCCCTCAGTGTGATGAGCGGGGAGTCCTTCCAAGGGCGAGGGGCTTCACTGTCTGTCCTAGCACCATTCTGGAGACTAATGGTCTGGAAAGAGTGGTACCACCCTCCCCGCAAAAAGAGGAGCAGGGTAGGGGACTTCATTCATTAAGTTGTGAGCCTTTTCGTTTAAAAGATCACTTTGACTGCAGGGGCCAGAGGGGGAAAGCCCCGTTCAGCCAACTAACCCGACAGACACCTGGGCCACCACGTGCAGTTCTGGTCGACGCCACACACATGAGTCTGGGCCATTAGGGGTTTATTCGTCCAGCGGATGTTGGCTGAGTCCATTTGTGTGCCCCCTGAGCCCTGGGTGTTGGGAAGACACATATGGACGGCCTGCACTGGCTGGTGGGCGTCTAGATGAGACAGGTGGGGTGGCGGAGGGGAAGATGTCCAGAGACTGCTGCGGGGACAGCGCTGGGAGGGAAGGAAACCCGAACCCAGGAATGGAATCGGGCAGCTTCCAGAGGCGGGAGACCTCTCCGTGGAGCCCCTAAGGACCAGCTGGCCCCAGCCAGCCCGGAGGTGAGGGCTAGGATCCCAGACAGAGCCCCCATTTGCATGACCTTGGCTCCAGGGCCAGCAGACCTGGCCTGGGGTTCTCCACTCTTATGAAGAGCCTGGAAAAACCATATCGAGCATGACAATAAAAAATCCAGTTACACAAGTGATAAGGAGAAGATGGCATTTGGTAACAGAGGAAAAATTACCTGTACAACTCACCGGAGGCTTAGGACACAATTTCCAGGTAGAGGGAGAGATTTGAGGTCTTTTCACTAAGACTGTGGTGCCCTCTGGTGGCCTCGCGTGGATTTGCTCTTTATTAACCGAGGAAAGTTTGCGTTCAGGGATGAAGTGGATGTCTCTGTGGAGGGCGGGGTGTCCTCTGGTCCAGGCTGCAGGCGTGTTCCGAGGCCCCGTCATTCATTTTGGGGAAATGTGACTCACAACTTGGCGTCTTTCTTTCTCCCCAAGCGCGGGCGTGGGCCGGACGGGCACCTTCATAGTGATCGATGCCATGATGGACATGATACACGCCGAGCAGAAGGTGGACGTCTTTGATTTCGTGTCCAGAATCCGCAATCAGCGGCCTCAGATGGTTCAGACGGACGTGAGTAATACCCTCCTCGGGCCCAGCTGCCCGTCCTGGTGTGAGCTTCGCACAGCAAACCCAGACGCCCCAGGATGTGTGCCCTCTCCCCAAGATGGTGCATGCAGAGTGGTGCCCGGCAGGGAGAACGTCCTCAGTGACGCCCGCTGTCACACTGTCAAGGCCATAGATGCTCGTTATAAATGGCCATTAATCTGACTCTGCCCCCAAACCCCCTTCCCTTTACACAAAGAGAAGAGAAGGGCCCCCTTGGAGCCCACCTGCGTCTCCCCGCAGATGCAGTACACGTTCATCTACCAAGCCTTACTGGAGTACTACCTCTACGGGGACACCGAGCTGGACGTGTCCTCCCTAGAGAAGCACCTTCAGACGCTGCACGGCGCCACCACCCACTTCGACCAGGCCGGGCTGGAGGAGGAGTTCCGGGTAGGTGCCGACTTAAGGGCCACCGTTTACACGAAGCTGCTTTCAGTTGCCTCCCCCCCGATTGACCCCAGAAAACGCAGGGGAGCCGTCCTGCCCGTGACTTCCGAGGGAAGAGTACTGGGGACTTTCAGAGCTTAGCAACCACCTGTGCAGGGGGCGTGTCGTGCATACACTTTTATTTCCCAAGACTCAGGAAGCGTCTGGAGAAGCAGACAGGTATTTCCATCGAGCAGGTGCCCTTGACGGTAGAGCTGTTAGAAGGCTGAGGGATCTCTCGGGAATGTCCGGGTTTTAACTGCATGGCTGTGTCCTCTTGGCTGCAGAAGCTGACAAATGTCCGGATCATGAAGGAGAACATGAGGACAGGCAACCTACCGGCCAACATGAAGAAGGCCAGGGTCATCCAGATCATCCCGTGTAAGGCAGCCCGGGCCGCGGAGGGGAAACCCTTGAGGCAGGCGTGATCGGGCTGGTACCCTCTGGCTTCAGTTGCTAAGAAGTCATTGCCCACCCACCCCTGTAAACCAGGGGTCAAGGGCAGGACGCCCTCTGGGAGCTCTGTCAAGTGTGGGGAAGGCACGAGTGACCCAGACAGTCCTGTGGGTGTCAGGCGGGCAGCTTGTGACTTGGACTTGGAGGCAGGAGAGGGAGGACTTCCTGGAAGCGGTGAGATTCTGGCCTGACTCTGCCTCCTGCTTCTGCATGTCATCCAGTTCTACCCCAAGCCTGGGCAGAGGCATGGAGGCCCCCGTACACAGAGCAGGGGTCCTGGCCCAGGATGTGTAGCAGGACCAAACTCAGCTGAGACCTTCCAGGAAGGGGCCTGGGGACGGGCGAACCATGGGCAGGGTGGCATCGGGCACTGGGCTGCCTGGGGTCTGGGGGCCTGCAGGAGCATCAGAGGAACCCTGGGGGGAAGGGGAGGGCACCCGCCTTGAGGGGAAGAGGACGCCTCATCCAGACGTCCCCTCCACCTCCCCGCCGGGGCTCAAGCTCGGGCAGGAGCGGGTCTCACGTGGACCTGCCCAGGCAGGCAGTGTGTGGGCTGAGAAAGTCCTCTTCAGCCTCAGACCCTATAGGGTCTTTGCGGCTGTGATGTCCCGGGCCGGCTACCCCGGGTTTACCTGCCTGGCCACACTCCTTTTACTCTTTAAATTTACTTTAATGCTTACGTTTTGGTAGGAATTACCTCAATTATGACAAATGAGAACGATAAGTGGATTACTTTAGAACTTCCCTGGTAAAACACAACTTCCTGGGCCACTTGAATTAACCTATTTTAGAAAGTAAACCTTCCTTTGAGTTGACTTTTTTTTAGTGATTTTATCCATAAGTTTTATGTCTCGGAAGCTCCTAGCAGCATGTTCAAGTTTGCAAGGCAGGATGGGGTTGGTTCTGACCCAGGGGACACACTGCTTTGCAGATGACTTCAACCGCGTCATCCTTTCCATGAAAAGGGGCCAGGAGTACACGGATTACATCAACGCGTCCTTTATAGACGTAAGTGCAGCGGCCCGGCCCTGCTTGCGTGCCTGGAGAGGACGCATGCTCTCTTCATCTGTAATCACAGAGACTCTTGATCAACTTGCTTTCACAATCAGAAAGGATGGACACGCCCACAGAAATCCAAACCATTTCATTAGCAGACACTTGCTTAAAGAAAATGAATAAGGAACTTTGGAAATAGAGGATGTAGGTGCGCTGCTAAATAATTTGCTATTTTTCCATTCTGCTTTTTTTTTTTTTAATTAATTTATTTCGTTTTGGCTGTGTTGGGTCTTCATTGCTGCACGCGGGCTTTCTCTAGTTGCGGTGAGCGGGGGCTACTCTTCATTGCGGTGCGCGGGCTTCTCATTGCGGTGGCTTCCCTTGTTGCGGAGCACGGGCTCTAGGTGCGTGGGCTTCAGTAGTTGTGGCTCGCGGCCTTGGTATTTGTGGCTCGCGGGCTCTAGAGCGCAGGCTCAGTGGTTGTGGCGCACGGGCTTAGTTGCTCCGCGGCATGTGGGATCTTCCCGGCCCAGGGCTCGAACCCGTGTCCCCTGCATCGGCAGGCGGACTCTCAACCACTGCGCCACCAGGGAAGCCCTCCATTCTGCTTTTAATACATAGTGACTTCCCTTTTCCCTCTCTGTTGCACACCACCCTCTATCAGTGCTTGCACACGCTTTCTCTCGCACGTGCTGTGCGTGGACGGCGCGATTGTTTTCAGGCCCAGTCTTAGGCTGCTTAGGGCACAGCAGAGTTGGCTGGTGAACGGGCAGGAGAGGGCGTAGCAGCCAAGTCTGTGCAAAAGGATTTTTGTTTGCAGGTGAGAACGCTGTGCCCCCGAGGGGAGGACCTGGGACTTGAACCCACTCCCTCTAACTCCAGGCCCAGGCTCGCTGCCCCACTGCGATGCTAACTTAGCTGTGACACATGCAGACATGTTAGAATCAAAGCCAGCCCAAGCAAGGGCTTCATTATACCCATTCAGAGGTGACCTGGGGCGGAAGGGGGCGCTGTCTAGCTTGGGCATCTTGACCTGTTTTCTGAGCGTGTGCCAGCTGCAGCTTGGCTCAGGCCCTGGAAGCCTGGAGAATACTGTCCCTCATCCGGCCCTGGGCTGTCCTACACTCACATGTCCCACGGTGGAAATGGGTTGGAAGGAAGTCGGACTTTAACCTCTCTCCCATTTGAAGGGCTACCGGCAGAAGGACTACTTCATCGCCACCCAGGGGCCCCTGGCGCACACAGTGGAGGACTTCTGGAGGATGGTCTGGGAGTGGAAGTGCCATACGATCGTGATGCTGACCGAGGTCCAGGAGAGAGAGCAGGTCAGGGCGCCGCCCAGCCCACCTCTGGGGCCGTTAGCACATACCAGGTGCAGCCCACCTGATGTGACTACCTGTCCCTTGTGAATGTCTCACCCGCTGTCATCTGTGAGGCCAGGCCACAACTACTGAGGAGGGGGAGAGGCTGGAAATGAAAAAGGTTTTATTTCATCACCACGCCCACCATGAGTTAATCGTAACTACCCACTGGCTTTATTCTTAGCCTGCATTTTATTTAACCTGCCTTGAAATTCTGCCATCTTGCGTTTGCCACAAATACAAATTTGGTCACAACCTGTTGAAGAAAAAGACATTTATTCACTTTTTTTTTGGAACAGAAAGACATAGGTATTGATATATGTACCTAATTAATATAGTTCTGGTAAAACTGAATGAGTTAAACATTTCTTTTTTCCCAAAGATCCATGCATGGCCTTCTTGTTTTGTGTGTGTGTTTTTGTTTTTTTTTTTCGGTATGCGGGCCTCTCACTGTTGCGGCCTCTCCCGTTGCGGAGCACAGGCTCCGGACGCGCAGGCTCAGCGGCCATGGCTCACGGGCCCAGCCGCTCCGCAGCATGTGGGATCTTCCCTGACCGGGGCACGAACCCGCGTCCCCCGCATCGGCGGGCGGACTCCCAACCACTGCGCCACCAGGGTAGCCCCAGCCTTCTTGTTTTTATTTAATAACTTAATAAACAGTCACAAACCCACCATCCAGCTGAAAAACCAAACTTTTGCCAATAATGTACATTTATCCAGATTCTCCCGAGAGGTAACCACTGTCCTGAATTTGTGTGTTTTGATTTCTTTGCTTTTTAAAACCAGTTTTGTTGGGGTATAATTCACATGCCATACAGTCCATCTTTCTAAAGGGTACAGTTCCGTGGTTTCTAGTGCATTCAGAGTTGCGCAGCATCACTAATTCCAGATCATTTTCATCACCCCAAAAAGAGACCCCATACCCACAAAAAAATCACTTACCCACTTCCCCCCCGCAGTCCCTGCAACGACAAATCTACTTTCTGACTCCATGGATTTGCCTCTTCTGGACATTTCATATACGTGGAATCATACATGTCTTTTGTGGTTGAGCTCTTTCACTTAGCGTAAATGTCGTCAGGGTTCATCCGTGAATCAGTTCCTCGCTCTCTTTTACTTTTTATTGTATAAATAGACCACACTTCGTTTATTCATTCATTAGTTGATGGATATTTGCGGTGTTTTCACTCGGGCTATTATGAATAATGTTTTGAACACTCATGGGCAGGTTTTTACATGAATGTTAACTTTTAATTTCTCTTAGGTAGATACCTAGGGGTGGAATTGCTGGACCATATCATGACTGTATTGCAAACTCATATCACTTAACATTTGGAGGAACTGCCAGACTGCTTTCCGAGCAGCTGCCCCGTTTTGCATTCCCACCAACAGTGCACAAGGGTTCCATTTTCTCGCCATCCTCATCAACACTTATCATTATCTTTTCAATTAAAGCCACCCTCGGAGATGTGTTCTTAGCTTTTTAAAAAATCTTTTTATATCACGTGTGTGTATTCCTAAAGAAACAACTGTTTAGTTTTGTCTGCTTTTGAACTTTATTCAAAAGTTGAGTTGGGGGCTTCCCTGGTGGCGCAGTGGTTGAGAGTCTGCCTGTCGATGCAGGGGACGCGGGTTCGTGCCCCGGTCCGGGAGGATCCCACATGCCACGGAGCGGCTGGGCCCGTGACCCATGGCCGCTGAGCCTGCGCGTCCGGAGCCTGTGCTCCGCAACGGGAGAGGCCACAACAGTGAGAGGCCTGCGGACCGCAAAAAAAAAAAAAAAAAAAGTTGAGTTGGTTTTTCCACTCAAAATTACGCATTTGATATTCTCCTATGTTGCTGCCTATAACTATGGCTCATTCATCATTATTTCCTTATACTCCACAACACAAACTGTACATCCTGCATCCATTGACTTTGCCCCTTCTCCTGTCATGGGCATTTGGGTTGATTCCATTCTGTTGTTTTACAAACAGTGCTGCGGGTACTTTCTTGTACGTGTCTCATGATGCACAAGGAATAGTAGGTTCCAAAGAGACAAAATGCTGCATTGGAGAGCGTGTGTGAAAGTTTGAATTTGCGAGACATTTCCTAATGGCTTTCCAAAGTGGTTGTGGTTTCCAAAGTGGTCAGTGGGTGAATATCATTCATCGACATCCCTAGGGTTGTCTGATGTCCTCATTTTTGTTAATTAAATAGGTATAAACATCATCTCTTTGTGTCCTTGATTTGCACCTCTCTGATCCCTGTGAGATCAGGAATCGCTATGCATATGTATAGAGGACATGTTTCGTCTTGTGCAAAGTGCCTGTTCATGCCTTTCACTCATTTTTTTAGTGGGTTGTTTGCCCTTTTCTTATTGATTTATAGGATTTCTTTACGTATTCTTGGTACTGATCCCTTGTTGGTTTTACGTATTGCAAATATTTCATCCCAGTTGATGGTCTGTCTTTTCATTCTCTTGATATTTTTGGATGATGCAGAGTTAATTTTATTATAATCTGATGTTGCAATCTGCTGTATCGTGGTTGGTTTGCTCTTTGGGGCTCTTGTTTGTTAAATCTGTACCCCAAAATGAAAAGGTATTTTCTTCTTCTAAGGCTTTCACAGTCTTGTTTTTGACGTTAAGTCTGACCCTGTCTTGGTTTGTTTTTATTAAGGTTCAAGGCTACCATATATGGTAGGGCAAGTTCTACGCTGCCCAACTCCAGGAGGGGCTGGGGCATTCATATCAGCCCAGGTAGGGTGTGAGTCAGGGATCCAGTTCCCTTTTCCCATATGGAGAACTGATTTCCCAGCTCCATTTACTGACTAGTCTCTCCTCTGTGTCATGTCACTTCTGTTCTGTATCAAAGTTGCAAATACACGCATGTCTGTTTCTGGACTCTGCTCTGTTCCCTCGGTCAACAGGCACTGGTAGCATTCATATTCGTGTTCATATGTTATTTTCTTGGTCAGACGAAATACGTTAAATGCTTTGAGAGCAATTCTGCACCAGATCGTCAAAACTGCTAGCAGCAAATTCTTTTTATGTTATCCCCCAAGGATAAATGCTGCCAGTATTGGCCAACAGAGGGCTCAGTGACTCATGGAGAAATAACGATCGAAATAAAGAGCGATACCCTTTCTGAAGCCATCAGTATACGAGACTTCCTGGTCACTTTCAATCAGGTATTGTTGCCCAAGCCCTTTAATCTCTTGTGGACATCACTTGGGGTCTGCTTGTCATTGTGCCAGAGTGTCCCGCTCCTTCAGGCTTTTCCGGAGCCCCAAGTTAGATTAGTATCGATGGCCAGTGAGGACAGTACGAAGCTGTGTTATCAAGTGGCCGATCTCCCATAAGATTTGACCTCGTGGTCCCCTGCCTCCTTGCTGGAGCACGGGGATGGTGGGGCAAAGTGGCCAATTCCGAGAGGCGTCCCACCGCCACCCGCTCCCCAGGAGCAAAGACCTTGGCCGAGAGCAGGAAGAATGAGTGGATGAATCCACAGAGACCTCTCTGGGGCTCTCTGCCATCCCCCCTCCCCACTGGGTCTTGGGCACTGCTCCCTGGCAAGAATGGGGACGCTGTGTGTCAACTGTGGGTAAGATGACCCACCTTTGGGATTTGATTCTGAGCTCAAGGCGGTCAGAACAGTGAAACCCAGCTTTGCCCAAAGACTTGTTCTCCTCCACGCGGGTCGCAGAATGACCCAGGGCCGCTTGACTCAGAAACTCCTCATCTCCAGCCTTGAAGGGACGTGTAGGGTCCTGGCCTCTTAAAAAAAGGGATGATTCCTGTTAGCTCAAGCAAAACTGCCAAGGATCCCGTAGAGGGGTCTGGTGGGCCCTGGGGACTCGGGGGCGCATCCTCTGAGTGTCCTATCCCCACCCAGAAGGAGGCACTGCTGGCCTTCTGCTTTAGGGTGGCCACGGCCTACAAACACCCTGACCGGGAGGCCAGCCACATGGGAACTCTGCTGGCCGCCAGACACCGTGGCCCGAGTCCCCGGGAGGGCAGGGGAGCCTGCGGTGGGGCAGCACTGAGGCGCCCTTCCCGCCCGGCAGCCCCTGGCCCGCCAGGAGGAGCAGACCCGGGTCGTGCGACAGTTCCACTTCCACGGCTGGCCGGAGATCGGGATCCCCGCCGAGGGCAAAGGCATGATCGACCTCATTGCGGCCGTGCAGAAGCAGCAGCAGCAGACGGGCGATCACCCCATCACCGTGCACTGCAGGTGAGCGGCCCCTGGGGGCCCGGGCAGCCCTGCTGGTGGGGCGGACACAGACCCCACGCCCAGTTCACTGCTCCCAGCAGCATCATTTACCTGGACGGTATCCTTGCCCTTCCCTTACGCACGTCACATAACGCAAATGCATAGGTGTCATCTTACCATAACACACAGAAGCGTTTGGGCAGAAGGAGTCAGGAAATGCCTCAAACACACACTTCTTTGTGCTTTTTAAGTTGTCAAAAAAAAGAAAAAATTGCCAAGCACCGCTCCGACAAACCCTGAACTTGAGTCGTCTTCGTTTTGAAAGGCCGTCTGACTCTGGCTGGTGCGCCCACCCAGCACAGCAGGAAGCTCTTCCTGAGCTTCTTATGGATGTCCAGGCCGGGGTCCATAACGGAGGGCCCACCGCTCCACGCCCTCCCTCTCAGCCCGGCTCCCGAGTTAGGCCCAAGGGCAGAGGGACACACTGGGGGGACCCCTGGACACAGCTGGGTGCCCCCAGCAAAGACTTTGAAAGACAGCATTACGAGGGTAGAGGGTGAATCCGGCTGAACCTAGACACCTGCCAGCTCACCTTTTTGCTGGGCCAGGCCCCACTGCTGGCAGGGACCTTGACCACCCTTGCAAAGCTCTTCCTCGCATTTGGGGAGTTTAATCTTGGGGGTGCTGATTTGCCTCCAAAGCTGCACTTTTGTTCCTTTGTCTACACGTGCGGCTCCCATTTTTTTGCGACTGCCATTGGCACCGACCCATTTCGCCTTGTAGCTAATAACACCCAGTGTGGAGGGTTTGGGCCTCTTTCCTTGTCTGGGACCCGCCTGGCGCACTTCCGGCCTGGCCAGCAGGGAGAGCACACGCCTCGGTTTCCAGTCCCTGGTGCCTTTGTAGATGTCGTTTTGAGTTTCTTTTTGTTCCACCTCTGCAAACCCAGACTGAGCTTGACACGTGTCGGACACCAGGGATGCAAAGGTGAAGGAGACCCACAAGGTCATCCCACCTGTGGGAAGGCAGACGCAGGGAGAGCAGCCGTAGAGTCAGCCCACAGGTGGGATTCCAGGGCCCAGAGGGCAGCTGTGCATCCCCAGAGGGCTCCCTGGAAGAGGCCAGCCAAGCCCGCCTCCATTAGGTCTGGTCTACACAAGGAAGAAGGGAAATGGTTCCACCAGCTTAAAAACTTGTAACCGGTCCTGATTTAACTCATGTTGTAATTAGGCAAGTGTTTTAGGAATTTTATGTTTGCTGACTCGTAGTCCAAAGCTAAGCTACCTATAAATAATCATTAAAAATCCAAGCTCCGGTCATTCCAGTACTGACGTGTAGGGCTTGGCGGAGGCTGTGGGATTCTCATGCCCGTGGGTGAGTTTGAGTATCTCATCCAGCACGTTTTCTCCGCAGTGCTGGAGCTGGGCGCACAGGGACTTTCATAGCACTCAGCAACATTCTGGAACGGGTCAAAGCTGAGGGACTTTTAGACGTATTCCAAGCTGTGAAGAGCTTACGACTTCAGAGGCCACATATGGTGCAAACCCTGGTAAGAAACCGTTTCCAGAGGGATCGAGAATGGTCTCATGTTGAATTTGATGTATGCTTCATTGAAGGAGTTCAAGTCCACGGGGAAGGAGGTAAAGTTTCCAAGAAAAAGAGCTAAAGGTTCCAGTCAGCTCACAGTAAAGCTCTACAGACCCCCTTCTTCCCTTGCGTCTGGCTGGGGTCTGTCCCCCGGGCAGGACACGTGAGGAGGGGCACACCCGTGACTTCAGATGATAAGACCCTTGGACGGAGGCAAGGATGATAGCAACCGTTACGTCAGAGTGAACTGTTCCTCCAGATTCCAATGTGCATTTAAATATGTACCAAGTTCAAAAATAGCACTGACGTTTACAGTCCTGATTCTTGTAATCTATCTTCCACTGTTCGTGTGGACTCTTTTCCTTGGCTGGATCTCACTCAGCCTCCAGACACTGCCGAGGGGGCTTCTTAAGGAGTCCATGCAATGCACAGTTCCTTCTCACATTCTCTTTCATTTCGTGGTGAAAACACACACTTTCTGGTGTTCAGAAGAGATGCCTCTTCACCAAATTTGGTGATTGTTCTGCAACAGCAAGGGCAGTTTTAAAGGCTGTTATATAACCTGTCGTTTTCCCCAAGGCTCCTTATTTTAGCACTTGCCCTCCCGGCCCGGCCCACTCATTCTCTGTGCTAACTGGATCCCGACTCAGGCACTTTCCTTTCCTTTCCCGTCCGGGGGCTGGGTGATCGGGTGGGAATCTTGGTAGCTGGAAGGGAGGATCCCTACCGTCCATTCTTGGCTCCCCTGACAACTTTCCTGCAACCTCAGGACAGCAGTTTTCTGCCTCATCTTTTCTTCCCCTGGAAAACCCAGCTCCTTCCCATGATGGCTGGACTGAGACTCCAGAACGGCCAGACAGGCTTATGTTTGGCCTCTTCCAACCCAAAAGCCTGTAGATTTTTGTTCAATGGGAATTTAGAGAAGAGGCTGAACCCAAGGTGTTGGGAAAGAAGAGGGAGGGGCATGAGGAACCACCCTTGGTCCCCCTGCTTCCCCAAGCTCTCATGTTCACTGGGCCAGCAAATGAGCAGGGTCTGCAAGGAACCAGACCCTTTCAGGGTAGCTGTTGTTACTTGAACCTGCCTGCTGACCATTGTGCACGCGTGGTTTTCCGAGGCACACAGTAGGCTCACTAAGAAAGCCCTGCCGCGGCCATTTTCCCCAGCTCTTTTATTTCCTCTTTTGAGTGCCCGTTATGGGCCGTGTCACACAACCCGCTTTCTGGTCCCCTGTTAACCCACCATCTGGCTCTAGTCTCACCACCTCAAAGAGCCACTGGGAGGTCTGGAGTCAGATGACGTCCAAGTGTTCCAATAAGTTAACAGCCTTATACATATGCAACACATTTTTCTTTTAAATTCTAGTAAAATGGATATAAAGCAATGCCCTTTTATAGTGTAAATTTAGGCTTAAAAATCATCTATATTTCTGTCTTATTTAACTTCTATAGATTATTTTCATTACACTCTGAAGTTTGATGTTAAGTATGCTCATTTTTTTTCAGTTCAAAAGTGGTTGTTTTTAAGTTTAAATATGAAAACGAAAGATCTCTCACTCAGACTGTCCAAAATACTCTAAGCTAAACTTGAAACTGAACATTGACATTTTCTATGTAGAAAAACAGCTTTATTTGGAAATGTTCATGTGCCGAGAAACTAAACTGTATAACAGAAGCTGATATGCAGTAGGATATACAGTATTTCAATAACTGGTCAGACTTTTTTATGTCTTCTCTTTAAAGTTTCTCCTAATTAAATTAGGCAAATTTTTTTTCATATTATTTTAATGTGTTCTTGTTTTTCTTTTTCAGGAACAGTATGAATTCTGCTACAAAGTGGTACAAGATTTTATTGATATATTTTCTGATTATGCTAATTTCAAATGAAAAATCCTGCCTTAAAATATTTTTTAATTTAATGGTCAGTATATTTTGTAAAAATCATGTTAATTTATTTCATAGTTGACATTAATATCCTCCTAATTTCTTTGTATATATTTTGTTATGCTTAAAGGCCACCTGCTGTAAAGTTATTAAATCTTAAATACCCCTTTTAAAAACTGGAATAATGTATTAAGGTCAAATAATATTCCATAAAATATATATTTCTGCTAATATCAGTAAAAATATTTTAATTTTTCATTAGATTCATATCATTTCATTTCACACAGTCAGCACCTCTAAATGTTAAAAATCTTAATATGACAAGTGTGTTTATTTATGCAAGATACTAACCACAACTTCCTTAGAAAACAGTCGAGGACTCAGAAATCGGTGGAAAATACATTTTCCTGACACTGATTTTACAGCCCTGAGCAGTGGCAGGTGTTTTTTGTTTTTTTGGGGTTTTTTTTGCGGTACGCGGGCCTCTCACTGCCGCGGCCCCTCCCGCCGCGGAGCACAGGCTCCGGCCGCCCCGCGTCATGTGGGATCTTCCCGGACCAAGGCACGAACCCGTGTCCCCTGCATCGGCAGGCGGACTCTCAACCACTGCACCACCAGGGAAGCCCCCCAGTGGCAGTTTTTTGAAAGCAAACTGTTTGTGAAGATACAGTGTAAATAGGGAATTCTGTAGTCCTCAGTCTCAACCCACGTGGTTTATCTTTACATTTTAAAGATCAAAGAAGACTTTACAACCTGAGTCCAAGTCTAAAACACACTGGAGTAGTCAGTGACTATATAGTAATACTTAAAAATGCATTTATTCAAGGCTGTGTCGTGCCATCTTGGCCAGATGAGAAAGATGTAAAGGCCAGTGGTCCAGTTCGCACGGGCCTTGGGTCTGGCAAAACCAGTTATCAGAGTTTCAGTCCCACGGCGCTGGGCGCTGCTTGCTGTCCGTCTGTCTGAGAATCACACCCACTGCACTTCTCACTCCCCCCCGCCCCCCCGGCCCCCGCCATTCTGCCCTGCTTGTCGTGAGCTGTGCCTCAAGGCATGACAAAAAAACCACTTCCATTCCAAAAGGTCAGATAGAGCATCTGACACGCATGGAAGCAAGGAGCTCCAGCCTGGTAGAAACAGTTGGGCAGCCACAAGCAATTATGCTTTAAACTTTCTGAGAAGCATTTTGGTATTTAAAAGTCTCTTGTAAATGCTAAGACTGTTTGTTAGAGAAGAAATCTTAAAATCTAGATTTATACAGTTTTTTTTTAAGTCCCACTCCTCGATATTTAATAAAAGAAAAAGAGAAATCCTTAATCTAAAGGCTAATTTATTTTTGAATGGTTACTAGTGAGACCTCTGACACTGGATAATAATGATGTCACTGCCAGACAGGATTGGCTTATGGGGCAAAAAAGAAGAGAAGGGATGAATGTAAAAAGGTTTGATTTAATGGCAGTGATCTGTCTGTGGCTGTTAGGTACCTAGCCGATGAGCACAATATAAAAAAAAAGACATCTGAAAACATTTAACGTGTGCATTTTTGGGTACACTTTTTGCTTTTTAAAAGAGATGTGAATGTGAAGGCCTTTATTTGATATTTCCACTGGTAACTGATTGCACAAAGGTAACCCAGGGTAAGTTACGTCCTAATAACAAGCCCACGGGTAATCAAGCTTCTGCCACTCCTCCGAGCCCCACCCAAGGGTCAGATGAGGTGCCCAGCTGGACGGACAAAAGCACAACTTTGTGAACGCTGCCATGGCCACCAGCCTGCAGCCCTGAGCTCCACACACAGCTGAATGCGTCCCTCACCCTCCTGGGTACAATGATTATGCATTTGGGTCGAAGAGAAAATGGAGGGAGCTTTGCAAGATGCACCTGGTGGCCCTGTTTGTTTTCATTGTTAAAGTCCCAAGCCCGAAGCCCTTCTTGACTAAAGGGGAAGAGAGAAAACTGAGCACCAAAGCCTAGAAACAGAGCCGGTGTTTGTGGTGAAGGCGACATATAGGGGTCATAGAGTCGAGACGCCTGGATTGGGGTCCAAATTTAGGAGCCTTTAGTGAGAATCCTTCAGGCCCTTCAATGGTCTTACTGGCATCTCTTGTCTTGAGATTAAGGTAGACCTTCTCGGGGAAGCACCCCGTTTGTGTGTTCTTCTGCCCCCTTGGCGCATCCCCCTTGTCTGCTGCGGTTCCGCCCTCTTGGTTCTGAGAACAGAGCGGAAGCCACTGTCCCTGGGTTGCAGGACCCCCTCCGCCTTTGGGGCAGTTCTTGCCTCCCAGTAGCGGCAGCCTCCTAGCCTCGGCCCCGGTCCCGGTTCAGACAGCCTTGGTGGGCGCTCTGGCACTCCTGTCCTCTCTGTCTCGCTGGGATAGTTTGACTCTTCCTCCCCTTCGGTGAAAGAAAGTCCATTGTACATAACAAAACAGCGCCAGGCTGGTAAAGTCATTTTTCTCTGCCAGTTTTCTCCGTTGCATGCGGCTACATTCAAACGCCAAATAGCGATTAGAAGACGACCATTCTGATCTCCTTGCTTTTATCAGTCACTGTGTGACTCACTTTACTGTTTCTCTCCATGTGCTCTACGAATGAAGAATGCATACCAGTGTTTTCAAAGGTATTTTTATGTGTTTTTTAAAACTTTTTAAAACAAGCCTGACACCTCTGTTTCAGCATTTGGAGTCACGCCCATGTTATTTTTTAAAATGTGTGATTACTGATACTTCTGTTGTGTTTGTGTTAATTTATGTGCAATCTTGATAAGATATGTATGTATTCCGGTTTCAACTCTCATTTTTTCTTTTATTCCATTTATCACTTGATCTTGCACTGATCATGACGCAAGTGAATGCTGCTGAATTCTGTGTATATGCAAATTGCAACATCCAAAACATTCTGATGCGAGGATAAATCTTTACTTTGACTCCAGCCTGCGTCTCTTTCTTCACTGAAATCTCCTTATCTCGTTCCTCTGCTTTAAATCCTTTTAGACAAGACATTCATTAGGAGGGAAGCATTGATTTACGCAGACAATTTTAGGACTTGTAAAATTTAGCTCAGACATGGTAGAGAAACAGCCCCCCGGGCAGGAGTGGGCATGATGGCCAGTGGGCCGGTCTTCAGAAGTCCTGAGGGTGTGTGGGTCACTAGTCACAAGCGGCCCTGCAGAGTGCTCACGTCCCTCCTCCAGTCCAAACAGGGCTCCGAGCTCTGAGCAGTGGTTTCCCAGCATCTACGAGGAAGGTGACCACATGCTCAAAGTCCACAGCCAGGTGGGGTCAGAGAGCCCTTCTAATGTCGCTTCTCCTCCTAAGACCTAAACACCTGTTAGGCCTCCCTTTACACACCTTGTGTCTCTGGTGACCCCAGCTCTCTTTTTCAGCTTCCCCGCCCTCCCCCAGCTCACACGCCAGCTTCCTCTTTTAGGTATTCTGGGCCTAATGTGGAAATCTAGACATCTGCTTTTTATTCTTGGTTGTATTTATTTAATACATTTTATAAGCCTTGTTATATTTGTTACAGATGTGATTAATTAGGATGAGGGCTTAGGAGTCGGGTGGGCCGTTAGGGTGGGTCCATTCTACTCCAGTGTGAGGGCGCCTTTATGAGAAGAGGGAACTTGGACCCAGAGACACATGCACGGGGAGAAGAACATGTGAAAAGAAGGCAGGCGTTGGAGTGATGCTTCTGCAAACTAGGAAGCCCGGAGGCTGCCGGAGACCAGGGAGTGGCTTCTCTTTCACAGCCTCGGAAGGAAGCAACCTTGACTTGGCCTTCGTGCCTGCAGGACTGGAGACAATAGGATTGGGTTGTTTGAACCACCTGGTTTGTGGCACTTTGTTAGGACGGCCTTAGCAGACCAACACCCTGCCCCCGCTCTGACCCCTACAGCCAAGGTTTCTGTTGTTGGATGTCCCCGAAAGAAGCCCTGAATCAAGTACGTGGGTGCAGGTAGCTAATGGGGAGGAGACCCCAGCACGCGCGAGTGAGGGAACAGGGCGGGAGGGGCAGCACAAAGACCCCACCCCCACCCCCGGGGACTCGACTCTGCAGTGATGCCCGAGGGCCTCCCTGAATCGCCCTCCCGAAGGACGGGACCCTGGAGCCTTGCCCCGCCACTACCCCCGGCCCAAGTTGGAGGTTTTCTCCAGCGGTGCCAGCCCCTGGTCTCAAAGGACGGTGCCACCCTGGTGACACAGGGAGATGCGTTTGTTGTACAAGTTCAAAGCAAACAAAGAGTGTGCACGAACTTGGCCTTTCACTCGGTTCCTCTTCTCCACCTCAGTCCATTGGTAACTTGGGGGTACATCCTTCCAGACAGCTATCTGCAGATTTAAACCTGTACAGTTACATAAACACACGGACTCTTGCTTAAGATTGTTTGTTTATAAAAACAACAGAGCCGAACTCCCGGTATATCATCAAATCCAGGATGAGAGAATTGCCAAACCCACTTTGTTTTGCTGAGAAAGCAAACACACTGCCAAATATTTCTTGCAAGACACCGTCAGTTTTGAGATGCATCCTGATGTTCGAGAGGTTAATATGTAAAAACCTTGTATCTTAGAAACGACAAAATGCACTACCTGCGGCCGGTTGTGTAAATTGCCCCTTGTCCCGCCTTAGGATCGGGCCCTGTCAGCATATACACAGCTTCCTCATCCTGTCTAAAGGCTGCTTGGCATTCCTGGCATAGAGCTACTCTGATGGACGGAAAACGTGGAGACTAACCCTTTGTTATTCATGTTATAAGTATTTCCCCTCGATGCTTTATAAAAGACTGTCCTTGATGGCTATCTAACGTCCCTTGTCCAGGAAACTTTGGGACTTACCAGCCTGTCGACAGGGTTGCTGGGTGCGTGGGTGATTCCGCCTGGCAGCCGGGCCCTCTGTGGCCCTTGCATGGCGGCACCCAATAAACGCATCAAACCAAACATTCATGCCTGTGGAATCATCGTGTAGACACCAGGAGGGGCTTCATGTGAACAAGTCCTGGGCACTTTTTGTTCCTCTGTGAAGAGCAATGTTGATGACATCCATGTGTCAGCACGGCGCTCTGTACCAGGAGAGGGGAGACTGCAGCCATGTCCAGGAGACGGCCCGAGGCCTGGGGGTCTGCACGGCACCGGAATCAGGGTCCCTCGGGCTGTGGCTGGAGCATCGCATCTGTGTCTGGAAAGATGATCCCACCAGCTCTTCTAGAGGAATCGTCTAGAAAGCCCAGCAGATGGGCAGATCCCAGCCACAGTGTCTTAACGTCGTTTTCAGTTCAGTAGCTGGACGTGACTATGGAGTTGACGTTTACAATGTACTTGCCACGACAACCCGGACACCTCCACCCAGCGTGCCCATCTGCCGAGGCCTGAATTCCTCCATCTTGACTGTGTTTAGGACTCAGGATGGCCCTTCCTTCCTGCCTCAGCCCCTCCAGGTAGTAATGAACTTGACGCCTGGACACCCAAAAGCCTTTCTCTGCCCCTGACAGACTTCTTCCTGGGAACAAACCGACCCACCACGGGCTCCCACCCCCTGACTTGCCCGCAAGTTCACTCCCAGGATCTACTCACGTTAGGACGGCCAACCTGGGGGCAACATGCATCTTCGTTTGCTGACTCTGCGGCCCTGACCAAATCCCTGTCCTTGGACTCCCCACTTCTGTCCAGATGAATAGGACAGAGCCAGGGTTGTGGGAGTCCCCTTCCCCGAATACAAGGGCCGTTCCTGCAGGACCAAAGTGGGCCTGCTGGCCAGGAAGGGAAGCAACTGTCCGGCCACGTCAGAGCTGGGGAAATGCAGACAGGCCAAAGAGCCCACGCCGACCCACCCCGTCTGCCACTCACTGTCTTGCTTTGGTTTGGTTTTCTTTCCCTTCCCTCCCTTTAGTAAAAAAATGCCATGGGTTTTAAGATCATTTCATCCCAGACACCTCCTGCACAGGGTCACCAGGGTATCGAGACTTGTCCATCCATGGTCTGCCCTCCTGGATGGACAAAGCTTTGTCCTAGAGGGGGGCGTCTAGTTTTCACTGCACTACGTCCCACGAGGATGCACACCAAGACCCCAGGATACAAAACGGGAGACTAACCCAGCCTGGGAAATGGGGATGGGGTTGAACGAGGCTTCTCTGAGGGAGTCTCACTGGAGCCGAGCTCCGGGCTGAAGGGGACCATCTTGTGAAGCAGGAGGTGGGGAAAGTCCGAGGCAGAGAAGAGAGCAGGGCGTGTGTGTGTGTGTTCATCTGCATGTGTATGTGTGCGTGCGTATAAACGCATGATGTGTATGCGTGTGTAGGAATGGGTGTGGACCTATGTATATGTTTATGTATATGCATGTGTATGTGTGTAGGAATGGGTGTGGACCCATGTATATGTTTATGTATATGCATGTGTATACGTGTGTAGGAAGGGGTGTGGACCTATGTATATGTTTATGTATATGCATGTGTGCGTGCGTATAAACGCATGAATGTGTATGCATGTGTATACGTGTGTAGGAAGGGGTGTGGACCTATGTATATGTTTATGTATATGCATGTGTATTTGTGTAGGAAGGGGTGTGGACCCATTTATATGTTTATGTATATGCATGTGTATATGTGTGCAGGTCTATGTATGTGTGAGGGGGGGTGGAGGGGTTTAACTAAGAAAGACAAAAGTTGGCTGGTACAGAACTGGAGCAAAAAAGTCAAGGAGAGATTGTGGCAGCCATATCACGGAAAAGCTTGGAGATGAAAAAGTAAAAATAGCTTCCATTGTGCTCGCTTCGGCAGCACATATACAAAAACTGGAACAATATAGAGAAGATTAGCACGGCCCCTGCGCAAGGATGACACACAAATTCGTGAAGCGTTCCATATTTTTTGTTATACGGCAGAAACTAACACAACATTGTAAAGCAATTTATACTCCAATAAAGATGTTAAAAAAAAAAAGAATAGCTTCCATTTACTGAGAACTTTCCATCAGAGGGATGTTACTCACTTGGAATCTGAGGCTCAGAGAAGGTACCAAACCACACAGCGAGTAGGTATTTATCTCTTGCACCCCATTCTCAAACACACAATTAGCCTGGGTAAATATTAGTGGTTAATATTTCTGACCCTTCACCCTCAAGAATGCGAGATAAAGGATGTGTCCTGTGGATGTGCGCTTTTTTAAACACTTGTTTGAATGACCTTTTCTAATCCAGCACCTACAACCCTATAAAATAAAACCACTCTTACGCTCTTGAAATACTGTACTTACAAAGGCGAGAAGATATGCTGATATATTTCAGTGAGATTTTTGGTTAGAATTGAACCCTAAGAGCTTTCTAATTAATTTTTATCCCATTCCCCAGGCATACAGCTAATTGAAATTTTTCTGTATGTAAGGTTCATAATTATTACTACATGTGAAGTGTTGGCAGAACAACTTAATCGTAGAAAATTCCTGTTTTACAATTTCTTGAATCTTGCCTACCTAAATGACACATGTGTGACTCACACCTTCAAATAGAGTGCCTTTTCTAATGAAGGTTGCGCTTCCTAAAATACTCTCCCTTCTGCTCGCCAGAATCCCACCCCTCTTCCTGGCCCAGCTCTTTGAATGTCCCCTCCCTGCTTCATCCTCAACCCTCCTACCTCCATCTGTCACTCACCCTCCCATAAGATTTCAGACAACACTGTCTAAAACTGTATTATAGCACCCAAAATAGCAAAAGCCAATACCACTGACTCAGCAGACACGCCTGGATTCATGTATTCGTTCAGCAAACATTTATTGTTATGTGGGCCTGGCTCCATGCCAGACACGGGGGTTACAAGAGTAGACAGGCAGGGGCACCAGTGTTACAGTTCACACTCTAGGGGACAGCGACCTTTTCTTATCTCCCATCCTTACCTCCACCTGGCAAGGTAGGTGAATGGGGAGGACTCCATACAGGTGACTGGAGGGAGGGTGTGCTCGTTTCTGATTTGGGGAACACAAAGGGACAGGAGGACAAAGCAGAACAGCAGTGTGACGGAGGCTCTGAAACTGAAGAAAGACGGAAGTCCAGGCTTGAAACGAGTTGTAGGAGCCATGGGCTCCCATGTTAAGTGACTCAGAAATGGTGGGGGAAGAGCCTCATGCTCTGTGGCTGTCAAATGGCCGCTCTCTTGGGGGAAACGTTCGGGTTTGTGTTGCTCCGTCCAAGGTGACCTGCTGGGGACTAAGACAGGCCAACAGGTGTGGTCAGAGAAAACAGGTGAGAGCAGATTTGCAGAAAGCTCAGAATATGCAGATGACATGAAAGCTCAGAGGGGTGCTACAGTTTGGAATTGAGGGGCACCCTGGCCGATGGCCCTAAGATTGAGTGGGGCGATGACTTCTCAGATGAAAGCAGTCCTAGTTTAGACAAAGATGCTCAACGTGGAAAAGACAAGCTACCCGTCATTCCTCAAAGTCTCGTTACCCTGAAAATGGCATCGCAAACTGTCCTCCACATCACACATTTATTCCCTTAAGAGGTCAGGACACCAAGGAGAGGACAGTCCTGTGCAGATGACCCACAGCCCTAGTGCCTGGACCCGAGGTCTCCCCAGTGTAAAGGTACACCTTGTAACTTTCATTTTTCTCTTCCTATACCCACTCATTCATATTTCCAGAATGCCTGCCTGGTGTTGGGGGTGCAGGACAGAAGCCCCGCCGTTCACATTTGGATGGAGGAGGTATGTACACGAAGGACACAGACCCACACGGAAACGGAAACATTTACAACACAGCATGGCAAGTGCCTGAGCCCACGGCCAATGGGGGCTGACCGTGGAAGTCACAAACTCCAGGGCTTCATCTCGCCAAGTTGAAGGCCACACCTTAGCAAACCCTCCCCCGCCCCTGCCCCGCACCCACCCAAGCTTTAAATTTTTTTCAGTTTAGGAGACCCAGCAGTCTCCTTCATAACCTCCACATGGAGGTTTTGAATAAACTATTCAGAGTCAGAAAATTCCAAGCTTTCTTCCCTTAAACCTGCCCTCCCCTCCAGATAGCATTATTTACAGAATTCATTATAAAATGTACGGCAAATATTGTACTACAACTTATCGCTAAACTAAATTCATTACATGTTTTTCCCTTTTAAGCTTCTTGGCTATTTATCTTCACTGTCCCGATGACTTCTGGTTCTTATTTTCTTGACACCCACATTGTCATTTTCCTGTTTGGGAACAAAAGTATAACTCTTAAGTAATTTAAAAGAACAATTTTTGTAACCGACTCTGCAAAAACCCCGATCCTTTCTAGGTGTGATGCAGGCCTTTAGTCCTAGAAAATTAATCTTGAGGTTGGAAATAAACTTTAAGATAGAGCCTGTGAAAGTTGCCTTAAACTGTTTTTACTATTTAGTTTTTTAAAGTTAAATACTGTGTCCTTTGATAGAAAGGTTTGTAAGCTATTTTTAAGTTCATACATCATAAAAGGAGAAAGAAAATTTCCACACAAATACATACATTTTCACTAATTTTCATAAATACCATTCAGAAAAAGTGAATTCAAAGGTATAATCAGGCTGAAATATTGTTTTCTTTTATACACAAAGACATTTATTTAAGACCTTTATTCACAGGTGCTTGCAGTTAGTTGACTGTTTTGAAAAAAATCAAGCTGTAAACTTTTATTACAAATAAAAAATGAGGTTCTTAAAGATCTCAACTTGACCAGATGTGAAACAGATTAAAAACCAGAAGACCCAAAAGGTTTCGGCCTGGTTTTTTTCTCAGACCAAAATCTTTTGGGTCTTCTAAACAACTGAGGTGTTTGAAGGGGACCACCCCTCAATGCTACGTGAGTGTCAGCGGAGAGCACATTTGGGACGGGACAAAGGACACCAGACTGCCTCCCGGGTGGGAGCTCTGAACAGTGCTACCCACCTAAACACACCTCCACCTGCTCTTCATCCCAGCTTTCCAAAGGGACGCCTTCGAAATCAGGCGTTACCCCTCTGGAAGTTTCATTCAATCTCTAACCAGGGACTGAAGACAGCTGCCTGGAATCTTACTACAGGGTATGCAACGAGCAGTCAGAAAATACTAACTGGATAAATCCCTTTTCCTTCCTTTTTTTAAAAATTTTTGGCCACGGCAAGCAGGATCTTAGTTCCCTGACCAGCGATTGAACCCGAGCCCCCTGCAGTGGAAGCTCGGAGTCTTAACCCCTGGACCGCCAGGGAAGTCCCATCCCCTGTTTTTCCTGAATGATGACTTTATAATGTGAATTTACTATTCAAAGTGGAATTCCCAAGCCAGATACACTTGAATATAGAGACACAAAATGTGGCTTAGATTCATGCCTCTTACATTAGTCTAACCGGGAGCTGGTGGCATGTTATTACATATCATGTGTTGTGTCTGCTCTAGCAACATAGGGCAAAAATCATATTGAAACATTCTATGCACTTAAAAAAAGAGAAACAGGAAATTACTTGCCTTTTGGAGGCTGTTGGCACATCTCCTGGCACCCCGGGTTACTCTCTGCTCGGATTCACTCTCCGAAGGGTTTCCTCGAGGGTGGAGAGAAATCTTCCTGGATCTCAAACCCTTGAAGTCTGAATATTCCGTTGCTTCTTTCTCTTCCTGCTTCTTCAAGGGGATTTCCACTCTTTCCTGCCTTGCTGTCTCCTCTGTTGCATCAGGCAAAGGCTTCTGATTCTGCTTCCCAGATCTCAAGGGCCTCCTTCTGTCTTGAACTTTGCCCCCAGAGGTAGGATTCTCGGCTGCATCTTCTGGGCTTTGTAGCTTCATCTCTTGGGAGGTCTCCGTGGACTTCTTTTCACTTCTCTTTATTTTCATCTTTCCTGCTGATATAAGAGACCCAGGTCTTTGCTCCTCTATATTCGTTTTAGTGGGGCGCCTGGTACGCAGGGACATTCCCTAAAAAAATTCAAAAGACATCCACAAAACGTCAAGAATGAGGAATACAAATTTTAAAACTCCACATGGAGAAAATCATTCGAAAGTGAACTCAAAGGGGGATTAATTGGAAAATTTTCCATTGGTTCATTTTCTAAGATGCCAGTAATCTAATCGAGTCAAGGGAGTGCCTGTCACTTTGTTCCAATGGAGGAATCACCATTTCTACTGATAAACCATAAGTAAGGAATTCAGTATAAATTCCAATCACAATGTCTGAATGTCATATACGTCAGTCTGATTACAACAAGCGTTAAAAGGGTATTCCAGGAGAATGCCCCATTATTCAGGTAGTAAATGAATTCCTAATCCTTTAACAATCATTGATAGAGCAGGACAGGAAAATCTCAATTTCTGGAATCGAATTTACAAGCTTCTCTATCTGACAACCCTGACAGTTAAGGTCTTCCCAAGACACACGCCCCGTGAAAATTGTTCTAATTGTTTCAATACTGATGCAGATACTACTTCTACCCAGCGCTCCAGGTCTCAGTGTCTGAAACAAGGCAGCACTGAATTGCCCACTTTTTCTCGGCACAAAGTTCCACACCTTTGAAGATGAACACAACTCAGTCACTTCCTGAGAAGTTCTTGGCAAAATGTGTAATAATAATTTTGACCAGCTATTTTCCCAAATTAGCCTATTCTCTCTAGAAGTCCCCAAAGGATGCTTTACGAAGGTCTGCAGTTACTCACTGTGTTGAACGCAGACCCCACGGGGAAAGGGTACCCACACATACATTCGGGTTATGTACAGCTTACAGCAAACGTTATACCAGAATGGAGAGCATCCACCCAAGATGACACGGTACGATTACATCACACCACCCATCACCTTATTTGGAGCGTGCGCGTCTTCTCCTTGTGGATCCGTAGGTTTAGTTTTCATGTCATTGTTGGGCAGGTTTCCCACAGGTTTAGTCCTTTGTGCCAAAATCCTCAGACTTCTCTTCTTCACTCCCGAGGGTTTGGGGGGCTCCCGTCTCTCCCTGGGGGCTGTCCTCTGCTTCTTCTGGAGGGGCTTCTCTTCCTCAGGGTCCTGTGCAGCCATCGTGGGGCATAGCCTCTTCCTGCCCACAACCCTTGCATCTTCTCCCAGTTTCCTCTTGGGGGACGGGGAGATGCAGCTTTCACCTGGTGATTTTACAGGGTCTCTGCTGCCCACAAGGTCTCCCATGAACCTTACTTTAGGGGCCCTGAGGACTCTTCGGGATATTTCTACAGGTCTTCTTCTGTCTGCTGTTTGCTTTGGGGCTCTCTTAACTCCAGAAGCATCGTTTCCCAGTTCACTGGCCTGACCTGGCTTTTGGAAGAGCTCTTTGAAACTGGCCGGATCTTCCAGGGGTTGGGATTTTTCCTTAAATGTTCTTCGCCGACTCTTGACACAAATTACATTTTCTGCTGAGTCCAGGTTCTGCCTTGAAGTTTCCTTAAACACTTTGATATTGTTCTCACCACCTGCTGGTTCTCTGTGCATGGTTCCCCCTGCTGTTTGGATGGGCTCTCTGAGTACTGAGAGCTCTTCTAGGTCTACTTTTCCCAGTGGTGACTTGAGCCGCCTCCTTCTACTTGCTGGCCTGGTGACTGGTCCGGCTGGTGGAGATTGGCAGGGCACTGCAGTGATTTTAACATCACTCACCGGTTCTTTGGCCTGACCTGGCTTTTGGAAGAGCTCTTTGGAACTGCATGAGTCTTCCACGGGTTGGGTCTTTTCCTTAAATGTTCTTAGCCGACTCTTGATGCCAATTACATTTTCTGCAGGGTTGAGTCTCTGCCTTGAAGTTTCCTTAATCACTTTGCTGTCTTTTTCATCACATACAGGCTCTCTCTGCGTATCCCCTGGCGTCTGTGTGGGCTTCTTGGGAGCTGAGGGCTCTTCTACACCCACTTTCTCTGGCGGTGACTTGACTCGCCTCCTTCTACTTGCTGGCCTGGTGACTGGTCCGGCTGGTGGAGATTGGCAGGGCGCTGGAGCGATTTTACCATCGCTCACCGGTTCTTTGGCCTGACCTGGTTTATGGAAGGGCTCGTTGAAACTGCACGAGTCTTCCACAGGTTGAGCCTTTTCCTTCAATGTTCTTAGCCGACTCTTGATGCCAATTACATTTTCTGCCAGGACCAATTTCTGCCTTGAATTTTCCTTAATCGCTTTGCTGTCTTTTTCATCACATGCAGGCTCTCTCTGCGTATCCCCTGGTGTCTGTGTGGGCTTCCTGGGCGCTGAGGGCTCTTCTGCATCCACTTTCCCTGGTGGTGACTTGAACTGTCTCTTTCTACCTGTTCGCCTGGTGACTGGTTCTACTGCTGGAGATTTATAGGGTATTGTGGTGGTTTTCTCATTAGTCATTTGTTCCTCTGCATGATCTGGGGTTTGGAAGAGCTCTTTGAAGCCAGCCAGGTCTTCCAGGGGTGGGGCCTTTTCCTTGGGTGTCCTTGGCCTCCTCTTGCTTCCAGTTACATTTTCTGCAGGGTCCAGCTTTTCTTCTGGAGCTTCCTGAGACACTGCAATGCCTCTGTCACCACCGTCTGGTTCTCTGTGTGAGTGTGTGGACTTCCTGAGTGCTGAGAGGTCTTCCTGCACAGCCACTTTCTGGGAAGGTGTCGTCTCTTTCTACCTGTTCGCCTGGTGACTGGTTCTACTGCTGGAGATTTATAGGGTATTGTGGTGGTTTTCTCATTAGTCATTTGTTCCTCTGCATGATCTGGGGTTTGGAAGAGCTCTTTGAAGCCAGCCAGGTCTTCCAGGGGTGGGGCCTTTTCCTTGGGTGTCCTTGGCCTCCTCTTGCTTCCAGTTACATTTTCTGCAGGGTCCAGCTTTTCTTCTGGAGCTTCCTGAGACACTGCAATGCCTCTGTCACCACCGTCTGGTTCTCTGTGTGAGTGTGTGGACTTCCTGAGTGCTGAGAGGTCTTCCTGCACAGCCACTTTCTGGGAAGGTGTCTTGAGACGTCTGGTCATGCTGGTTGATGTAACAACTGGTTCTGGTGGTGGAGATCGGCAGAGCATTTTGGGGGTTCTGTCCTCAGTCGTTGGTTCCTTGGCTTGATGTGGGGTTTGGAAGAGCTCTTTGAGGCCAGCCAGGTCTTCCAGGGGTGGGGCCTTTTCCTTGGGTGTCCTTGGCAGCCTCTTGCTTCCAGTTACATTTTTTACAGGGTCGAGTTTTTCTCCTGGAGCTTCCTGAGACACCACAATGCCTCTGTCACCACCGTCTGGTTCTCTGTGTGAGTGTGTGGACTTCCTGAGTGCTGAGAGGTCTTCCTGCACAGCCACTTTCTGGGAAGGTGTCTTGAGACGTCTGGTCATGCTGGTTGATGTAACAACTGGTTCTGGTGGTGGAGATTGGCAGAGCATTTGGGGGGTTCTATCCTCAGTCATTGGTTCCTTGGCTTGATGTGGGGTTTGGAAGAGCTCTTTGAAGCCAGCCAGGTCTTCCAGGGGTGGGGCCTTTCCCTTGGGTGTCCTTGGCCGCCTCTTGCTTCCAGTTACATTTTTTACAGGGTCCAGTTTTTCTCCTGGAGCTTCCCGAGACACTGCAATGCCTCTGTCACCACCCTCTGGTCCTCTGTGTGAGCGTGTGGGCTTCCTGAGAGCTGAGACATCTTCCTGCACAGCCACTGTCTGGGAAGGTGTCTTGAGATGTCCCTTTCTACTGGGTGTGTTGATTGGTTCTAGTTGTGGAGACTGGCAGAGCATTTTGAAGATTTTGTCAGCACTCATTGGTTCCACTGTGTGATTTGGTGTTTGGAAGAGCTCTTTGAAGCCAACCAGGTCTTCCAGGGGTGGGGCCTTTTCCTTGGGTGTTTTTGGCCACCTCTTGCTTCCAGTTACATTTTCTGCAGGGTCCAGCTTTTCTTCTGGAGCTTCCCGAGACACTGCAATGCCTCTGTCAGCACCCTCTGGTTCTCTGTGTGAGTGTGTGGTTTCCCCTGGTGTTTGTTGAGGCTTCCTGAGAGCTGAGACATCTCCCTGTACATCCACTTTCTGGGAAGGTGTCTTGAGACGTCCCTTTCTACTTGGTGTGTTGACTGGTTCTAGTTGTGGAGATTGGCAGAGCATTTTGGGGGTTTTGTCATCAATCATGGGTTCTTTGGCATGATGTGGGGTTTGGAAGAGCTCTTTGAAGCCAGCCAGGTCTTCCAGGGGTGGGGCCTTTTTCTTGGGTGTCCTTGGCCGCCTCTTACTTCCAGCTACATTTTCCGCAGGGTCCAGTTTCTGCTTTGGAGTTTCCTGAAACAATTTGATGCTTTTATCATCACCTGGTTCTCTGTGCACGGGCATAGTTTTCCCGGGTGTCTGTGTGAGTTTTCCGAGGGCTGAGGCATCTTCTACATCCGCTTTCCAGGAAGGTGTCTTGAGCTGTGTGTTTGTCCTGGTGGGCGTGCCGACTGTTCCTGATCTGGGAGATTTACAGAGCATTTTTGTGGCTTTGTTCTCTGAATCCACTGCTTCCTTGGCATGAGCTGGGGTCTGCAGGAGACTTGGGATGTCCAGCTGGTCTTCCTCAGGCTGTGTCTCCTGCAAGCTCTCGAGGGCGGTCAGGTCTGCTGCTAGCTCACACCTCAGCTCTGAGGCTCTCCTTGGTCCCCTCACGGCTATCGTGTGTTTGGAATTCCCTTTTGACCCCATGTGCTCTGTCTGCGCTTCACTCTCCTTCGCGTCTCCCTCCAGCTTCTGCTCTGGCTGTGGTGCTTTCCTCAGACATCTTCCCAAGACGTTCTCAAGAGCGTCAGGTTTTGGGCCTTCGTTTTTACACTCTACACCTGGTGCCTGTGAGCTTCTGAGCTCCATGGACCTTCTCAACTTCTTTGCACTTGATGTTGTCTTTGGTGTCATTGCCTCAGACACTGGAGTTTCCATCTCAGCACCTGCTGTTTTATACACGTTCCTGGGAGTTTTCGTAATACTTTCATTTATTTTAATTTTCATACTCTGGCGTCTTAAGGCAGGGCTTGCAGAACTTTGATCAGACAGCTCTTTTGGTGCATCTTGAGTCCCAGGGGACACATTCTGTCCTATAAGAAATTAAAACATGCATGATGAGTATATTCTGTGCACCGTGCGCCAATGTGGTGTTTTAGCCTCACGAGGTATTTAAGAGCCAATAAACCAGCCTCCCATCCATCTCAGGATACGAGGCTGCCTACGTGGCCATAAATCTGCCTGACATGAACCACACACAATTAAGAACAATGTTTTTGGGTGACACAGAGTGGGGTCATGCATAGGCAGTGGTAAGGGTCTATGGGGATCGGATAAAAGAAAAACATTCCTTAGGCTGCCAGCCAGGTCTCAGTGAGCTGAACACACGCATTTTTTTCATCAAACGTGAGAAACAGCTGTTTCATCTGCTGGACCACCAATGCAATAATATGGATTATACTTAGTGCGCTAAGGGTCCATGTTACACAGGAAACATCAATTCTTTAGCAACAGGAAGCATCTTGAGTGTAGCACACTGTCCCCTCTATGACAGAAGCTCGGTGACCAGTGTAAATGAGAGAGAAACAGACTCACATCTCACTCTCACCCTGCGGCAGGTGCCCAACCAGAGATTAACAGGAGTACCTGCGTGGTGCACACCTGCTGCCTTTCTCTTTGGTAATTGACAGCACTCGCACGTCTGAGTAATTTACATATAAGTATGATGAGAGATCATTACACTTTCCTGCTTGTCAGCCTCTTTACTTATGCTAAATGAAGGCCACGTGTACACCCGTAGTTTACGGTTAGTAAACAGGCATATGCCTTTCCATGCAAGTCTCTGAAAGCCAGTGCTACTTCAGCTGCTGATAGAAACCTCCCCTAAGAACAATGGGACAGGGAAGCTGGACATGGTACTTTATCAGGAATATCTGTCGTAGCGAAATAATACAGTAGCTGTTGTGAAAAAAGAAGACCATCTACAGTTTCCACTGAAAAGATCAAAGTGCCAGGGGAAAAAAAGGAAACCCACCAGAATTTTCTGAAGCACACAGCAGAGGTTTTCCTCCTGAATGAGGTACTGGAAGCTCTTCTCCAAGCAAACCCTCTGAATTTGAAAAAGTGGAGGGACACAGGCTCATCCTTTGTGGTTTCTCTTTCACTGGAGTCCTGAACATTTCAGGCAGCCCTGTTACATGAAAATAGTGGAAAAACAGTTAACAGACTGCTCATACCTGCAAATCAGCATGCCTGTCCTCACGTACAACAGAGGAAATGTCGGAAGGCAAACAAGAGATCACTCCCTAGAACTTCTGGGAGACAGGGTCTCACAGGAGAGGTTGATGCATCAGCTGTGGACCCATATTTTGAAGAGGGCAATGGCGAGTTAGACTCATAAATGGCCTCTTCTCTGGCCTTCCTCTTGGAAAGAATGTAATGACGCAAGTTGATGTCCACCCTCTTCTAGAGTGAACTCCAGCTGTGAGCATTGGCCAGAGGACAGAGGCTGCCCTCCAGGGTCCCTCTCCATGCATCCCCAAATCCAGGGCCCTCAGGCTCCTTCGATAAGTCCTAGGTTATGCACTACAAGAGTTTATGTACAAATAAAATGTCCAAATGTTAAAAGTGAGATAGGACTGCCCATTTTTAGTACTGTCAAGTACTAATATCACCATCTTTTCATTTTAACACCAAAAGGTAGTACTAACATAATCTCAGAAAACAAACAAGCAAATCCATCCAGTTCTCTAAAGGGAAGATTTAAGTTTCTCAAACTCTCATTCTCCTCCTGTTCTCCTTACTTTTCTCATTCTGACATCAATGGACCAAAACAGACCAGCAGCCGACTCTCTTGGTCTGGCAGCCGTCTGCAAACTGTGTTTGGGAAGCCTGTTCTGAAGGCACCCAAGCCAGGCAACTCACTTAAAAAGCTCATTCCTCCGCCACCGTTCAGGCCTTACTTAAAATACCCAAGATTTAATATTTCATCACATATTAATGTTTTGTCATAAAAGTACTCACACCGAGGGGTGGCCTTTGTTGAGTGTCTAGAAAAATGTTTTGAAGGAAGGCTGAAAAAATTTACCATCCCAGGTACTATTTAAACTTCTACTTATCTTATAAATATTTTTGAGAATTTGTCTTCAATGCTTTGTAACATATATAGTAGTACACTCACACTTGTGCGTAATTTACAAGCATACACAGAAATCTGTGTATCTGTGTATAAGCTCAAATTGTTTTTTACTCATGGAGCATGCTATCAGAACTCTGGCTATCACTGTTCTACATGTTTATAGTTTGCTTTTAAAAAGCTAATAAATATGTTGATCCAAATGTGATTCTAACTGGAGGGTATTTTGCATAGGTTTTATAAGTGGTACAACAATTCTCCCATCTTAAAATCCGCCAGGAAATAAAAACTAGGTTCCACCTAATGGATTCAAGTGTCACCTCCCTCCATAGGTGCTCAGAATGGAAACCACTGGTCAAACGACGTAGCAGAAAATCCCAAACCCAGGGTCCTGCCGTGGTTCTAATCCAGTACAAGTGTCAGCAGCTCACATCACACTTTTACTGAAAATAGCAATACTGGCTCAACTATGAATGGCTCAGAGAAGCCTTTGTTTCATGAACCAGCTAAGCTACACAGAAGGAAAAGAAATCTTGAAGCAAAACATCACTCAAACCAATTGCTCCGACTCTGGCAATTATAAGAGCAAGGCTGCTTTTTCACCATGAAGCCGCTGCCAACGTCGTATACCCGCGCTGCTCTCCCAGGTAAAGATGTGCATGTCCTGCCATACCTGCTTCCTACAGGCCACGTGACTCCAAATCGTCAGGGGCCTGGCCTTGTTCTCCAATCCAGCACCCTGTTCCTTGAATATCATGACCCTCCGAGTTGCCTAGATTGTTTATCCTCCTGTCCCATGCACAGCAGATAAACAAACGTGATACCCACCCATGTGGACCCACACAGGAGGATGAAAGCGTTCTGGTTCCTAAGAGCCATGGCTATGCTTTTACCTGAAAGATCTTCACTAAAGTCCATTGGTTTGTTGACCACGAAGTTGTTCAGCATCCTGTAGGGCCGAGCTGGCCCGTTCACTTTCTCGATGTGAGCTTTCCCTATTATTATGGTACAGGGAGAGTTTGCGTGGCCTGTGCTAAACTGATTGTGAACGATGCCAGTCAGCTTCTGGAAAACAATCAGGAAGTCAATAAAGCGTCAAAGCCTCAATCCACACTTAATGTATCCCTTAATCATATTATGTATCAAAGAGCAATTCACATTGGAACACCTACCTTCGGAGTATTATTGGTTCTTCTTTGCCTTTTGCTCAGGGGTCTTGGAGGTCCACGTTTAACAGCTTTGGTCTGGGTCTGCTTGGTACCAAGTTTTACCACGTCTGCCCACGATTTTGCCACTGTCACAGGGAAAAGATGTTGAGACTTTTCAAAACCGGCACTAACAAGAAAATCAACCTTGAAACCTATCTGTCGATACAAGACTAACCAACTAAATTGGCCTCAGAAGCGCCACTCCTTCTCTTGGAATAAATCATCTGTAAGATGCCATGCTGGCTTCGATCCACGGAAGATCTCTTGGAGGGCAGGTGGCTACTTTTTCTCCGTCCTCTCTTGGGAATATCTGTCTGATGTGGAGATTTGCTGTCGCTGGAGATGGAAGACGGCTTGGATAAGCTACGGCAGCGGTCGGGCGCATCTGGAGAAGCGGCAGCAGCATTAGGAGCTGGAGGCCTCACAAACGCATCCTGCACAGTCACCTCCAGACAGGCTTCTGGAGAATCTTCTTCCCCTGATGGCTGAGGCTGCTCCTGACAAGATTTAAATGTGCGTAAGAAACCTTACCACAAACATAACTTCTCTGTAGGTTCAAGATGATGGAGTAGGACGTGTGCTCAATCCCTCTTGCGCGAGCACTGGAATCACAACTAACTGAAGAACAATCATCGACAGGAAGACGCTGGAACTCACCAAAAAAGACACCCCACATCCAGAGACAAAGGAGAAGCCACAGTGAGACGGTAGGAGGGGCGCAATCACAATAAAATCAAATCCCATAACTGCTGGGTGGGTGACTCACAAACTGGAGAACACTTATACCACAGAAGTCCACCTACTAGACTGAAGGTCCTGAGCCCCACGTCAGGCTTCCCAACCTGGGGGTCCAGCAATGGGAGGAGGAATTCCCAGAGAATCAGACTTTGAAGGCTAGCAGGAGTTGATTGCAGGACTTCGACAGGACTGGGGGAAACAGAGACTCCACTCTTAGAGGGCACACACAAAGTACTGTGTGCATCGGGACCCAGGGGAAGGAGCAGTGACCCCATAGGAGACTGAACCAGACCTACCTGCTGGTGTTGGAGAGTCTCCTGCAGAGGGGGGTGGGGGGGTGGCTGTGGTTCACCAAGGGACAAGGACACTGGGAGCAGAAGTTCTGCGAAGTACTCCTTGGCGTGAGCCCTCCCAGAGTCCCCTATTAGCCGCACCAAAGAGCCTGGGTAGGCTCCAGTGTTGGGTCGCCTCAGGCCAAACAACCAGCAGGGAGGGAACCCAGCCCCACCCATCAGCAGACAATTGGATTAAAGTTTTACTGAGCTCTGCCCACCAGAGCAACAGTCAGATCTACCCACCACCAGTCCCTTCCATCAGGAAGCTTGCACAAGCCTCTCAGATAGCCTCATCCACCAGAAGGCAGACAGCAGAAGCAAGAACTACCATCCTGCAGCCTGTGGAACTAAAACCACATTCACAGAAAGAGAGACAAGATGAAAAGGCAGAGGGCTACGTACCAGATGAAGGAACAAGATAAAACCCCAGGAAAACAACTAAGTGAAGTGGAGATAGGCAACCTTCCAGAAAAGGAATTCAGAATAATGATAGTGAAGATGATCCAGGACCTCGGAAAAAGAATGGAGGCAAAGATTGAGAAGATGCAAGAAATGTTTAACAAAGACCTAGAAGAATTAAAGAACAAACAAACAGATGAACAATACAATAACGGAAATGAAAACTACAACAGAAGGAATCGATAGCAGAATAACTGAGGCAGAAGAACAGATAAGTGGCCTGGAAGACAGAACGGTGGAATTCACTGCCACGGAACAGAATAAAGAAAAAAGAATGAAAACAAATGAAGACAGCCTAAGAGACCTCTGGGACAACATTAAACGCAACAACATTCGCACTATAGGGGTCCCAGAAGGAGAAGAGAGAGAGAAAGGACCAGAGAAAATATTTGAAGAGATTATAGTCGAAAACTTCCCTAACATGGGAAAGGAAATAGCCACCCAAGTCCAGGAAGCACAGAGAGTCCCATACAGGATAAACCCAAGGAGAAACACACAGAGACACATAGTAATCAAACTGGCAAAAATTAAAGACAAAGAAAAATTACTGAAAGCAACAAGGGAAAAATGACAAATAACATACAAGGGAACTCCCTTAAGGTTAACAGCTGATTTCTCAGCAGAAACTCTACAAGCCAGGAGAGAGTGGCATGATATACTTAAAGTGACGAAAGGGAAGAAACTACAACCAAGATCACTCTACTTGGCAAGGATCTCATCCTGATTCGACAGAGAAATCAAAAGCTTTAAAGACAAGCAAAAGCTAAGAGAATTCAGCACCACCAGGCTTTCTATTTATTTTATATTGGAGTAGAGTTGATTAACAGTGTTGTGTTAGTGTCAGGTGTACAGCAAAGTGATTCAGTTATACATGTACATGTATCTATTCTTTTTCAAATTCTTTTCCCATTTAGGTTATTACAGAATATTGAGCAGAGTTCCCTGTGCTATACAGCAGGTCCTTGTTGGTTATCTATTTTAAATATAGCCATGTGTACGTGTCAATCCCAAACTGTTTAAATCTGGAAGCACCAAACGTTTCAACCAGTGTCTGTCAAGTATATGGTAGAGATGGGAGTCTACGTCTCTCACTTAAAAAAAAAAAAAAAAACGTGGCGGGGGGGAAAGAAAGCACCGAACAAATCTTAAATCTTAATTGGGGTATTTCAGGTGGAAAGATGAAAGGAACTTCCTCATGAGCGAGGCTCTTATCTAAGTCTAAGGAAACACCGTCCGTGGGAATTTAACCACCTTTGATCTGCATGGAAAGACAGCCGCTCACTTCCGGGAGCCCATATAAAAGGGAAGGAAAGGAGACATACCTCACACGCCCGTTAGTGTGAAAGGAAAATAAAGACTTCCCAGGCCCTCTGATGAAGGCGAGCTGTGGGCCACCACCTTTCTAGAGATCTAAGGTCACAGCCTAGGGTAGGTGATGAAAAATTGTAAATCATGGGTGTGCTGCCACCCAAGATTTTTCTTTTCACCTTGTAATTCTAAAAGGGAAAAACACCAGAACCTTACGGTTCTGTGTCGTGATGCCTCCAGAGTCTTTCCAAATGTATTTACTATAACCCTAGCATGACCACCTGGCCCTGCAAGTGTGGTCAGCAGGAGGCCTCTGCAGAGAAGGAAAGTCCTGAGGACCCACATGTGCTCAGTCACCCTCGGGCCGTGGTTAGGAACCCAGGTGCTCATTTCCCAACACCCACATGAATGAGCTCTCACAGAGACTTTTATATTTTTACTTTGTTATTAGAAAGAAAAAGGTGTTCATTGTCATTCTACTAGTGTGAGGGGTTGGAAAGAATATGGACCAAGGATGTATGCTATCATCAGACCCGAAGGGGGGACCAGTGGGTAAACTCACCTTGATGATTTTCTTCAGGACGGTTGGCGTGTGGGTGACCAGAGACCGTCTTTGCTTTGGTGTCTCTCCTCTTTTGAGAGGTGTGTTGGGAGGTAAGTTTTCATCGAATAATTCAGGTCTCAGGCGACCACCAAAGGAGACCCGCCTCCTCTTCAGGGACACCTCGTCCATCTTATCTAGAGGAATGGGCACAGACGTGGAGAAGGCAAAAGAGAGCAGCACCATAGGTGTGACTTGTTTCCATTTACCATTGAAGACAAACTAACTGTAAATTCACTGAAACCTGGCACCTCACACACCTTTAGTCTCTTGTGATGCTGACGAAGGTGATGCTGCTTCAAGAGCTCAGGAAAGATCCAGGACAAACCACTAAATGCCAAGTCCCAACCTGACAGGACAAGGACTTTCTTTAAACATTGACAAGTCCTGTGTGGACAGAGCTTAATAAAGGGAGTGGCCTGGAGCAGTGGCTCCCACTTCGGAGCAGGGGCATGAAGGGGATGAGGCTTCAGCAGTGGCCTGAGGAAGCTTTTCCAAGAGACTCACACTTGGGTCTCACTCAGACCTACCCAGTGAGTGGAATTCGAGCTGGAAACCTCTCCTGGTGATATTGACAGATGGGCAATTCACGAGTCCCAAGCCCCACTATCCATCTTTGTGAACCACTTGTCAACATAAACCCTTGCCTGAGTGAGGCGCCCCACTTGTAAGACTTGTGGGGACTCCGTGACTGAAGTGCGTGGGTCTGCTTTCAGAGCCGCACACCCCTGCCCTGGGGGCTCCCTGCAGAAGCAGAGCTGACAGCAGGGCACAGCATCAGAGCACCTGGGGGCCCCCGAGGAGCGTGGGAGGCCCTGGAGCTACCACGCCTGCTTCACGGGTCACATGTCTGCCACCCATGGGGTGCCGTTAGGTTACTGGTTTCCCCATTTGCAAAAGGAAGATAACAAAACTCCTGTCCCATGGGCCCTCTTGCTGCCAGAACAGAGGATGGGAAATGAGTGTCTGAAAGGCACGTAAAAGAACACCTGGCACGTAAACCCATGGGGATGGGGCAGGTGTGTTCTAAGAGCCACCCCACATGAAAAGATTTCCAAGGGATTTCCACTGACTTATTCTAGAGGATCAAACTCATAGGATAAAAGAGCTTTTAGTTCAGAATTGAACTCCTGTGAAAAGCAATTATGCTTATGCTTATTCTCCTTTGTTTTGTGGTAGACGGAAGAATCAAATATGCTTTTGGACCACCTTATCTCCTTAGACCCCCTGCTAATTCTTCCCGAATAACCAGCACTTCTTCTGGTTGGTTGGTTATCTGGGTCTTCACGCAAATCTATGAGTAGAGGATGAATATGTGCCTTTATGTGCCTCACAGCTAATCATTCGTGAAGGAAGGAAGGTCCCACTAATTCATACCTAGACATAAGGTAGGAGTAAACTTGGGGGGGGAAATAAATTTACAGTTAAATAAACTTACTCGTGGAATCACCGAAGCTGCTGCCATCAGCCGAGCTAAGACCGGGTAACCCAGTGCACACCGGATCAGCTGCCATGCCCAGCTTCTCAGGCTTGTTGAGAAAATCGCTTTGAATCTTCCTTTCAGCTTGAGGGACCAATGGAGCTGAAATTGTCTGATGCAGGATCTCTGTTTCTGTTGTCAGATCGTCAACATTTGTAGGATTCCTCTTCCTCTTTCTGGGGCAAAGTTTTTCTGGTGTATTTCCAAAACTCTCAACTTTAACGGGCGTTTGAATACTAGGTAAGAACTTCCTAGGAGGAAACGTTTTAATATCTGCCCTGGAGCCTTCACTTTGATCTAGGTTCAGGGATGCACCACCATTGACAACACTCAGGTCTTCACTCCGCCCACTCCGTGAGGGACTTTGTTGTGAATATCGTTCGGGGGTCATGGTTTGTAGCGTCTCTATCTCTGTGCAGAGGCTGCTGGGGCTCCTGGTCTCCTTGGGCGTCTGAAATGGCTCATCACTCCTCTTCCCCTCAGTCTGGCTACTTCCTTGTTCTCCTGAAGCAGGGTCTGCCTTAATTTGGGGGCTTTGGCCCGATTTGGGTCTGGATTTAAGTGAGACCAGAGTCTCGCTCTGTAAACCACCAGTGCTTTCTTTTTCTGGTGTGCAATGACTCTGTGATCCTGATTTTCTGCGATTCTGAAGAACATTGACTTTTCCTGATTTCACATCTAACTCCACCTTCATTGACTCATAAAGCTTCCTAAAGGGAGACTCATTTTGGTCACTCTCCTTAAGACACTTTCTAGAGGAAAAAGCCTTCAGTTCTCCATTACTGATCCCAAATGTTACACTGGAACCTTCCTGAGAATCCCCAGCAGTGGGAGCTGTTGCATTTCTGCCGTTATCTCCAGGACGTTCTGAGGAATGAATGCTGTTAGGTGTCTTCCCAGCAACAGGATCTTCTGAGTCACCTGAGACAATACCAGCTCCTGTGACATTCTTCCCATGCACCACAGGCCTTCCGGAAGCAGCGTCTTCCGTGAATTTTGAACGGGCACTGGAATCTTGAACTTTTCCATCTTGACAATGAGTTATGAAATAGGAAGCAGAAATTCGAGATTTTCTCAATGATTAACATGGGCAATATTCACATTTTAAAATTATTTCAAATTGTCTTAAAAACCTAGCTTTCCACTTAGCCTACAAATTTCTTAATTCCCAAAATGTATTCTAATGGTGTTCTGGTGCTAGTTCCATGATGAAAATAAATAAATCACTTTAGCCTCCTACACCTCCTATAACCAACAGGAGACATCCAATGCTATCAATCTGCTCAGAATTAGGGGGAACAACTGAGCATGACAATTCATCTCTACATGGACCCTCCAACAAGCATATGGCACCCATACATCACTTGTGAGAAAAGTTAACTCAGGTGTCTGCCTATGTCTGTCCCTTCCTTGCCACAAAGCTACATAGAGAACAGATCTTACAGGATCCCAGACAAAACCAAAAATCTACTAACCAAGGTTGGAAGGGAAGCTAGATCTTGAGACCCGACGCGAAGGCTCCTGTGAATTGGCAGATAAGAACAGCAATTTAGATGCCTTTTCAAATACCGACAGTCACATTTACTAAAATGTTCTTCCTTTGATGACCTTCTCTACCCAACTGTTCTTAGAGAACTTTCAGCGACTTTGAGAAACGAGCCCAAGACATTGGGCTGGTACTCATAACACAAGCATTTCTCAGTTGATTTTTTTAAAATATAGTAATAGAATAAGAAACAAACTTGAAGATTAAAATTGCTTAAATTGAACAGCAGTGACTTTTTATAACTTCCTTGAACTTCTGTGAAAGAAGAATCAAAGCTAAAAGTAAACATCATCCACACTCAGTATCTGGGAACCAAGGGCACAGAATTATTGACTTGACACTGTTTTATCAGAGGTTGGCTAAAGGACCCGTGGGTGAAGTGGGGCTCCACTTAGCATGTGTGCTCATTGCTGGCAGGTACTAAGGGTTTATCTGAAAGCCCAGAAGTTAAGGCAAAAGCAAAAGCAATGCACCCAGAGGCCCTGTACCCTCAGAGCACAGGGCTGGGATGCAGCCCTCCTGCTGGGCCACCTTCACATTCCTTCCCAGGCAGCTTTATAGAGGGTAAGGAACAACTACGGAATAACACAGGTGTAAGATACAAAAGTCCAATATTGTTTCAAAGGAGGAAAAATAATATCCTCTGAATTATTAGGGGTGGAAATCACAAAATATATCCAAAGGCAAATACTTTAACTTCTTCCTTTAATCAATTTCCGATATCTTGGTATTGAATATGCTGCTTCTCAAACTTCCCATGTGAGGGCTCGGTTTCTAACTTCCAATCTGAGGTTGACAAAAGGAATCATATGACTGAACAATAAAAATGAATTAAAATTTAAAACTGTGTGCAAAATACAAGCCCATATTTTTTGTACTATAATATCCAATAGCCATAAAAATCACTGTCAAATAACATGTTCTAAGTATTCAACTTCAATATTTACAGTATCACAGTCCAGATAATGAACAGGTCATAGACCACTGGGACCTCTTATCTAACCCATAGTCCAGCTTTTTGGTTGGTTTCCTTATACCTACTAACAAGTTGGAAGCGACGTTGGTTGGTGGGTGGGATACCTCAAAAGCTAGCTTTCCCCCAAAGCTGGTGAGCAGGGTTGACATTAAAGTTAGTCCTCTGGGGAAGCAAGGGCACATGGCAGGAGCAGGGAACTTCAAATGCAGAGCCCACTGCTGATTTCAGGAGTATCTGTGCTAAGGCTCTTAAGCCAGGGAATTCCAACCTGGTCAGAAGAGAATAGCTTGAGTAGCTTCATAAAAAGTAAGAAGGATAGGAAGTCTCAGGATTAACCCAGAACCTTCTAAGTCCTACTAAATCTCCCAGGATGGGCCCAGACTGCATTTTAATAAGGTGGGCCATTTGGAGTACGTTTTCTCCACTGATAGACACAGGGCAGTAACTCTCCTCCAGTGTCATGGGTCATTTGTCTGTCAAAACTGGGAAGCATCATTGGTACCTACAACTCTGATGTGATTATTCTGGATGAATAAAGACCAATGAGTACAATGGGACAAAAAATGAGCCGCCAGATCATGTGGTTCTGGAATCTGAGTTCTGCGTCAGGGTTGCCCTAACCAAAGGTTTGCAAAATCATATTGTGGGATACTTTAGGAGACTTTGGGCCCAAAGTGTAACACCTAGTACTCTCATTTTGAATAAAAGAGGAAGGATAGTTTAAATTATCTTAATATATCTAAGTTCAACTTGTTTTACTACCTTAGCGACGTTTTCCTACTATAACTGGTAAGTCGTTCTCCCTTGTGAGAAATCAGTGTCAAAGTGCATATAAATGATTTCATATCATCATGCAAAAGAATCAGAACCCAAAGTTCCATAATATCCCCCCATCACCTGTTCCCATCTTTGTCCTGGAAATTCAGGTGACTTGCTTCCATTCTGATGACTTTCATTTTCATACCTGAAGCGCACAGAATGACAGGCACATATTCAGATTAAAGATTTGTAACCAATGATAAAATTTCCACATCTGACTAATGTCCAAGGAGCAAGGAACAAAGATCAGGTTTTACTCAAGATATTACCTTATTCATGGAAAGAAATCAGGAAAGTGTTTTTATGCTAAAAACTTAGGTAAATTGGTTTCTTCTGGAACACCACGGTCAGAGGTTGGGACCAGATTAAATTTCTGAACCCTGACTAGTCTGTAAGATTCAACAACTTCCCTGAGCACCTCCTGTGTTGGAACCAACTGCACAAGAGAGCAAAACCCGGTGTCTGCTAGTTTTTGTTCGTGGAAATCATCTGATGGCTTGGAAGGTCAACCAAGAAGCTGGGTGGCATCTGACACCTTTATCACTCTGTGACGTCATTCACCACAGGGTAACCACAGAGCTCTACTGTAAGATCACTATGATCTTTTCAGCTTCCCACTTACTCCATCTGTATCTGAACAAAGACAGGCACATTTTAGGAAGACGCAAAGATATTTAGCAAGAGACATGGTTGTTCTAACAGACCTCAGGTATCCATTCACAGAAACTTTTATAACACATACTGAACTCGGGTACCTCGGTGAGACAGCCTGATTCGAATTTAGATGCCATCTACGTAAGCTCTGAAGCAGCCAATCGTCTGGAACTGTTTCTCATGGTACCAGAGTTCTAAATCAAGCCCTTCTTCCTATGACCCATGTCCTAGTCTTTGTTGGAGGTATTTTGTCATCTCAACTAATCTTAATTTGAGCAGCATCTCATTTGGGGGACATACTTCTGCTCTCCATTCCTCATCAAATATTTCCTGCCTAGAAATAATATTTATTTCTCTATCTAATAAAAAAATACCCTTTAAAAATGAAGGCAAATTCACAAAAAGCACAAAAAAAGAAACGACCAGGATATTCAAATTAGAAAATATCTATTTAATACAAATGAAGGCAGTAATGAAGATGGAGTCCCATTTGGCAGAATGGATGACAAAAATGATCCAACTACATCTGCCTACGAGAGACACAATTTAGAGTCAAAGACACAAATAGGATGAAAGGATAATGATGGGAAAAGATATACCATGCAAACAGTAACCAAAAGAGAGGTGGAGAGGCTGTACCAATACCAGACAAAATAGACTGTAAGATAAAAATTATTCACAGAGACACTGCACATTTTATAATGATAAAAGGGTCAATCCATCAAGATCAAGCAGTTATAGACAAAAGTGCACCTAACAGCTGGTTCCAAAAGATCATCTAAACCTTAAGGATTATGAAAGTTGAAAGCAATGTGATTAAAAAAAAAAACAAAAAAAACACTATAGTATGAAATCTCTCATCAAAATCATTACTAAGGGCTTCCCTGGTGGCGCCGTGGTTGAGAGTCCGCCTGCCAATGCAGGGGACACGGGTTCATGCCCCAGTCCGGGAAGATCCCACATGCCACGGAGTGGCTGGGCCCGTGAGCCATGGCCGCTGAGCCTGCGCGTCCGGAGCCTGTGCTCCGCAGCGGGAGAGGCCACAAGAGTGAGAGAGGCCCGCGTACCGCAAAAAAAAAAAGCATTACTAAAGGTACAGGACATTTCAGAATGATACATGATACAGCTTCATCCACACCAAGAGGAGATAATTCTTAATTTAAACCCATAGTATGGCCTCAAAATATCGGACGCAAAAAACTGACAAAGTTAAAAAACAAAAAGAAAAAAAAAATCTTCAATGCGTGATTTCAGCTTACCTGTCCAGGTAACTAAGAATCAGGGGAAAAATTTACTAGGATTCTAGAGTCAGGAATTTGAATCTGATGGACCTACACAGATAGAGCACTCCACGCAGCAGCTGTGGAACACACATTTTTTCCAAACACCCAGGACAGATTAGTAAAAATGTAACCATATCTGATCATAAAAAGCAAGCTCTGACTCATTTCAGAAACTGGAAATTACTCAAATGTCCATCCAGAATGAATAAATTGTGTATAATTGTGTATGTAACTGTGGATCTTATTTCAGTGAAATCCTTAAGCAGCGAGAAGGAACAAACTGGGATGAATCCATCCATCCCAATCCATGCTATGAATCCCACAACCGTAAAAGCAGAACTCAGTTACTACTTTATGGAGTTTAATAAAGGCAGACAAAACCATAGCAGTTAGAGATGCATGCTTAGGTAGTAGGACTCTAAAGACTTTCATGCTATCAGAAAAGCCACATTAGTGGTTTACTTGGTGCGGGGAAGAAGTGATGATTAGAAGATGCATGAAAGAAACTTCCAGAAATGCTCTGTTTATGACTCGGGTGGCGTATTAGTTCTATAACAAAATGTCACACCCTGGGTGGCTTAAACAAGAGAAATTTATTTTCTCACAGTTCCAGAGGCTGGAAGTCCAAGATCAAGGTGTCGGCAGGGTTGGCTTCCCTGGGGCCTCTCTCCTGGGCTCTGGCCGCCCTCTGCTGCCGCTTGGCACAGTCACCACTCTGAACACCTCCTTCCCTGGCTTCTGTGTCCTAATCTCCTCTTCTTGTAAGGACACCACTCGGATTGAATTAGGACCCAGCCTAATGGCCTCATTTTAACTTAATCATCTCTTTCAAGGTCCTATTTCCAAAGATAGCCACATTCTGGGGAGCTGGGGGGTCAGGACTTCAGCTTGGGAATTTAGGGGGAGCACAGTTCGGTCCGTGATGGATGATTATCACAAGGCTGGTCACTTCATGGTAAGCTGGGTCATACATCTCGTTTTGTAACTTTCTCTATGAGTGTATTTTACTTTAAAATAAAAAAAGTAAAATGAATGCAGTTTCACAACACTTGCAACCCAACGAACCTCCTTTAGGACCTGGCCACCTTGGCATAGTTACGTGCTCTCTAATCTTTGAGCTGGAGCACACAATAAACCTCACCTGCCATTCCTTCTAGATCCGTATGAATTTAGATAAAGACTGTGTTGGGAATGGCAACCTCAAACATGCTGGCATTCACCCGCATCACAGAAGGATCACTGATGGACTGTGAGGCTGGTTTTTGGTGGATCAGAAGGTCTATTTCTTTTTAGCCCATTTCTTACCTACCTGAAAGACCGATCAACAACAGTTATCACATCTCCATGTTTTAGCTGTACAGGTTTATCAAAAGTAGATCCATTTACTTGTGTTGGATTTGTGGAACTGAAATTAAACAATATTGCCTACAAGTAGAAAAGAGAGGAAAACATGTAAACTAATAAATGGATAAAAAGCGAAAAGTTTTAAAAAACAGACTTCCGAAAACCCGCTCACCTCCTGTCCATTGATTTCAATTTTGCAGTGTTGTTTGGACACTACGGGAAGCTGAATACGAATGTCACACTCGATACCCCTTAATTCAAAAGAATAAAGATTTTTTAGATTGCTGCAATTTAAAAAACTTACATCAGTGATTCAAAATAAAACAGCATCTGACACTATGTTTTTTTGTGTTTTTTTTTTGCGGTACGCGGGCCTATCACTGTTGTGGCCTCTCCCATTGCGGAGCACAGTCTCCGGACGCGCAGGCTCAGCGGCCATGGCTCACGGGCCCAGCTGCTCCGCGGCATGTGGGATCTTCCCGGAGCAGGGCACGAACCTCTGTCCCCTGCATCGGCAGACGGACTCTCAACCACTGCGCCACCGGGGAAGCCCCTGACACTGTTTGATCTGTAAATGTAATGACATAAAGGAAAAACAAACTGGGCAATGTAAATGATCTTTTCATTTTGCCCCCAATTTTTATAAGTATTGTATAAGCAAATATTTTAAATCATTAAAACTTAAAAGAGTACTGAAAAATAATTATAATGGAAAATATTAGAATACAAAATTGAATTGCCTTTCACTAAGATATCTATGCTTATAAGATCCAACTAAAGGAGTACTTTACATCAGTTTGGAGAATACTTGTTTGTACTCTGTGCTTTTTTTTTTCCTATAAAAAAGGTTTATGTATGTTTATTGGTAATGCTATGTATGTTTCAAGGTTTAATCATCACCTAAAGTGCTGTTATTTCATGCTAGGACCTCTCCGTGTCTCAGTTTCTTCATATAAAAAGAGGACTCCATTGGCAAACATATCATGGTGTTCTTCAGAAAATTAAATGTTACTCATGTCTGTCATTTGCTTGGCACACAGTAAATGCTCATAACTTGTGAGCTTTTTATTGTTTTAAAACTATATTATTGGGACTTCCCTCGTGATGCAGTGGTTAAGAATCCGCCTGCCAATGCAGGGGACATGGGTTTGAGCCCTGGTCCGGGAAGATCCCACATGCCGCAGAGCAACTAAGCCCGTGTGCCACAACTACTGAGCCTGCGCTCTAGAGCCCGCGAGCCACAATTACTGAAGCCCGCACGCCTAGAGCCCGTGCTGTGCAACAAGAGAAGCCACCGCAATGAGAAGCCCGCGCACCGCGACGAAGAGTAGCCCCCACTCGCTGCAACTAGAGGAAGCCCGTGCGCAGCAACGAAGACCCAATGCAGCCAAAAATAAATAAATAAACTACACTATTAACTGACAGAGTCACAAGCCTCCTATCATTACAGACACTAATCTACAAGCCACAACAAATTATCTAGACGCAACCTGTCTTTTTACAGAAAACTAACATCAGCAGGAAGCAGCTGAAGGGAGAATTCCCAAACCTACACAGAAACTAATCAAAGACGCCCTTAGCAAGGCTCTTTGGGTCTCTGGTGTTCCTGTTACCATCCTGTGCTTTTACACGTTTGAACAGACCGTATGCCTCCTCCCTGTACTCAATACGAACCTCTGGAGTCTAAGAATACCCCTTCCTACCTGTACCATGACCAAACACTTACGAGTGGGTTTCTGGATTATAAAATCTCGCATAAAAATACACTTAATCACTACAGTATAATAACAGAATTACTGCTATTTGGTACCAAAATGTTTTTGGTTTTTCCCTTTTGAAGAGAGTGGAAGCTATGGAAAGTGAACAGCTACTTTAAGCCAAAGAAGAGAATTTGATTTTTAGGTATCAGAACATCCCAGCAAGAGACAGAAAAAGACGATCTCATTAGAACTGAGAATCTGTTTGGCAGGAGACAGCCATCAGGAATCACTATAGACCAATGGTGTGATTAATGGTGCCTGTTACGCAGGGACCAGAGTTACTGCCACCACCAACACCAAGGCAACAAAACAGAAGTTCTCAAAACGCAACCAGAAGGACTTTCCTTCCCATTTCCATTTTTCCAAAAAGACCGACAAGCCATGCACAGATTCCTTCCTTCACTTGTTCAATAATATCCCCCAGCAGCCAAGGAATGCCCAGTTTGGAGAGATTTCAGATGAACACAATGGCTTTCTAAAGACAGTCTGAAGTGGAGCAGGATTTGAGAATCCTTTACATTTTTCTCCAGTTATATTTTTATCAAATCAATTTAAAAATTTGTGTTTGACTGAAAAAACACAACTATGTTAACATTGTCTTCGAATTCTATTTCATAATAAATAACCAGTAGCATTGACAATACATAGGAAGTCCTGAGCAAACTCGAGGGCTGACTACTCCTAGAGCTGTGTATCTCGTCTGTTAATCTCTGGTTAGTAATATTGAGGGGTCTTTTTTAAGCTAAATTGTCTAAATTGTCCGCGGGTGGGCAGGGCTCACCTTCCAAACAAGCAGGTATGAAGGCTCAGTGGAAAGTGGGGGCCGTCGACCCCGCTCCTTTTAATGGTAACAAGGCGTCTTGTAGGACCCATTTTCTAAAGAGGAATTTTGACTATAATCCGTACCGGAAGGTCAGGCATCAAAAGGTTTGCTGAAGCAGACTTACAAGCAATCCTTTGACTACACGCCACTGACAAAATAACAAAAATAAAACACACAGGGGGTGAGGGTTATTCTAAAGCAAAGAGCTAAGAAGTTACTTGTAAGTGACCAACTGGGGTCGCGTGTACTATTCACCGCTGCCCCTGCCGCCCCGACCCACGCCTTACCTGACCCCGGTGGAAGCCCCAGCCAGGCCCGGGGCTGCCTCCACCACCCAGCGCCCTCCAGAGACCTGCGTCCAGGACGCCGCCCGCCAGGCTCCTGGCTCCCGGGAGTTCCCACCGTGACCACACGCCAGAGCCCAGGACGAGCCAGGCAGGCCAAGGCCGCGCTCCGGCGCTGGTGTCCGCATAGCCCCGAGTGGTCCACGCGGCCTCCGCCCCGCCGGCTGCCCCCGCCCCCGAAGCTCCCCGGCCGCTGCTCACCCAGGACGAGTCTCCCGGGGCGACACCAGTGGTTCCGCCGCTCGTCGGCGAGCAACCCGAGTCCGCACCGGGAGGGGCCGGCGACGCGCCCACCTCCGCTGCAGGGACCGGGCCTCAGTCCTCTGGCCCGCCCCCACCTTCGCCGTGGCCCCAGTCCCCGCTCCTCCCGCCCTCGCCCTCGCCGGTGGCCCGCTGACCCTGCCCAGAGACGTCCCGGAGGTGTCCGGCGTTAGCGGCTCTGGCGCGGAAAGCCGCCGCCGCGCCCTCCAGATTCAAACGATAACACCGATTCAAATTTGGCGCTAAGCGCTGCGATTGGGCGCAGGGGAGAGGAGGCAGACCAATGGGAAAGGAGAGGGCGGAGCAAACTGGGACGGGCTCTGCGGGGCGGGACGGGACGGGGCGGGGCGGGACGGGACGGGGCGGGGCGGGGCGGCCGGGCTCGGCCGGGCTGGCTCCGGTGCATCCGCGGAAGACGGCCACCTGAGGGTCCTCAGCTTCCACGGCACCTACGGGTATGAAATGCAACAGGGTCCCTCCGCCGCGAAACCCTTCTTGCCTTCTTTTCTCTAAGGACCAAACACAATTGTACAGTTAACAGTGGTACATAATATGTTACTCATTGCTGGAAGGTTTACAATTTTTAAAAATTCCTATATCTCCCTAAAAATAACCAGTTGTTGTAAGCAGTTTCTTGTGTCTTTTCCCAGTTACACATGCATTATTCTCTTATAAAAACGCACGAAGACTATCATAATATACACATTGTTCTGTACTTTGTATTCTCTGCTTCACAAACTCCGAGTATATTAATATTGAGTACGTCTTCCTCCTTTCTTTTTGATGACGGCAAAGTATTCGGCTTTAGAAACCATAATTTATTTAATCTCTGCTATTGCCATACATATAGGTTTACAATGGTTTCCTCTTAGAAAAAATTCTTTAATTAATAAACCTGCTGCACTACAAAATGGATGAATTGTAAAATAATTAGCCACAGGATTCCTCCACGTGAGTGATGGGACAGGGGGAGGGGAGAGCTTCTGCAGGCCCTCCTGGTACGAAGTGAACTGGGGATGTACGCCGCCCTCCAGCTCACTCCACACCTTTGGAGCTTGGCTTTCCTTGATCGGGAGCTGCTGTTCTGGGGACCCGAGGGTCTCTTTGATCCTTGCAGGAGATCCATGAGGTCAAAACCACCTTTGTAATAACAGACAGTCCTTGCCCTTTTCACTCATTTCTCGTGTGTGGAGGGTGGCATTTCCCCTGTGCAGAGCAGATGTGAGAATCCAGCTGTCTTTTATTAAATCAGGTATCACAGAGATTTGCTGTGATACTTGATTTAGTAAAATATGTCTTTTATATAAAATATAAAATAATGCTGCTCTTTTCACTAATTTGTTTTGGATAATAGAGGTATTTTTCATTAAAAAAAGATGTTTCTATGTGAAACATGAAATAGGTTCATCATTGCTTTAAAATTAATTGATAAATGAAATTTTAAAAAATATTCAGTTAATAACCTACATAAACAAAAACTCTTAGTGGTCCTCAGTGATTTTTAAGAGCGCAAAGGGACCCTGAGACCAAAAAGTTGGAGCCTTTCTATTCCTGAGATACAACGCAGAGATAGATTGCCTACAGCAATGTGGGAAAGCACCTAGAAAAACACCGTGAATGTGTAGAATTCCCAACTCCTAATCCTCTGTGACAAAGCTGATGTGGGTTAGGTAGTGTAGATGCCTGGATACTATTAACCTTCTGGGGGATTAGTTTCATTTCCTCACTTTTACACTATGGGAAAATAAAACTAAAATAAGATTAGAAAGGACGTGGGGTCCTTGATCCCTGGATTCCTTGAAAGGACATTGGATTCCATGATCTCTGTCCGGGAATGGCTTCACTTCAAGTTGGAGCACTGGCATATCCACAGGCAGATGACAGCGCAGGGCTCTGCCAGCATATCTAGATCCCCAAAAGATGCTGAGTGAAATCACTACTTCAAAGGGGAACTGACATAGAAGGAAACAATTTTATTGGAGAAGGTTATGACCTCTAGGTGTATGATATATGAGTAGTTGAACTAGATAGGTAATTGATAATCTCTTATAAAAGATTATTCCTTCCATTGTCAAAGATTTGAGTAACTAACAATTTGAACCTTTCAATTCTGTGGTCTTCATAATTCTTGGACTCCAAGGGCCAGACGGTGCCCCTGGAGAGAATCTCACAGACCCTCTTTCCTGGAGGTGAGGGGTGTGTCATTATTGAAACTCCTGGAACCACTTTTCAGTATGTGGTTCTTGCAAAATGAAAGGAAGATCTATGAGTTTAGGTTTAGATATTTGAGTTGCTCGAGAACAGAATTTCAATACTCTAATAATTAGTTCAGACAAGTTTCTATCCTATAGTAATTGTGTTATTTTTTTACTGTAATAAAATCTTTAGAGATGATCAGTGATTATTTATATGTAGTTATTAGAAGATTATAGAATTCTAGGTGTATATCTATCATTGGGAAAGCCCTCATTACAGCCTTAACTAAAATTTTGCCTTTGAAACATTGGAAATTTCTGGGTAGGGAAAGGTAATTTTCCTTGAGATCGACTCTCTTTCTCTTTTGCCAGTTTTAAAAAAGTGTCCTTTACATATGTCCACTCATAAAGGAAGTTTTGCTGTGCAACGTATTGAAGAGTTCGTGATTGGCAAGGCTGAAATATTTACTTTACAAATACAGTACACTGACAAGCAACCAAGTTTCCAGACTCAATGGTTCCCGCTGGGTGATAGACTCCAAATTGAGGAAGACAGGGACCCTAGGTACAAAGGTGAGAGAGGAACCGTATACAAACCAGTGCATCAAGCAACCTGAAGAAAGTACAGGCCAACTTGGAACACTTATTGCTAAGAATAGAATAGGGACCCCTAGAAATTTGAAGCTAAAAAGTTATGAGTCCTAACCTCCTATACTAATACTGTAGGAAAACCCTGTCACCTAAGTAATAAAGAAATGAATTGCAATGGAATGTCCTAGACATTTATCATAACAAAAGAGAGAACAGTGAGGAGAATAATTTCCCTAGAGAACAAGGGAAGCATGACAGGAAGATATAGGTTTACAAAGAGGCCTTCAAGTATAGAGGCTACAGAAAACTTGTCTTAAACATCCTTACTTGGGGTGATCAACCTTCAGATAACCCCAAACTGAAGATACCTTTAGTAAGTTTCAGTGTTGAATATTAAATATAAACGTAAATCCAGAACTAAGGCTATGTGATGGTTTTAAGCAAAAGAATATCTTTTGTAGAGGGTATAAGCTCCGACAATGTAGACGTAACACAACTAATAGTGAATGGGGTGGGGTAGAGGTGAGGGTATATGGAAAAGAAAATAAGCTCTCTGATTGCCTTCTAGGTATGAACTGGGAGTAAAAGAATATTACTTCAAATTAAATATTGTGTCAGAGAAGGTTTTAGCTAATTATCAAGAAGGCTCATATTAAGACACCAATGGGCTCAAAAAGAAGGGACAAAGATATTATGTAAAGCTGTCAGTGTAAGTGCAGCCATTAGACCATAACTACAAATACTCTGAAATATCTAAGCATACAGAAAAGAGAGATAGAGAATACAGATAACATAGTGACAGACTACATAGGTATATCAACATATATTTTAAAATATAACAAGATTGGTATCAAATACATCAATTGATTCAATAGCTTTAAGTGGCCTATTCAAACAAAAAGATTTTAATATTTCTGTAAACTGCTATGGAGTAATTGCCTCCAAATATTATCAAGTGCAAAAGATAAAGTGGGAAAAGTTGCATATAGCATGCTACGTTTATCTAAAAAATGGGCTTATGAATATCTATGCATATTTGCTCTTATTAAAATGAAACAATATACATATAGTTTACATATGTATATATACGTATATAATATATATATTATGATATACATAATATACATATAATGTGAAATACATATAATGTAAAAATGGAGGAGGGAGCACAGGGAGAAAAGCTAGATTTCCCTGAACTTTCCTTCTTTGATAGATTTGACTCTTGAATCATATTAATATTTATATAAATATAAAACCAATTGAATCAAAGATATAGAAAACCCTAAAGTAGAAATTAAAGTGAAACTAACATTCAGGCAGCAACAGAGCCACACAAAGAGCAATACTTTGAAGTCATTTAAAACACAATAATTGAATGGTGCATCCCTTGATAGCCATTCCCCAAGGATATAAATGAACTGAAAAATAATATCAAGCAGTTTTCAATAATTGCATTGGTGGTAATATTGATATCATTATTCTGAAGTTATTATAATGGGAGAAAGCAAATAGGTAATTACGTGAGTATCACTAGAGAGTTTTTCAGCCTAAGAAAAAAGGCTATAAATATGAAATCAAACAGTGAAGTGTTCTGTGGATACCCTGCAAGGAAGGGACCCTCCCCTCAAGTTTGATTTGTGTGTAGGGCCTGATGGTGCCGCCTCCGTCCTCCAGAGGGTATGAAAGTCTCATGACTCAGATAACTGAGGTCTCCGGGGGAGCAGGGCAGGCCTCTCACCAGGTCTGAAATGGCTTGTGAGTGTGAGTAAAAGAACCTGGCTGGGGTTTTGCTGTGGTCAGGAGGCGGGGCCGGCATGAGGGTAAGCTGGTGGCGGGGGCTTGCTGGTTAGAAGCAGGGAGCATCTGGCCCTTCTTATCGGCTCACTCAGACGTGGGGTCAGGCAGGGGAGGCGGGGGAGGGAAGGAAGGCAAGGGATGAGGCTTAAAAGCTGTCAGCAGTCAAATATCAAAAAGCAGAGTTGGATTCCTTGTAAGTAAGTAGATTTTGAATTGGGAATGGCAGTATGAATTCATGGTATATATTTCTTTTAAAATGTGAACGAGAAGACATATTTCCTGATATATTCCCAGAAAGACCTAGAACTTACCCAATAGTCATGAGTGTCCTTTCTTCCTAGATTGTGGTCTCTCAATACTGCTTCCTACTAAAAGAAAACCAAGTTTCCTGATAGAAATGGTAAATCCTGTATCAGGTGCAAGAACTGAGCAGGATAAGCCTGGAATGACTTGTCACACTAAAAAGCAAGGAAGGAGATGGGGCTTCCCTGGTGGTGCAGTGGTTAAGAATCCACCCGCCAATGCAGGGGACACGGGTTCGAGCCCTGGTCCGGGAAGATCCCACGTGCCCACAGCAACTAAGCCCGTGCGCCACAACTACTGAGCCTGCGCTCTAGAGCCCGCGAGCCACAACTACTGAAGCCCGTGCGCCTAGAGCCCGTGCTCCACAACAAGAGAAGCCACCGCAGTGAGAAGCCCGCGCACCAGGGCAAAGGGCAGCCCCCGCTCGCCGCAACTAGAGAAAGCCCGTGCGCAGCAATGAAGACCCAACACAGCCCAAAATAAATAAATAAAATCAATAAGTAAAAAGCAAGGATGCCTCTCAGAGACTACTGGGGTCAGGCCTAAAGGAGCCAGGAGCCGCTGTGAAGAGGCCTCCCATGTCCCAAGTGGGGAAACTTTGATCTCCAGCTAAAAATATATTGAATAACTACAGGGACTTGAAATGCACAAAATATATTTAAATTCCTCAAGTTCACAATGATTCCTTCAGAATAAAAAGAAAAAAAAGAAACTCACTGGACACCTTCAAAAGGTATAAGGAAACCAGTCCACTCTGGCAAAGCAAGGGAGAAGGTCAAGCTTTCATCTGCCTTTCTTCCAGGAGCTGTGCCTCAGTGCAACCACACAGCTGATTAGGGAGAGTTTCTCTTTATAGATGCATCCAGTAAGTGACGGGAGAAGGGAAACTGTAAAAGAGTGTCACCATGCTTCAAATCCTTCATGAAAAGATAAATCCAGGCAATGATCATCAAAGGCTGCTCACATCACAGAAAGAGGCCGAGCGTTGAGTGCAAGCAGGGAGCAGTAGACACCTGGACCTCCAAGTGGTCTGCAAAGAAATCAGCTGGAACGGGATTTGGCCTCCAGATGGAAATACCAGTGTCCGGGAGACACAAGGGAGAGGGGCAAGTAAGAGGCGGAGGTACAATCCAGATGTGGGCAAGTCTGCAGGACAAGGAACTGCTTTCTTCAGTATACTGCAAGGAACAACAAAAACAAAACAAAACAACAACAACAAAAAGGGGGCAAAGGAGCCTATTTAAAGGAACAGATGAGAAGGTCTTGGACTTCAACCATGATGGAGTAAACTGGTTTTAGACTCACCCTCCCACTTCAAACAATCGTAAAATGCAACAAAATAGGTAAGGCACTCTCTGTGGGAACTGGGCCACAGCCAGCTCAGGCTGGCATCCTTGAGAGAAGAAACCACGCAATTTGAGCCATGTGCCTCCTGGCCCCGATTTCTGTGCGGGTGCAGGGAGGTGAGACCGAGTGGAGAGGAGGCATCTCCCCTTGCCGTGGGAGCAGAGACTGGAGATTGGGCCGCTGAGAAAGACGGGTTTGGCAGGCGTGATGCTGCAAGAGGAGGGACTGTGTGCAGAAGGGCAGGCACGCAAACACCTCGGCTGAGGGTCCTTAGCCAGGGGCTGGACTTCTCAAGTCCGGGGCAAGACTCTGCAAGGCCTGGCAGTCAATGGAAAAAAAAATCTGTCCACCTAGATTTCTATATCCAAGGAAAATACCCTGTTTTAAAAAAGGGTGAAATAAAGACATTTTCAGATAAGTAGGAACCTAGAGAACTAGAACTCATTCCCAAAACACCAGGAAGTGCAATTTAAAACTACACGGAGATACCGTTACACACCCACCAGAAGGGTTAAAATTAAAAAGACAGAAAACAGCAAATGCAGGGGAGGCTGCCGAGCGCGTGGGGTTCTCAGACATTGCTGTGGGTATGTAAGTGGTGTGACCAGGTTGGAAAGTCTCAGATAGATACTTATAAAGTCAAATATACATCTTTCCCAGGATCCAGCAATTCCACTCCAAGGCATTTGCTAAGGAGAAATGAAAGCATATTGCCACAAAAGGACTTGTGTGAGCAGCTATATCCAAAACCTGGGAACAATCCAAATACATCAACAGGGTATGTCCTAAGAGGCTATGTTACAGTATAAGCTGTGTTATACTTACACGGTGAAATATGGCAAAGGAATAAAAAGAATTAAGTCTTGGTACATAGGACATTGTGACTGTACCTCGAAGAACATATTACATTGGGTGAAAGAAGTTAGACACAGATGGGTACATGTTGCCTGCCCACTTATGTGATTCTCTAGAACGGCAAAACTCCTCTATGATAACAGAAGTACAATCAGTGGTTTCTGGTGGGCTGCGTGGTAGCAGGATGGATTGCAAGGGGGCAGGAGGGGACTTTCAGGGGTGATGGAAAGCTTTTACATTTGGATTGATATGTTGATCACGCAAGTGTTTATATTTGACCAAACTCTGAGAACTATACACTTGAGATCTGTACGGTTTTGGGTATGTGAAAAATTTCACCGGAATTCAAAAAGCATTTTAAAATCAAAGGAAAGCAGTTTATGGGCCTTTTTGGAATTGATTTGGAAAAATCCACTGTTAAGGACACATCCATGAGGCAGTGGAGAAACTGGGGCTTTGAATGAGTTATTTGATGATATTAAGGAAATATTTTTGGTGTGATAATAGTACTATTATTGTGACAAAGGTATTGTTATGTTAGAAGAGTCCCGACTGTTAGAGATACACACTACCTATTTATGGAGGAAGAAATAGGATATCTGGGATTTACTTCAAAATAAATCAGTGGAGGTGGGAGGTGGAAATGTCCTGGGGGTATATGGATGACACCAGATGTCCACATACAACAATTGTTGAAGCTGGGTGATAGGTACAGGGTGTTCCTTACGTTACTCTTACTGCCTCTCTGTATGTGAGGCCGGGGCCTGGACTTGCCTCCTGGGGCCTCGCAGCCTCAGTCCTGCTGCGTCCCCAGCGGGTCTCCCGCGTAGCCCCGCCCCGCGCCCATCCCTTAAAGAAGTTTCTGTTAAAATGTTTAAAGTACAGTAATTGCTAGCATTTCAAACAAAAATCCAGCTTTTGGGCTTTTCTTGAAAGCAAAACAAACAAACAAACAAAAGCAGTCCACCCGCATCAGGCCCAGTCGCCTTCCGCCATCTGCCGGAGCCGAGTGCCCGGAGCGCCACTGGTCCGAGGCGCTTCTGTTTGTCCCACCCGGAAGCGGAGGGGACCCGCCGGCCCGAGCCCACGCGGCCCCTGGAGCGCGAAGGCTGGGGCCGCAGCGCCATCTGGCGACGCAGCGGGCCCACTACGCCCTTCGGGTAGAAACGCAGGCTCCGGTGCGGGAGCGCGGCGAGGTCAGCGCAGGTGCAGAACCGCGACGCTGTGACTGGCGCTAACCACCGGTAAGGCCGCTGTTACGAGGCTTTGGAGGGAAGACAGTTCCATGCTTCCGTCTAGCGTTTGTGCTGAGGTAATTGCACTTCTCAGAGTTGTGCTGACCCAGGGGGATGTAGACCCCGCAGCCTGTGCCAACGCGTGGGTTGCGCTGTATTGCCCGGCAGGGTGGGCCCCGGAGACCCAGAGGGTTCAGTCGGCTCGGTTTCCTGGAATCACGGATCCTTCTCAAAACAAACCCAAACTGAGTGCTGCCGGAATAGGACTGATGGGGATATAAACCGTTATCAACTGAAAAGCTCTGAATTCAGTTAAGTGCAAGTCTGTTCCAAAATACGATGGGAGAAATGGCTTTAACTGTCTCATGAAGCCTTTGGATCATTATTGCAACATGGAGCTAATTCTTTTGAATCATTTACTACTGCTGTAATAATAACTTACTGTCTGAAAACTTTAACCTTTTTGTATAAATTTACTAACTTGGAAACTTTAGACATTGGCCCAACTAGCCATTATATGTTTTAGGCATTTACTGTGTCCACTGAATGTCAGGCAGTGTGTTAAAAGGATGAATATGACATTCCATGTTGTCAATAGGCACCCAGCCTGCAGGGGAAAAATACCCGAGAGACCTACTGATAGGGTGTGATGGGTGTGACACTTGCTATAGCGGATCCTGAGTATTATTTATAGGATTAGAATAGTGCGCCATCTAGAGGAAGATCTCAGTAGTCAGACTTAGCAGTAACCACCCCAAAGATGTCACATTAGGGTATGGATAGGAATGAACCCCATTCTGGTTAAGTTCCACTTCTGTGCTGTTGGGAATGTTCTTCAGGTAAACTTTGGAGAGAGATTGAAGTGAGAGAGGTGTGCGGGAGGTTAGAATCTATCTTCCTGAGCTTACTGCGTGGACTGTTGAGTTAGTTAACATGATTATAATTTTTATCGAGGGTCCGCCCCATGTCAGGTTCTCTGCTAAGCACTGCAGGTTTCTCCTCTGCCCTAGATACTCTGGTTCTTCCCTCCAGCGGCAGGACCGTATGAGGTCCTGGGGTGCAAAATTTAAGGAAGTGCTTGTGTTACGCAACGCAAGTTCCTGTGCCCGATGCCCAGTGAGGCCAAACAAACCGAAAATATCGGGGTTTGGAGCAGAGAAAGGTTTATTGCAGGGCCATGCAAGGACACAGGTGGCTCGTGCCCCCAAAGCCCCAAGATCCTTGAAGGGTTTCAGCAAAGCACTTTTAAAGGCAAGGTGAGGGAGGGAGGGGGTGTGGTTGGTTGTTGCAGATTTCTTGGTGTCGGAATCCTTTGTACTTAACAGCTGTTCAGGGAGGTCAGGTCACGATGTTCCTGTAAACCTGCAACAAGACAAATGCTGTCCTCTGTTCTGCAACTTTTTATCTCTGTATGAATGGACTCTTAAAGGTCAGAGCCCTGAGAATAGGTTATCCTGTATATTTCAGGCTATAGACAGCATTCTTGTACCAAAGGTGCAGAGCCAGCATGGCTAAGCACAGGCAACAGAGCACAAAGTTTAAAGTAAAAGGAACAGATCCAACATGGAGTCAGAGTCGTTCGTCCCCATGGCACTTGCTCTCAGAGGCTGACCCTCCACTTGCATGACCCTGAGAGCCCCTCCTTAAATTCAGTGCCCCCCCGGCCCCCTGCAGCCACATGTGTACCTCTCTCATCTGGCCCTGGTTCCCATTTTCTGAATGAGGAAACAGAGAGGTTGATAATGCTTCTACGATCACACAGCTTGGAAGTTTCTGAGGTGGAACATGAATCCTATGGCTTTGTGTGACTCTGGCATCCTTACACTTAACACCTAGGTTATGTAGTTTCTTCCTGTGGCTCTAGGAATCCCTGGCCATTTTTTAAAAAGATATCTCCACTGTTAGCATCTTTACTTGATTACAAAGCAGTGGAGAAGGGCTCTGGGGTTCACCTCAGCGGGGAGCCTCGGGGGCCTGAGCTGTGAGTCCCTGCTTGGATGGGAACGGTGGGTTGGGACTTAGGTGCCATAGGCAAATGGCCGCCTTAAGGCTGAGCGTACAACCTGGCAGGTGAAGATGTTGCTGAAATTTGGCCTCTGTACACCAGTGCCGGATTAAATCTCAAGACACAGAGTTTTGGGTGAAGTAGAAGGAAGTAGCTTTATTGCTTTGCCGGGCAAAGGGGGCCACGGCGGGCTAACGCCTTTAAGGCTGTGTGCCCCACGCTGGAGGCGGGGCAGTGAGGCGTCTTATAGTGTTCAAGGAGCAGGGCGTGATCAGCTCGGGCACATTCTTCTGATTGGCTGGTGGTGAGGTCATCGAGAGTCACCATCATCCACCTTAGGTCTGCGTGCATGTGGGCAGCATCCAGTTAACTCTTCCACCTGGAGGGGGCTTCAGTATCTGCAAAACAGCTCAAGGACGTGGCTCAGAACAGTATCTATAGTCCTTGAGGAAGAACTACAGGTCCTTGACTCGGTTTAATGGCTAAAGTACTATTATTTTTTCTTGCTTGACTGTTTTCCTTTCTTTCTGCATTTTCTCACTTCTCTGATTACATTTATTCTTTAACTAAAGGTTTTTTTGACAGACAAAAGGCAGGCGGAGGACAGGAGTGGGGGTTTGTTCTGGAAAGGCCTCACAGGGTCCTGCGTGGTTACAAAGGCTTCTGCAGCTGCCATGGACGGGCCTGGTTGTGTACAGCAAGCCCGTCCTGTGGGGAACCGGCCCTCACTCTTCTCTCACCACCCCACCGAGGCCACACGTGCCTCTTGGCACTTGTCACAGACTGAAGCTCTATTTTGCATTGTCACTTAATACAAACACTGATGCTGATCATGTCAGAGGTCATAGCAGTGTCTCCCATCTGTTGTGAGCCGGCCAGGACAGTCCCCCGTTTCCTGTGCTATCTCGTTAGGCTTCGTGACAATCTCGTGGGAGAAGAATCGTCCTCATTTGGGATAAAGAAGATGTGGTACATGTATACAATGGAATATTAGTCAGCCAGAAAAAAGAATGAAATAATGCCATTTGCAGCAACATGGATGGACCCAGAGATTATCATACTGAGTGAAATAAGTCAGGCAGAGAAAGACAAATACCATATGATATCACTTATATGTGGAATATAAAATGACACAAATGAACTTATCTATGAAACAGAAATAGACTCACAGACATAGAGAACGGACTTTTGGTTGTCGGGGGTGAGATGGATTGGGAGCATGGGATTAGCAGGTGATAACTATTATATAGAGAATGGATAAACAACAAGGTCCTACCGTATAGCACAGCAGCCTATATTCAATATCCTGTGATAAACCACAGTGGAAAAGAACTTAAGAAAAGAATCACCCCTATTTGACAGATGGGGACCTGAGGCTCAGAGGGTGAAGTGACTTGGTCCATGGCACACAGGTGGTCTGTGTCAGAGCAGGTGACACTCAGGTCTTTGTGTGATTCCACTGCTCCAGACACCCTCTCTGCAGCCTCTCTGTGTGTAAAGGACTCTCTCTTCACGCACTAGTACGTGAAGGAGGTGGCCGCTGCCTCATCTCTTTTTCTGTGGTGAGGATGATGCTCCACTAAGGCCTATTCAAAGAGTGTGGACTAAGTGGTGAACGGTGTGGAAAGACCCAAAGGAAGTGCTGAGATAACCATGCTGCCGGCGAGTGAGATTAGGACCAAGGAGAAGCAGAGCCTCCGGCACCAGGGCTGTGCTGTCTGTCCTGGGGTCCACCTGCCTCCGAGCAGACTCAGGGAAACCTGCTCTTTCATTGACAGGACGTGGGCACCTAGAAACTCAGAACAGCTCACTTGGTACTTGTTTTAAAAATAACCTCACTGGGCTTCCCTGCTGGCGCAGTGGTTGGGAGTCTGCCTGCCGATGCAGGGGACGTGGGTTCGTGCCCCGGTCCGGGAGGATCCCGCATGCCGCGGAGCGGCTGGGCCCGTGGGCTGTGGCCGCTGGGCCTGCGTGTCCGGAGCCTGTGCTCCACAACGGGAGAGGCCGCAGCGGTGCGAGGCCCGCGTACCGCAAAAAAATAAAAAATAAAAAAAAAAAACCTCATTCTTAACATTTTGGAAATATTATTTTTTCATTAGCAATGTCTGCTTGTAATTGGATATTTATTGCAATGAGAAATAATGACCAGGTTCACTTCTAAAATGTTACAAAAGTGATACACATTCAGTTTTTTTCTCACATTCTGCATAATATCCGTTAAGTCTTCTTCTGGCATGAAAATGCATCTTCGAGGAGCAGCAGCTGCGTTGGAGAGGTGTGGACCTGGGTTTACCATCTTTCCTCACCCCTCATCACTGTGGTGCCAACTTTCACGGGAGAGCAATAGTAATACTGACTTTGGGGGTTTATTTTGAGAATGACGTGAGATAAGATGAGTGAAATGGCTGTTATGGGCTGAATTGTGTCCCCCCAGATTCATACGTTGATGGAGTTCTAACTCCCAGGACCTCAGAATGTGATTGTATTTGAAGATAAGGTCTTTAAAGAGATAATTTATGTTAAAGTGAGGTTACTAGGGTGGGTCCTAATCCAATATGACTGGTGTCCTTATAGGAAGAGGAGATTAGGACACAGACACACACAGAGGGAGGACCAGGTGAGGACACAGGGAGGAGATGCCGTCTACGAGCCGAGGAGAGAGACTTCGGAGGAAGCCGGCCCTGACAACAGCTGGCTCTTGGCCTTCCAGCCTCCAGAACCGTAAGAAAATCCATTTCTGTTGTTGGCGCAGTCTGCGGTACTTCGTGATGGCGGCCCCAGCAGACTCCCACACCCGCTCTCCCAGGCCTAGTGTATACTAGGCCCCCGGTAAGTCCTGATTTCTTCTTCCTCTTTATTGTTTTCTTTTGGGAGACACCTGATTATTATTATTACTTTTTAATAACGGTCACCTTAATAGCAATAGTTTTTTTTTTGTCAATATATTTTAATTGAAGTATAGTTGATTTACAATGTTGTGTTAATTTCTGCTTACAGCAAAGTGATTCAGTTATACATATATATACATTCTTTTAAAAAATATTCTTTTCCTTTATGGTTTATCATAAGATATTGAATGTAGTTCTCTGCGCTATACAGTAGGACCTTGCTGTTTATCCATTCTCTATATAAAAGCTTACATCTGCTAATCCCAACTTCCCACTCCATCCCTCCCCCAATCCCCACCCAATCCTTGGCAACCACCAGTCAGTCCTCTATGTTCGTGATTCTGTTTCTCTTTCTGACTTACTTCACTTCGTATGATAATCGGTAGTTGCATCCGTGTTGCTGCAGATGGCGTTATTTCATTCTTTTTTATGGCTGAATAATATTCCAGTGTGTGTGTGTGTGTGTGTGTGTGTGTGTGTGTGTGTGTGTGTGTGTGTATCACATCTTCTTTATCCATTCATCTGTCAATAGACATTTAGGTTGTTTCCATGTCTTGGTTATTGTGAATAGTGCTGCTATGAACAGAGGGGTGCATGTATCTTTTTGAATTATAGTATTGTCTGGACATATGCCCAGGAGTGGGATTGCTGGATCATATGGTAGTTCTATTTTTAGTTTTCTGAGGAACCTCCATACTGTTCTCCATAGTGGCTGCACCAATTTACATTCCCACCAACAGTGTAGGTGGGTTCCCTTTTCTCTACATCCTCTCCAGCATTTGTTATTTGTAGACTTTTTAATGATGGCCATTCTGACCCGTGTGAGGTGGTACCTTGTTGTAGTTTTGATTTGCATTTCTCTAATAATTAGCGATGTTGAGCATCTTTTCATGGGGAGGCACCTGATTTTATTAATTCACTTTCTTGAGGTCAGGAATGTGTCATGCTCATTTTGGCTTTGGCAATGTCTAACACACTCCAGGTTTACAGCATGAGTGAATCTGGATGCTGTTTCTCAAAGTGTGTTCTGTGGCACAGAGTCCCAAAAGACTGCATTTGAAAAAGGGTCCCGTGGTCAGATGACTTTGGGAAACACTGTGAACCGGCTTGGGGAGGGGACATGGGATTCATCAGGGAGGGGGCTACGTCTGTGGTCCCCAGGAGCCCACCGACAGGAGAGCAGAGGCCTTTCTTGTGGGTCTGTGACTCCTTGTTGCAGGGGTGAGGCTGTGGTGACTAACTCGACGCTTGGCAATCACACGTGCGACTGAGATCCACTTGTGAAATAATGGTTGCAGTCATCTAAGGAATCCGAAGATTCGCTTCAGTTGATGAAACTTGAAACTTGATGGAGAATTTTCCAAATAGCTTTTTAACCCTGGTTTGCAGGTATTTTCTCAATACCTATTCATGACCTTATTTATAACTTGGGCAATATGTGTTTCTTATAGATGCAAGAACGTATCATTGGCTCCAGATGTTATGGAGCCATCACATACATTTATTTCATAAAATATCACAAGGTTCACAAACCAAGATGATTTGATTTACATAAAGCAGGGTAACCCATTGTTTGTTTGAGGAGTTTGTTTCCTAGTTGAATTTTGGATCACCATGACCCGACGATGTCTTCCTGTTTATGGTGGGGAAACCCTACAGGCACAGCTTCACAACTCTACTGCCTTTAGCTTTCTAGGAGTGATTTACTTGCATTGCTCCTATGTGTTATCTACTGTGGTCCAACATTGTCTAAGTTGACTTGGAATTCAGCAAGGCTTGATTGCAGTTTCCCTTCTAAATGGGCCGTAGATCTGTTCAGATATCACTGTCAGAAAACTGCGCTCACAGACGTGTGTTGTTTGATGCTAATTACGTTGTATATGTTTTAATTAATCTACACATTTTTAAAAAAAAATTAGGGAAAGCCAGTAACTACCTCACACTCTCCAGCTTTTCATTCTTTTACTTTAGAGGCAATTCATATTCCTGCTAGCACTCACTGCCCGTATAGCTGTGGCCGCGTAGGGAGAAGCCTCTGGGTCTTTGGTTGCTGAAACACTGGAGAACCTATGATTGGTGGCCTTGGCTCAGCTTAAGGGGGCCGGGGGGTGTTTTTCATGTGCTGAGGCTCCTTCACCCTTTCCCCAGCAGTCCTTGGACTAGCCCTGGAGCTGGCCTGGCTAGCACCCTGTCCTCCTGGAAGTTAAGAAAAAAGAAAGAAAGAAAGAAAAGATTGGCATTTATTGAGTACGAAATCTGGGTCAGGCATCTGCTAAGGTCTTTACTGGGATCATCTCATTTTATCTTTACAAAAACTCCATGAGGAGGGTTCTTTTGTAGAGGGTCATGATCATAAGTATATACTACATTGCAGTGGTTACGCTGCTCATGAAACAACGATTTAAATTAAAAAAAAATGTTGTACACGCACCTGATTTAAAAAAACAAAATAGTTTTACAAGGTTTGTTGAAAGGCACACATCCCCAACTCAGAGCTCCCCTGTCTATGTCACTCCCATGACACCTCCCCCCGAGGCCATCCCTTTTGCATTGTACCGATGTATTCCGTGCTGGCACGACTCCTCCTGGGCGTCTCAGTTTTAAGCATGGTCTTTTCTCTGTGAAGATGAGAATGCACCCCTGTCCCTACCTCTACGCCTACCCTACACACTCATACCCTTATGTCCACCCGTCCACTTCCTATACTTACCCTGCAATCCTGATTAGAGCCGTGTCCGCCATCACAACTACATAAATGCTGTTCGAAGCTCAGCCACGTAGTAAATTATGGTCACTGTTTATTGCACATTTTTTTGTTTTGTTTTTCCAGGAGTCAATTTTCTTTAATTTTCTCTCCCAATCGCTCAGTGTGGTGCATTCATCACGAGGTCATTTGTGTTAACCCTCAAGACCTCTGGGTGCCTTCCCTACTCTCAGGTTTCCTTCTTGAGGAAAACCTCTCCCAGAGCTCCTGTCCTGGGCCATCCAGTCTGCACTGTTTGCTCCTGACACCTGTGTTCCAGAAACGCTTTTTTTCTCTTTCTGACTCTCAAGCACACCTGCTGGTCATCTCCTAAGAAAGGCTCATGGGAAGCCTGGGTCTGAAAAATATGGACATAATTTCCCTTGAGAACTTTGGTGGCTTCTGTCCACCGTCTTTGGCTCCTGGTTTGTTGCTAAGGTTCTGGATCCTTAGACGGGCCTCTTTTTCCTTTTGCCTCTTCCTCTCTGGAAGTTCGAAGGATCCTTTGTTTGTCCTCAGAGCTCTGAATTTTCACCATAATGTATGTTCCTATGGGTCCAGCTTCATCAGTTGTATTGGGCTTCTCGTAAGCCCCTTTCATCCAGAATTCTGTGATCTGGGACATTTTCTAGAATGATATGTTAGCTAATTTCTTCCCCTTAGCCTTCACAGTTCTTTCTGTCTGGAAACTCCCATTATTTGGATATTTGACCTCCTGGGATGATTCTTTAATTTTCTTTTTCTTTCTCTCCTGTTAACCAATTATTTTTTGCTCTGTGAGATTTCTTTGATTTTGCGCCCCAATCTTTTCGTTGACTTTTTTCCATCTTTCTTATAATATTCTGAGTTGCCAATAACTCTCTTCTGTTCTCCAAACATTCCTTTTCATGATCTCTGTCTATTTTATACGGTTGTGAGCTCTGGTCTCCTCTCTCCGGGCATATTAAGGAAAGCTTTTCCCTTCTTCACACACAGTCTCAGTCTCCCTCAACAGGCTTCTTTCTGTGCATTTGTTTTGGTCACTCTTTACTGGGTGGTCTGCTTTCCTCTACTGGTTCCTGTCTGCTCACCTTTATATACACATGACATAATGCCCATGGCATCTCTGAGTTCCTGGGGCTGTGGGCTGGGAGCTGGGCAGTGGGCTGGGTCACCCGGGTGGTGGGTTGTAGCTCCCACCCCATGTCAAGGTCTGTAGGTCTTTCCTCACGGGTGGTCGTGAAACAGAGCAGGACCCTGTGGTCCTTGCCCGCCATGTCCTCCGCCTGCCTTTTGTCTGTGGAGAAACTTCAGCCGAAGAAAAAGTTTAATCAGAGAAGTGAGAAAATGCAGAAGCAAGGAAAATCAGTCAGACAGGACAGAACAATAATAGTTTAGTCATTAAGCAAAGTCAAGGACCTTTACTTCCTCCTCAGGGGCTGTAGATCATATTCTGAGCCACATCGTGTGAGCTGTCTTATAGATACTGAAGCCTCCACCAGGTGGAGAAGTGAACTACATGATGACCAGGCTGTAGCCACGACATAAGCTGCCACAGTTCCGAGAACTGGCCTCAAGGAAATGGGAACAAACCGACCCTGGAACTGAAGATTAATTATATTGATACTTAAAACAATCAAGATGATGCTGGTCAGGATGAAACTGATGGCCAATTTCAACATGACTGTCTGAGCTGCCTGTGCTGTTTCTGCATGGAGCCCCCTTCCTCAGGCTATAAAAGCTCTTGCCCGGATTGTCAGTGGGGTCGACTCAGCCCTCCCCCATGGTTGCTGGCCTCCAAAATAAAGCAAACTTTCCTTTCCACCAACCTGGCCTCTTTATTGGTTTTTGAGCGGCGAGCAGCTGGACGCCACTTTCGGTTACATTCGGATCCCCCAGAGGATATTCCCTGTGTCCCCTGCCTGGAGGGGACAGGCCTTGCTGCCCAGTGGGAGAAAGGCTGGCATCTCGGCATCCGTGGGCTGTGTGCACTTAACCCCTCTGTTCCTACAGGAACTCCTGTCCTCACCTGGGTCCAGTGACCGCTGGCCCAGGGACCTCTGTTATGGACCTCTGGCCTCCCCTGGAGGGGGAGGTACAGTGTCCTGGTAAGCAGAGTGGGACAGGGACTCTCGCTGCCTTGTGACCTGCGTTCAGTACCACTCCCACCCTTGAAACCCCTCCCTCTGCTCCCAGAGGCCCTTGTGCCACCAGTGCCC